ACAACGGCGAGGGTTGTACGATTCATAGGCGATGGCGTGTTTGGAAGAGGGTTCGCCAGTGGTGGCGTGTCAGCAATAACGACAACCTGGAAACACGGAAAAGGTGAGGGTGGTGAAAGGATTGCACGATGGTGAGAAGGGCTCCAGCTGCAGATTTATGAGTACAGTCGGCAAGGGAGGCATGGGCGTCTGCTACAGTGGGGAAAAGGCAGAGTTTCGTCGATGACTCGATGTGTAGGGGCTGCATAGAGAAGGATTTTGGTGGAAGCCCTTACACCGATTCTCACTAAAAGACAGAGAATGAAACAGTAACCGACCAATGAGAGCAAAAAGCGTATCTAGCTTTTATGTTCTAAAAGAAATAAAGAATATACCCACATCAAAACTCCATCCCAACTTTGAGTTCCAGTACCCCAGACTGCCAAAGCTATTTTTACCTTTTCTAATGCATTTCAGTTCATTCATTATGGAAAAACAGAAAACAGCAGCAGCAGTGATGAAAGGGAGAAGTACCAGAACTTCGAAGCTCAAGCGAGTAGCCAATAAAATGTTGGTTGTTGTGGGCGACTCTTTCTCCTTCTCCACCAAGTCTCCTGCTTCACATCTTCCTCCTCCCAGCATTCGTCTCCCTCTCTCACTATAAGTCACTCAGTCCTGATCTTTCTACTTATACTGCTAATTAAGCTGCTGCAGCAAGTCTCCTCCTTCCTTAAGAGTACATAAAAATAAACAAAACCTCAAACTGAAGAACTGCCAAAAAATCTGCAATTCGCTTAAGCACTAACCTGCAACAACACCTAAGACAGGTCGAGTGTGTCATTAGCAATTGGAAGAAGGGAAAACCCCGATGAAATAGTGACCAAGTTCAATAAATAGTCCAGCAAATGTACCTACGTAAGAAGACCTAGAAATTTAAAAGTCTCTTCCTGCTTTGTAACTTCATATTGTAGCTCTGCAAAATTCTTTCATGGATTTCTTCTCCTTCGCTTTTTCTTGGTTTGTTCTTCTCTAGTATGAAGTCTTCACCTTCTTCCTGGCGTCCCTCACTTGTGAATCTCATCGGTTTCTTGAATACGAAAGAACAAACCGATGATGGTAAGTAGTAAATCATAAAAGATTTTCACTTTCACAAAATTATCTAACTCAGGAAACAACCTACCTTATGCTCCTTTTAACAAACTGTTGCTGCTGTAATGAGTCAATCCAATCACCCTTTCACCACTCCGTCGCACTGCGGCAAAATCTGAACACCTCTATCTCCTGCCTCTGCTGTTGCAACTTGCAAGGCGCTCACATCCTCCCAGTCTTCTTCTTCAGTAACTGCCTCATCAGCAACATCGGCGAAACCTCCATTGGTAACTGGGTTTCCAGCGACCAAGGGTAGTTGCTTTGGGGGGAAAAGCAGGACATGTGAAAGTAGCGGACTCTCTTTTCAGACGAATGGGCGGAAAAGGTATTTGGAAGAAAAGGTAGATTGGAGTCTTCTTCGCATATTCAGGTGGGAAATAGAGAATAGAGAAACAAATGAATTGAATGGGAGGTGCAAAAGAAATAGAAAGGGTCGTATCTTCTCTCGCTTCAAGGAAGTAAGTAAGGGCGGGACTATAAAAGCATGGCAGTTGGCGTGTAGGAGCAGCTGTGCAGAGATCGCAATATGGATGTAGAAGCAAACCGGAGTGGCTAGACTTGAGAGTTGAGAGGACGGGAGATTAGTAGTGGCTTGCGATTGCGGATTTTAGGGGTGAGATCGTGAAGGGATAGGGATAGGGGAAGCATGGGCGTCTGCATTATGAAGAAGCAAAGTGCAGGGGAGAGATTTGAGAGGGAGGAAGAGATGGGAAATATTTTAGGGTTGGGCAACAATAAGCTCTTTTAATCACAGCCCACAAAACGACAGAAAATGAAACAGTATACACAGCAATAGGGCCAATAAAGTGTACCCAGCTTTCATGTATAAAAGAATGATACAGAATGAAAATCATTTCATGGACCTTGAAGGGATGACGGAGGGACAATACATTATCCACAAACCTCCGGAAACTTGAAGGCTCCCGGAACCGAAGACTGTGCAGATTGATGACAGGGACATGTTTCCAAGCGGATCTCCACGATCGAGACAACACAGAGGTTTGAACGGCCCATTTGGTTTCTAGAAATGAAAGGATGTGATGAATAATGAAGTCTGGAAGATGGCTTAACCTGTCAGTAGCAGTATCATCTCCCTCGGGAATCCTTTTTACAGCTTTCCCCGACTCACAGCTGCTACTGTTGTTGTCGTTGTTATTCATGGATTTTTACTCCAGATTCACTCAATTCTACCTGAATCTAGAAATTGAAAAGGGATCAGAAACCAAAATTGAACAAGTACCGAGTCAGTAAACTGGAAATTCACCTGTTCTCGATGACAATTCAGGGAGCCAGGCCGCCGTATACCGCGCCCAAACGAGTTGCATGCAATCAACCGCAGTCGTGAAGAACCTAGGAAAGGAAACTATGGACATTTCATCCGATTAACATTCCCGACATTTCTCCATTTCACCGAATTTAGGGTTTGTTTTTCTCAGAAGCAGGGAATTGCTATTCAGTGGGCAGTTGCAGAGAGAAGCTTACAGGACTCAATTTCAGAACTGTAATAAATGAAGGGTTAATTGTTGGTCACTGAGATTAAAAAAAAATGTTCAAGTTTGATCACTTGAAATATTTGAATCCAGGTACTTCAGTCTACTGAAACCACTCACGTTTGGTCACTTTCCGTCTAACTTCGTTAACTTTGACAGATATGGCGTCAACTCTCAAAGTTGACTGTTAACTTAGTGACGTGACAACTAAAAAATTATTAAAAATAAAAAAATAAAATTGTATACTTTCCACCTCATTATTACATTCATTAAAAAAATAAAAAAAAAATAAAAAACCAAATTTATTTTCTATAAACCCCATACCATACCCGACCCAACCTCACCTTCAAAGAAGGTGAAACGGCGAGGCGAGGCGTTCTGGAGCAGTGATAAACTACTGGCCCCCAATCGGTTCCAGAATCTGGACCTCCGCAACGTGGCGGCGGTGCATCGCGTCACAGATCTCAATGACGATTATTTGAACTTCACAACCGCCGCTTTTCCGAACCAACGGAAATTTACCTACTTGCGCTTGGGATTCCTGGCGGGGATATTCTACTAGTCTTTGGGCTTGACCTCAGACGGTGAAATAGCCAGCAGCAGGGGGTGCGATGGGAAAGAGACGGAGAACGGATGCCTGCGGTGGCAGGCCCTGAGTGTCGGCAGAGGAATGACGACGGTTTCCAGAAGCTCCAGGGTGGATTTGAGAGGTCGACATGGGAGAGTAACATTAACCTCAGTATGAGTGACTGCAAAGAGATGTGCTAGAAGGATTGCGATTGTGGCGGCAGCCGATACTATCTTGATGGCTTTGCTACGGTGATGGGGCAGGAGTTGGAGTTGGAGTCGGGTGGTGGTGGTGGTGGGGAGTGTTGCTACGATGGTCAGATTTCGCGGCGGCGGTGGCGGTTGGGTCGGGTAGGGTATGGGGTTTGTAGAAAAGAAATTAGATTTTTTATTTTTTATTTTTAATAAATGTAATAATGAGGTGGAAAATATAAAATTTATTTTTTTATTTTTAATAATTGTTTAATTGTCACGTCACTAAGTTAACGGTCAACTTTGAAAGTTGACTGCCACATTAGCCAAAGTTAACGGAGTAGGACGGAGAGTGATCAAACGTGACAATTTCAGTAAACTGAAGTACCACCAATAAATTTAAATATTTCGAGTGACAAAATTTGAATATTTTTTGTAATCTCAGTACCAATAATGTAATTAACTCAATAAATTAAACTAGCGATTTTTCATCTGTATTATCTTTTGGGCCATAAATAGGCCTATATAGTTCAAGTAATTATAGCCCAATGTCAAATACCTCATTCCCTGCCCAATAAACCAAAAATCACAAACTCCGTTTCGATATTGGAATGTGGAGGTGAAGGTCTGAGGAATGGAACTCGAGGAATGGAACTGCAGTAGCTTTACAGTTTTTTTTTTTTTTTTTTTATAAAAGTAGTTTTACAGTTTTTGCTAGATAACCTCCACCAAAACTGAGTTTCATCCTAGGCCGCCACGGTTGACATTACCATCGTTGTACTCTGCATGGTTCCGGTCAAGTCAATGTATCGCAAGTTGACGGAAGACGATCACCTAAGCAAAGATTAGGGAGTGAATCACTTGAATGTGAATCGTTGTACTCTGTGTTGCTCTAACGTCGAGTCTGCTTCACAAAATCTGATGTTGCATTATCATAATGCTTGGTTCAAGTCGAAGTGTAGGCGAAAGGAAATAACATAAAAGCTTTGTTGATATTGTTTCTACATATTGTGTGTCTCGATCTTTATGCTACACATCTCTTTCAGACATTCGATCTATTCAATACAAGCACAAGCACCATTCACCGTATTAGCAGGGGTTCAACATTCAACGGTGCTTCAGTTACACAATGGATTACAAATAGTTCAAAGCAATAAGACAAGAAGAACTGGAAAATTGTTTCACGTCAATCGGCCGCCCAATTGGAATGCAAGGCTAGCTTATTGGCAATCTCTGCTAGAGATGATCTCGACCGTCTTTAGATGTTGAACCACATCAATATCTAGAGAAAGCAAACAGAAAGAAACAACAGGGTTCACGATTTTACCATATGATTGGTAGGCTCACCAGTCACCAGTCAGCTACTATTACTGTATTACATTAGTACATATCCAACATGGTTCATCCAACAATTCTGTTAAGATAAAGTCCAACTTCAACAACACAAGAATGCAACTACAGTACTACTGCTTCGAAATGCTTCATACCATGAAGAAGATGACACCAAGAATAAAGCTGAAATACTGTTGCCTTCATAAGCTTCGGATATATAAACTGACAAGAAAAAAGTCAGAACTTTAACACTGAAAATGTTCGCCAACCAACAAAATGGTACACTTCGCAGGCAGAACAAGTAGATTGGTAAATTCATGACCTATTGGTAAATGATCTGAAAAGAAAGGAAGTATAGCCTATTGCTTACGGCGTACCACCATTAGAATCTAAGGCAAATGGTTAAACTAATATGGTAACTATATTCTTAAAAGAAGTTTGACCTAACAAACTCAACATTTGGGTTCAAACTAGATGACCCTTTAAGAAAGTAATTGACCAACTCATTGGGCACACTGTCTTGTTCACTATAAGTTGTCACGATCAAGGATTTCAATCTTGTAAAGGGAGAGGGTTGTTCTGCCAGCAACACAGAAATATTACTCAACACCTGCACAAAATAGAAGACAACTTAAAATCTAGGTAAATATTTGTCAGAATGGAATGCCTGGTTGATGATGACAGTAACCTAAGATTACCTCAATGCTGCGCAAATCAAGCGTGAGAGATGTTGCATTATTCAAACCTTGGAACAAAGGAATCAAACGTTGTGCCACCCGTACTTTGTACTCCCCAGCATTATTGTACCAGTCATCCAACAAGATAGCAGCATGATCGAGGGAAGGAATGCTTAACTTGATGGATGACAGGGATTCCAGCTTATGCAGAAGACTGAAGAATTTGAGCCTTGGAGCAAATATTTCCATCTTGAAACATTTCATATACTCCAGTTTCAGGCTAAGCAATTGGGCTCCAGATATCTTAAGACCATTATCATCAACCCCTGCGGAGTTGCAGTCCCAAGGTTTGCAACGAATCAGGACCAAATTCTTCAAAGAGGGAAAGCTAGAAAAGAAGTCCTCGTGTTGATCAGAAGCCAGTGAACACAATCTCAAACTTAAAGTTGTCAGCAATTGGAACCCACAAGATCCAAGGCCACTGTCGATGCAGGCATACCTTAGTTCTAAAGTTTTGAGGTTGCAATTCAAGATTGTGCCAAACAAGTTCGAAAATCTGTCACTTCCATTTAGCTTACCAAAATTTTCCAGCTTGATAACTAGATGTTGAGCATCATGGGTTAAAGCATATTGGATGACCTCCACAGACATACTGACATCTCCAGACTCAAGGATAAACCTGTCACTTCCATAGACATCATGATGCTGATCCTCGTTCAAGTAGGTCACCTTGCGGAGATTAAGGTTATAGCGGAGGGACAAAGCGTTAGATACAAACCTTCGGAAAGTCGGATACTGCTGGAATGAACGGAAGCTCAGATCGAGGACGGGGACACCTTTCCAAGCGCATCTCCACAGCCGGGACAACACACAGGTCTGAACCGCAGATTTTGTGTCGAGAAACGAGAGGATGTGATGAAGAATGGGCTCTGGAAGATGGCTTAACCTATCTTCTTCTTCTTCTTCTTCCCCACTGCGACTTTTCCTACTTAACCCCAACTCGCAGCTACCTTTGTGGCTGTTCATGGCTTTCTACTACAGGATGCAGCCAGCTACTGAGCAATTCAATTCTACCTAAAGCGAGGGATCGAAAGGAATTGATCAAGAATGGAAACAGAAGAGGAATCCACCCGTTTTGACGACGAGTCTCGCCACCGTATACCCCGCGGCAGCAGTTTTACAAGCAATTGGCTCCACCGCTGCAGTCAAAAGTCAAGGCAGCCGGAAATATTGTGCTAAAAAAACAGGAGAGGATTCCACCCGTTTTCGACAGGCTTCTTTATTTCATTTTGGGCTTTGAATAGCAATTACGCCCAAATTACCTTTAATACCATCTCTGACTCTAATTGTATATCCCACCACACTCCTCAAAGCCGTTGCATTGCATCTACTTTCAACGTAAAATGATCCACTAACTATTGTGTTTCGTCATTGATAATTTTGTTATGATGACATCATATTAGAAGTTAAAATTTTAATGTCCAAATAAAATAATTACATCAAAATATTCATCTTAATGAATTATAACTATCTATATAATAATAATTAATAAATTATGTAATTAAGGTCAAATGATTTCAAATTTTTCGCTTTCTAGAACTCATCATGCAATGTCAAATATAGTCCCAAAGTTTTACCTTTCTGGCGTTAGCATTAGATGGTCTAAGGACTTGCTTTTGCTTTCTTGTAAGTTGTAATTTTTTCCTTCCATAATTGATAACTCTTAATGCTATCTGTAGTTCCTGGATAGCAAGGCAGCTTTGCATTGTATAATTATGCTGCAATATGACATGTTAAACATCTCTCGTGAACAATTCAGACATCCAATAGTGCCAAATACAAGAAGGAACGAATATGTGGCAACTAAGCTAACAGAATCTTCTTCCTACTTCAGACTTGCTAAAACTTGCCAATATGGGTAAAACCACTCTCCTTCAACTTATGAACAATCAGAAACTATGACAAAAGGGCAAACTACAAGTTTCTTAAGAACTCATTGATTGGTCCTGTAATGGAGGATTCTTACAAGAAGTCAAGTAACTGAGGCAAAAACAACGCATCCAGAGCGGTTTCCTTCAAACCAAGGGGAAAAAGCATTAAGAAGGTGAGGAACCAAGAAGGCAAGAACACAGTTTAAGTACGCAATAACAATAAGTACTTGAGCTTACAGTTACAGGAGCGGAACTAAAGATACTGAACGTGAAACAATGTTGCCAATTGAAAATGCACTAAAGCAGTTAAAGAACTAAAGAGAATGATGGTATAGTACTAAATTACTAATGCAGTCAAATAAACCGAACAGCTTTTGTGGTCACCTAGTCAAGCTTAAGACATATTCCAAAATGACCTGGAAAGAAAGGAAATCGAACCTATTTGCGTACCACAATCAGAAACCATGACAAGCGGGTAACTGGTATGTCACATAAACTCAACATTTGGTTTCATGATAGAAGACCCTTTAAGAAAGTAATTGGCCAGCATGTAAGGTATGCTGTCAGCATACACGATAAAAGACTTCATTCTCGTAAAGGGAGAGGGTTGTTGTTCCAGAACCTCAGAAATATTGCTCAGTACCTACACACGACAGAAGCAAACTTAAAATGCAAGGTCATATTCTTAGAAGAAACACACAGATTATAACAGCATTATCCGAAGATTACCTCAATGGTGTAGGAATTCAGCGCGAGAGATGTTGCATTATTCAAACCTTGGAAAAAAGAGACTAAATGTTGTGCTGCGCCTTTCTGGTCCTCCTCCATAAACCCATCCTCGTCATTGACCAAGAAAACAACATGGCCAAGGCAAGGAACGCTTAACTTGGAGAATACCAGGGACTCCAAGTCATGCAGCAGTCTAAAAAATTTGAGCCTCGGTGCAACTATCTCCATCTTGTAACACAACAGATCTTTCAATTTCAGGCTAAGCAGTTGAGGTCCAAATATCCTAAGGCTCTTTTCGCCCCTGCTCAAAAAATGGTAGTCAAATAGAGACACTGACTCAGGACCAAATTCTCCAGAGAGAGAAACTTTGAAAAAGGATCGAAGTCCTCATCCTCATCTGACATCAGTAGACATCGCTTTAAAACTAAAGTTGTCACCATTCCAAAACCATTAGATCCAAATCCGCGATTAATGTGGACACTTCTTAGTTGTAGAATTTTGAGGTTGCAGTTCGTGATTGTACCAAACAAATCCGAGAAACCGTAACAATCTTCAGTACTTTCATTCCTATGGTCCAGGTCAATCACTAAATGTTAAGTATCATGAGACAAAGCATACTGGACGACCTTGCCAAATAAACCAAAAGCTAGCCCCTTGCTGCGTTCATTGTCAATGTAGCTGATCTTGCTGACATTATAGGGACCACGGTGGGACAAAACATTGTCCACATACCTTTGAAAGCTCGAATAATCTTGGAAGGAAGCACTACGAAAATTGAGGACAGGGACATGTTCCGATTGCCAAACTCGTGACAATACTGATGTCTGAACGACGGATTTGGTGTCGAGAAACGAAAGGATATGATAAATAATGGCTTCTGGAAGATGGCTTAACCTGTCAGTAGCAGTAGAACTATCTCCTTCTTCACGGCCCCTTTTTCCATTCTTCCCAGATTGGCAGCTTTTGCTCTCGTTGTTCATAGCTATCTACTGGCGGCAACTACACATAATTTCTGAATTCTAAAAACCTAGACCGAGAAATTGAAGGATTAGGGACAGTTAACTCAGCAAGAAAACGGAATCAATGAACAGGAGTTTACCTGTTCTCGATCGTCATTACAGGAACAGGGGAAACTCTAGCTGTTGTGTCTTCCCATGAGAGGCGCAATGAATCGCCTCTACCGATGCAAGCTCCCAATGGACGGAAGGCCGCACTAGCTAAAGGCCGAAGCCGACATAACTGAAAGATGAGCGGAAAACTGTGGACATTTGGTCGGTCGGAGGGAAGCTACGATTCCCGATTTAGGGTTTTGGTTGCAGGGCGCTCAATTGAAGACTTCAGCGGGAAAATGCAGACGGGGAAATGGAATGGACTCATATGGCAGAATGTCGGTTTGGAGTATCTGGTAAAAAGGCCTATTGTAAATATTGGGCCGAATTTGACAAAAGGAGTATAAGTTGTATAACTAAACCCAAGTTAAAGATGCCCTGTTCACTTCCCATTTCGTTTTCTGTTTTTTGTTTAAAAAATAAAAAATAAGAAACAAATAACAAAAAACGGGTTCACTTCCCATTTCGTTTTTCTTGGAAAAAACTAATTGTTACAAATGGGAAAGCTATGGATAAACAATAAAAGCTGGTTTTCTATAAAGTTTGGGACGGGTTATCCCCCCTTTTCCCAGCGGAAATCGCGCAAGAGCTTTAATTCGAAACCCGGGTTCGAATCACCCTGGCCACATTTTTTCCCATTTTTCCTCAGTCATCAATACGCCCCATCTTCTTCCTCCCCAAGTCCTGCGCCGCCGGCCCACTCATCTTCTTCCTCCGCCAGGCCCGCACCGCCGGCCGCCCCATCTTCTTCGACCTAGACTCCTCCCATCAGCAGCGCAGCCAGCCGAGCTCTGCCTCTCCCATCTTCTTCCTCCGGCCGCCCCATCTTCTTCCTCCGCCAACTCCGCGCCGCCAAACCCACGTTCGAGGTCCTCTTCCTCTCCCTCGCCAGCCCCGCGCCTCCATTTTCCTGGGTTGTGAGCCAGCCCCGCGTCGCCATCACGGAAGCCTCCATTTTCCTGGGTTGTGAGCCAGCCCCGCGTCGCCATCACGGAAACGAGAAGACATATTCCAGCCCCTTCTTGATTCCTCCTCCAGTAGGTAATTACTCTCCTGCCATGCGACCCGATTAATGCTTTGTGCTGGTTTGGTGAATTGGACTGGTTTGGTCAATGATTTGTACTGGTTTGATGAATATTCGAATGGTTTGGTCATGTTTTTGTGCTGCGAATTCATGTTTTTGTGGCTTCGAAGCCCATTGCCTCCTTTTCTCGTTTAATAACCACACACCCCTCCCTCCGCCCCACTGCTGCTTCCCATTAGCGCCGCTGATGATGGGCCAGCAATTAAGTGATGATGGGCCGGTAATAATTAAGTGGAAGTAGACAATTATATGTCTGCCATATAAAAAAAATGTATCTGCTTGTTTATGAAGTGTTTGTTTAAAATTCATAGATTAAATTCTACCATGATTAAAGCCCATGCATATGAGATAAATCATATCATTCTTTTCCTTGAAATGAGGTTGGTAACATGTTGGAAATGTCAAGTAATCTTGAAATTGTGGCTTCTTGTTTTGAAGTGTTCTACATCTTCTACGAGAATTTTTAGAAATTGGTTTCAAATGTATCCATATCTGGGTTCTATGAAAATGTCAAAGCAGTTCATCTTGTTAATCAAGTATCAGAATACAGAATGAAAACATACATAATGAAATCGGTACAGTATCGGTATCCCAATACCAAATACCGAAATCCCGAATACCGAATTATATCTTAAAAACAATCACAATCCCAATCCCTAAATATTTCGGTATCCCAATCAGTATTAAAAATTATGTTTATTTGTACTTGTATTGTGTTTATTTGTAGTTTAAAAACTATTTAATTCAAATTAAAAATTATAATCATGGCTAGGGTTGTATGATAATCAAGAATCAGAAAACAGAATGAAGCAACTAAACAGGTTTTCATTTCAGAACTCAGTTTCAGAATTCACCAAAATTCTTAGCTAAACAAGGTTTTTTCAGGTTTTGTTTTCCAGGAAATGACAGCTTCGTTTTCATTTTAATTTTGTTTTCTGTTGTGGCAGCTAACAGAAATGGAATGGCAAGTAAACGGGCCATAAAGTGCAGGCATTTTCGGATTAAAGATCGGGTAAATGACATATTTGGTCACCGAGATTACTAAATGGTGTCATGTTTAGTCACTAGAAAAATTTAATATCAATTTTGGTCACTCGAATTACTGAAACATGTCACATTTAGTCACTCTCCTGTTAGCCTCCGTCCAACTCCGGTCACTCGAATTACTGAAACATGTCACATTTAGCCACTCGAATTATTGAAACATGTCACATTTAGTCACTCTCCCATTAGTTTCCGTCCAAGTCTATTAATCGAGTTGGACGAAAACTAACGGGAGAGTGACTAAATGTGACCTGTTTCAGTAATTCGAGTGACCAAAATTGACTTTAAATTTTTCTAGTGACCAAACATGACACAATTTAATAATCTCAATGACCAAATGTGGCATTTACCCATTAAAGATCGGACCAATATTATATGCGATTCTTTTTAGTCTGATTCAATTATCAATTCGATCAATTTTTTCTCCGTATATATAATTTATAAGATCAAGGATCATACCTTATTATACTCGATTTTATGTGATTCGATCCAAGTATTGATTTGATTTGCTGGATTTGATACGAACCAACCGCTCTACACCCCTAATTGCAACCAACCACTTCCAACTAAAAAATTTGGTTTCTCACAAGAAGATGTGACAGTTGAGGGAAGACTCTGGCTCCATTTCACGGATTTAGGGTTTCATTTTGGGCGGGAAGGGAAAAGTGGAAACCTGTGGGTCTTTACTCTTTAGGATAAGGCCTAAGAGTTGTACTTGTACATATTTTGATCCCTATATTATCAAAATTGCGCTAAAGATATCCTTTGAATTATCAAAATCATCTTTCAAATTGCTCAGCTATAAAAGGATCTAATTGTATGCAGAATTCCATCTCATAAGCTGGCTACATAAGAACACATCCAATTCCAAGTCAAGCAATTGCGGTCCAGATATCTTCAAATAGCTTTCATGCATAGGAGCATTATGGTTCGAATGGCCGCAATCACCCATGACCTAATTATATTCTTCAGACGTGAAAAGTTCGAAAAAGAATCAGATACCCTCCATTCCGATAAGAAAACCAGTTTGCAATATCACAACTCTAAAGTTTTCAGCATTTGGAACCACAACTTCCAAATCCACTATCAATCCAAAAATTACTTAGCTCGAGAGTTTTGAGGTTGCCACTCGAGGTCGTGCCAACTGCCAAAGAATTATGGATAATCCTGATCTAGCGTCCAAACCCATTAGACGTAACAGCCGAGCCACTAATTGTCGAGCGACCTTGACAAGAAAATCGTACATTCTCCGTTTGACCGAATTTAGGGATTCATTTCTCGAATCAGGGAACTACAGGTTTAGACTTCGGAAGGAAGATGTAGAGAAACAAGCTTTACAGAATTAAATTTCAGTCAGGAGGTGAGCCCCTCAATGTCACTTAGCTTGGTTATTGGGTTCCATGTTTTTGTATGATTAGACGTGGCAATTTTCAATTCAATCCACCAATCTATTAAAAATATCTACCTAATCCAATCCATTTTATCCAAATCCAATTGGATTGGTGGATTCATGGATCCAAAATGGCAAATTACAGTTTGGTACCTATACTTTTATATTTTACATTTTGGTATCCAAAATTTGATTTTTTACGAAAAATATCATTGGACAACTACGTTTTGGTACCTATATTTTTTCATTATGACATTTAAGTACCTAAACTTTTCACATTTTACATATTGGTCCAATGTTAAAGATGTCATTTGGATTCATGGATAATCCACTTATCCATGAATCCACCAATCCATTGGATCCAATCCATTTAATCCATGGATCAATCCATTTGCCACCTCTATGTACGATCAGGGCTGGCTAGAGGGTGTGCCGGCCCGCCCTCCGGCACAGGGCCTCCACTTAGATCAGTTGGTTATCGATCGTATATGTAGGTTGTATTTTTAGTTATGATTGATTATGAGTATGATGGCGAGTTTAATAGATAATTTTAACTATAATAACAAATAAAAATGATCACATGGAGACTACGAAAATCAGAGAGATAATAGATAATTTTATTTTAAACAATATAGAAAGATATTACATGTTGAATAATGGTAATATAATCATTTTAGTTTTATTATAGTAAAGTCAATTTGAATCACATCTCAATTTTGGAACAGGGCCTCCACGATACATTAGACAGCCCCGCACCCACCTCTCGATCAATTTAGACTATTTTCATTTCTCTATTCAATTTTTTCTCTATATCCATTTTCTCTTCCCTCTAGATTTACTTTCCTCCCTACTAGGGCTGGGAATTTGATATTAATTTCTTGGTCAAACTAGAAACGGGATCATTTATTCCTTTTATAATTATTTTCCGAGCTTATATATTTATTTTTTTATTATTTAATCATTTTTATTTTTAATAAATTTGTGGAAAAAAATTTAGGGTCACATTTTACATTTTCGAACAGGGCCTCCGAATATCATGGACGGCACTGTGTACGATACATTACCAGACACACTTAAAGAGTTCAGTCACTTACAATTTACAAATAATACATACTGCAATACTGAATCCAAGGAGGTACTTCCTAGGAACAAGTTATATTGACCCCAAGTCAAAGTGTAGGCGAAAGCAAATTAAGCAACTTCAAGGATTTTCATTCGAGAAAGCTGTGTAAATAGAAGGGCACTATAGAACAGTGCTTTGAATATCATGGCAGACATCTTCTTTCAGAGATTCAATCTGCTAAATACAAGCACATGCACAAACAATATTCACCAAATTGACCGCGGTTCAAAATTCAGCAATGCTTGAGTGTTTGTTCATGTCGATCAGCAGCATATTGGATTTCAATGCCAAGTTATTGGCAATCCGTGATAGAGATACTCCCAGCAACCTTTACATGTTTTTTTTTAGATAATGGTGATTGCATTAAAATGAAAATGGTCCAAAAGAGAATACATAAAGCAAGCTGAGTGAGTTCAATAAGGCTGTGTCAAGAACTAGTTGGTCCCAATAATTTGAGCTGTTGGGAGAAGCATTTGCTGGATCTTATACCACTCTCTAACACGCCCCCTCAAACGAAAGCCAACCCATGAGCTTGAAGTTTGCACAGGCCCACCATACTTTGTGCTTTTTAATCAACTGTTAATATTGGGGGTCATGGAGATTCGAACACACGACCATTTGGCCAAACCAGCTCTGATACCATGTCAAGAACCAGTTGGTCCCAATAACTCGAGTTGTTGGGAGAAGGTTCTGCTGGATCTTATACCACTCTCTAACAGGCTGAACCAACCAGCAGCAAGACAACAAAAAATAAAATAAAAAAGGAGAGGAAGAGAAATGAAGATTAGGTCTCATATATTATTTTGTTTGTGATGTAATATTTTTTTCATAATATTGATAGAGATTTATAGGTGTTATATATTTTTTCAAAACGGACATAAATCGACACATAAATTGCTTGTACTCCAATCGGATTGTACCATTTGCTAGATTAACATAACAATGAACACCAATTTGACGACCTTGATTTTCTCAAAACAACAAATAGAAAGCTGGCCACCAATAAATAAGCAAGCATAGTACCCTGCTCATTTCAAGCACAACTGTAACACTATCACATTGTATATTAAATGTTCAATATAATGAATACCTAAGTAGCCCATTGTTAAGTGAGCCGTCCTTGATCCAGGAAAGCAAAAACCTCAAATCATCAAACATATCTCTTCAAACGAACTCTTATATTTACCCGTCTTTACCTCTTTACAGTTAGCAACTGGCCACTTCCAACTAAAACATTTGGTTTCTCACAAGAAGATACTTTAAAAAAGTAATCAATGACTTTTTCGTGTAAATCATCGGATGCCAAAATTAAGGACTCCAACCTCTTGAAGGGGGACGATTGTTGCTCCAGAATCTCACAAACATGATTCAGTATCTGGAAGAAAAAACAAACATATACAATAGTAGATTAATATAAAAATTGAAGAGCATGATAGTAATATCTTATCGAGATAACTAGAAACACAATATGTACATACCTGGATTGTCAGGGAATCTAGCGTCAAAATTTTTGCACGGCACAGACTCTGGAACAAGGAGTTAAAATATTGTTGCACTTGTGTCTTGTTCAACCCGGAAACATCCGACGTTGTCAGCTCGATATCAGCACGATCCAAAGTAAGAAAGGCAGAATTGAACAAGTCTTTCAGTCTTTGGCACTCATGTTACGACAAAGACGGAAGAATTTGAGTTTCGGTGGGAAAATCTCAACCTTGTCGCTATCAATCCCCTTCAGTGTCAGGCTAAGCAATTGGGGTGCATATACCCGGATCCTCTCCACACCTTTTCTCGCGTAACAGTTACTCATGGTCAGATTTTTCAAGCAAGGAAAGTTGGCAGAAATATCAAGATCATGATCAATATCCAGCTTGCAATGATCCACATTCAACGTCGTTAACATCGGAAAGCCAGAGCAGGTTGTAAACTCGGGATCGAGGGTGAAATATTCCAATTCTAGAGTTGTCAGATTACCATTCTCCTTCTTCTTGTTGTTATCGCAGTGCTCCGATCCGAGGACATCGAATAGCACTCGTCATCGCAGTACTCCGAGAATATCGAACTGAAGTTGCAGGGGTTGTTGGTAGCCCTCAAGCGAAGGACCAAATGTTGAACGCCATGGGATAATGCATAGTTGATCACTTTCAAAAGCCTGTCCATAGATTTCCTGTCGTACGCGCGGCCTGCATAATTGTTGTTGTCGTCGACGTAGACAACCTTGCGGAGATTAAGGTTGTAGCGGAGGGACAAAACATTGGACACAAACTTTTCAAACTGATCAGAATCTTGCAGAAACGACTCCTTATCCAGGTTGAGGACAGGGACATGTTTCCAGGCGCGGTTCCAATACCGCAAAAGCACCGAGGTTTGCACTGCGAGTTTCGTGTCGAGGAACGAAAGGATGTGATAAAGAATGGGTTCTGGAAGATGGCTTAACCTGTCAGTAGCAGTTTCTTCTTCATCGCGACGCCTTTTCCCAGCTTTCCCCAACTCGCCGCCACCGCTGTTGTCGTTGTTCATAGCTTGCAACTAGTTTCAGAAACTTATGCCAAGAAAGAGGGAGTCAAGTTCAACGCGGATTCGCCTGTTTTTTGGATTGACCGGCTGGCCGGTACAGGGCCTCCGATGATCGCGAGACTCTTTTTTCTTCTCCGGTCCGCCGCTGCAATTCCCAACTCTCAAGCACAAGGGCAAGCCTAGAAAACGGTTGCAGTTTTGGTGGGCAAGCGCTCCACTTATATAGTTAACCTAAATCTTACTTTTCCTCATTTAAATAGGAATAATCTCCACTTATATAGTCAACTTCTGTTTACTGCTATGATGATACAGCCTACAAGCTCTCGAAAACCTTATTTCAACGAAGCTGGATATGATAACCAGATTGGTAAAGCTGAGGGAGAGCAGAACTCAATAAGCTACAATGAGAATGCCTTCCTCGTGACCTGGAAGTCCATGCTTTACTTGCTTCGCAAGCCACCAAAGGCAAAGGAAAGGCCTCTATAGTTTTTCTGCTATATAATTTGTATGAAAACCAAATTTACATACGAAGGTGGGGTGTTTGCCTGTTTCGGGTTTGGGTGATTTCCTTGCTTTCCTTTTTCCAAAACCGATCGACTGCTGAAACCATCATGTTGAGTCAACTCCAAAACCAGTGTGTTAAACTGATACCATATAAAACTGATTGCCAGTTGCAGCTCTAAGCTATTCCAGAGACGTTTCCTTCTGAGAAATCAATTGCAAGATGCAATTTTGCAGCAGCATATCAGCAGCCTTATTGCAAGCTTTAATCACATACGCCATCTCAGGAAAGCAAAGATAAACACAGTAACAACAGTTATCCATACATTCTCATAATCTCATACTTACGAGTTACGATTGGTACACTCCATGATTCGGATATCGAATCTGCCATTGCTAGAGTAAGTTTCATTTTCAAAACCCGCAGCTCAAACAGTAGAACCATGATACTGTAGCACAATTTTGAGCCAAGCAAAGGAGTAAGAGGTTTAGGCAAGCACCACAAGTTGATTTATGCAAGGCACCGTAAGTCCATAACTTTAAAACAAGGAGAACATACCAAAGTCGAGATATCAGACATCAAAACTATATTTGCAACTGAAGGTAAGGATACTATTATCAAGGGACTGAGAAAGAAGTGATAGTGCAATAGATATGACAGACTGACGGTCAAAATAAGCTGTTGGGCAGTCATTTCATGAAAACAAACAGCAACAAATTGCATACCATAATCAGAGACTATGGCAAAATGGCTGACCAATATGCTACACAAACACAAATTTCGGCTTCATGCTAGCGGACTCTTTAAGAAAGTAATTGATGACTGTGTAAGGTACACTGTCAGCCACCATGATCACGGAGTTCAGTCTCGTAAAGGGAGAGGGTTGTTGTTCTAGAAACTCAGACATATCACTCAGCACCTACACAGAACAAAAGCCAACTTAACTGTCAACTGTCAACCGTCAAGGTAAATATTTCATCGACGGGAACACTGAGAGTATGACGGCATTAACAGATTACCTTGACTGTATAGTGGCCCAGCGAAAGCGATACTGCATTTTTTAAATTTTGGAACAAGGAGATCAAAGATTTCCTCACACATTCCTCATCTTCCTCCAAGAAAAAGTTCATGTCAGTTGCCTGGATATCAACATGATCTAGGAAAGGAACACTTAACTTGGTGAATTGCAGATATTCCAATTCCTGCAAGAGACTCAAGGATTTGAGTCTTGGTGCAGATATTTCCATGTCCAAGCATACCATACCATCCAATTCCAAGCTAAGCAACTGGGATCCAGATATCTTAATTCTACCGTGATGCATGCAATGAGCCAGGACCAACTTATTCAGACAGGGAAACTTTGAGAAGGGATCGAACTCCTCGGGCAGACTAGAATGTAACATGCAATCTTCCAAATGTAAAGTTGTAAGCATACTGAAGCCAGAAGCTACAAATGAGTCGTCGATCCAGACAGCTCTTATTTTCATCGTTATGAGGTTGCAATCGGGAATAGTTCCAAACAGCTCGGAGAATGTGTAATTCTCGTCCATATATGTACCCAACGAGTCCAGATCAACCACTAAATGCAGAGTGCCATGAGATAAGCCATACTTAACGACCTTGTCAAACAGACTAAAATCTACGTCCTCCGAATCGTCACTATCAATGTAGCTTATCTTGCTGACATTAAAGGGACCACGGCGGGACAAAACATTCTCAACATACCTCTGGAAACTCGAATACTCTTGGAAGGAATCACTACGCAGATCAAGAATAGGGACATGTTTCCAGACGAACCTCCACGCTTGGGACAATACGGAGGTTTGGACAACCGATTTGGTGTCGCTGAGCAAAGAAAGGATGTAACAAACAATGGATTCAGGAAGATGGGTTAACCTGTCAGTAGCAGTTGAGGCATCCTCTTCTTCCTCTTCACGGGCCCGTTTCCCATTTCTAACCAATTCGCAGCTGATGCCAGTCTCGTTCATCGTCATTTTATACCGGAGCCACCTTCAGTGTACCAATCCCTTGTGGTCCACCTAAAACAGGAATCGAAAGGGATTCAAAGCGAAAGCTGAGCAAGGAATCAACGCCGACGAATACCTGGTCTTCGAAGGTTATTACAGGGCGGGAGACTCTTTCCCGTTCTGTCTCGCTCGGAGGGAGTCACCAAGCTCGCAATTGATTGTCTCCGTCGCTGCTATCCGAAAGACTACTCCTCTGTAATAGGATGTCCTCAATCGTTGAAGGCTGAAGCACGACCGGGATACATGGATAATTGGCCGGAGGAAAGCTACAAATCTCAATTTAGGGTTTTGTTAGCAGAGAGCGCGCAATTTGACTTTCCGCGGGAAAATGTAGGGGGGATTGGGGAAATGGAGAGGGAATGGTATCAAATAGTGATTTTTCATTTTTGCGTTTCCCAAATTTTCGTTTGTTGTGTCCGGTTGTGGATGATGGCATATTGGCCCATATCATCAACAAAGCCCGATTTAGTTGAAGTTGTTGGGCTATGTAGCCAAACTCGGATTAAAATGGCCATCTATTTTTCGTATATATAACTTTTTTTTCATTTTTTTACCTTTACTTAGATCATCCTGTTATCCTTAAAATAACTTTTATCCGCTGAAGAGTGAATGGGTAAAATACCTCGGGTAGTACTTAAATTTGAAAATTGGGGCAGACATACCACTTAAGTTTGAGTAGGACGTCAAGTACCATTAAAGTCTCCAAAATGTGCTTCCGTCTAGTTTTCCATCCAACCCAAACTTTTAATTACCTTTTGGTAGCCAAAACTTTTAAAAAATAAAAAATTATATTTCAACATCTAATATAAAAATTAGAGAACCTTCTAAACATAGTACTACTAGAATGGCTAATGAAATTTTTTCAATATAATAGATAAAATAGTAAAAATAATAAATGAATATCAAAAAGGAATTATAAATATACTAAAATATTATAATCTATAATTAAAATCAATATTAGAAGATCTATTTAAACCCATGATTCAATTAAAAGCACTATTAAAATCAGTTAAAATAAAACCTTATTGACCACTAATACATCAAGACCAAAGAAAGGATAAATGGAACACAATTTGAAAATTAAACATATTTCATTAATTGAAAAAAATTAGAACAAAAAGAGACAGAAAGTAACCAAGTAATAAGTAACTATAAAAGCTACAACATTCAGTTTCAAATATAGAAAAGAAAATATGACTATAGGAAAATAATTAGAAATAGTAAATTTAACTAATATGGAACATTTAGAATATAATATTATAGAATTACAAGGAGATTTAAATGGAAAATTAGACAACATCAATATGATGTAATAAGTGAACTAAATATAACATCCTCATATTATTTATATCGTGATAAAATTCATAGAATATATTTCTTCAGGGAGTAATTCAAAAAAAAAATTATGAATGGTAGAGCTTCTATTTCATCAAAACAACCCGAAGGTAAAAATGTGGCCACAACCCTAGCCACTAGGATAAATCAGTTTAAAAGTGAAAGCTAATAACAATCAACTATCAACTTCTAACTATAGTATAGGAGCCAAGAAAAGGGGGAAATAAACCCATAATCATTACTACATAAAGACTGTAATCTCTGAAGGAGTACACAACACATCCAAGTCCTCTTTGGCCTTACGAACCACTTCAGCAACCTGGAAAATCTGCTTACCATGACAAAGAGCACAGCTATCTCTCCATACACCACTTACCAGAATCTGTCAAAGGAGTCTCCCACCTTTTGCACAGAGAGCATAACCAGAAAAAATAGAAACAACCCACTGAAGCTCTGAGTCCCAACTGACAGAGGGGGGGTCTGCAAGTGAACTTACTGAAGAAACAAGAGTAAATCTCAGTATAGCGGGTGCATTGTGAGAACAAATGGTCCCGAGTCTCTACTGTGCAGCTGTAAAAACACATTTAAAAGCTCCCTGGTATCCCCAAGACATCAATTTATCACACGTAGTGATAACCCCTTTCACGATTTGCCAACAGAGGAACTGGTTACTTCTAATAACTGGCTCTTTCCATATCAGCTTGAACCAATAAACATCTGCAGCTCGAGGCCTAAATAACTCCCATGCCATTTTAATGGAAAACTTCTTTAGATATTGCCCCTGCCCGTAGCCATCATGACCCCTAACTTCAAGAATTCCATGAACCTTACTTCTTAGCTTGAGGATTTTTCTCCAGAGCCATGATCCAGAGTTACTCTCCACTAGCCAGAAGTCATTATGGTGCAATCTATATGCTCTCATCCAAGCTACCCATAGGGAACCCTCCTTAAGCAGATATCCCAAATATGTCTCACTACACATGCTTGGTTCCAGCTAAAAAGGTCTCTTATCCCCAACCCTCCTTCCTTCTTTGGCAAGGTAAGACCACTCCATGCTATGTAAGCTTTGCTCCTACCCTCAACGTGAACACCCATAGAAAATCACTACAGAGTTTCTCTATTTCCCTAACAATTTGCTTGGGTAAGATAAAGACAGTCATCCAGAACTGTACTAAACTGAGCAGCACAGAGCTAACTAGCTGCAATTTCCCAGCATAGCTTAACAGCTTCGCCCGCCCCCCCCCCCCTCCCCCGCTTTGAATTTTACTCATTATTCTGTCAATTAAAGGCCGACATGCTTTAATGGAAACCTTACCTGGAATCAGAGGGACTCCCAAGTATCTCACAGAAAGAGTTCCAAGTATATACCCTGCCCTTTCCGCCATACTACTCTTCCATTCAAGAGGGGCAATCCTCCACAATACAATTCACACTTTGCAAGGTTAGAAACCAGGCCAGACAAAACTCTGAATCTCTCAAGCACAGTTTGCATGCAGTGAATCCCATAGTTTGACCCATCCGAGAATAACAACAAATCATCAGCAAACATGATATGAGTCAATCCAATTCTCTTGCACATGGGGTGAAAAGGCATTTTATTTTCAGCCACTGCAGCATTCATAAGGCAACTAAACACTTTCATAGCCACTGTGAAAAGATAGGGAGATAAAGGATCTCCTTGACGAAGTCCTTTCTGAGCAGAAAAATAACCAACTACCCCACCATTAAACCCAATACTCAACTTAGGAGTGGTCACACACACTGCAAGCCATTTTAGAAACTGGCTAGGGAAACCCATAGCTTCAAGCACAGTCATCAAAAAAGTCCAATCAACAGAGTCGAAAGCCTTCATAAGATCCACTTTTATTATACTTCGGGGAGAAATGTTTTGCGAGGTATACTTTTGGATAAGTTCATGAGCAAGCAATATGTTTTCCCCAATCACTCTACCCTTGACAAAAGCAGTTTGATTCTCACTAATTACACTAGGCAAACACTCACTAAGTCGAGAAGAGAGGATTTTGGCAATACACTTATACAAGGTATTGCAACAGGAGAAAGGGCGAAAAAATTTCATTTCCTCAGGACTCTTTATCTTTGGAACAAGAGCAATAAGTGTACAATTTACCTAAGATGGGAAGGAAGAGTGAGCAAAACAGTGTTGAATAGCTGAGATGACTTCCCCTCCTATAACGTCCCAGGTAGCTTTAACGAAACAAGCAGAATACCCATCCGGCCCAGGACTTTTATCACCTTTTAAACCAAACATGACATTCTTAATCTCCTCTGCAGTGACAGGCCTACACAGAGCCTTCCATGGAAGCTACTCAACAATAAAAAGTGATGTTTTTTATAAGGATTTTTACAATAATAAGAATTAGAAGGACCATTTATGAGATGTAGAAAATGGAATATTCCAAGAATATTCTGTCAACTTTAACAGAATTCACTTAGCAGTAAACTTAAGTGGTATCGGGTGCACATATAATAGAGTTTAGTGGTACCCGATGCCCTATTCAAACTTAAGTGGTATAACTCCCCTAATTCTCATACTTTAGTGGTACCCGAGGTAATTTACCCAAGAGTGAATCAATGAAATCTTGCTTGGGAAGATGTGCAGTAAGCCAGTAACTCATCTCAAAGGATTGGCATATAATATAAAAAATAGATTATTGTATATTACTTTCATTTCCGTTTTATGTGATTGTGGTAACACAAAACTAAACATGATGGAAACGAAACTACCATTTTCTAAGAAACAAAACCTGAAAATCTAAAAAATGAAAACCTATTTAATTGAAACTTCTGATGAATTATGAAATTGAAATATGAATGATAATAGATTGTTTGAAATCAAAATAATAAAAATTTGGATGATCTTACTAATAAAAATGATAAATTAAATGATTAAATATAAAAAGACAAGGAAAATTAATTTTATTAGAGAAGAAATTATATATATATATAAATTTTATAGAGACTTTATGAAATAAAATATAATCTATTTTTAGTATAAATGAATTCTATAAGTTTTTAGGGGTTCATTTTGAAAGGAAATGTTTTTATTTGAAATACCAGTTAATTAATTTTTTATGGTGAATTATAAGCTAAGTAATAGTAACATTGTTACTTTTCAAACTTCATTGATTGATTTGAATACATATAATGTTCTAGATGATTTAATTATTAAATTAAGAATACATTTTGAAAGGTTTTCATTTAATTCAACTATAAATGTGTTCCAAACATGACTTGGGAGTTCAGTTCAATTAATTTGTAGATACTTGAATACAACATGTCAAACATCTGAATTCATTTTCAAATGAATTTCTCACCGTTGAATTGAAATGAATTATTAATTCATTTAGGTTCAAATAAGTCTTTAATGATTCAACGGGAAAAAACAAATAGTCTTTAATGTGATATTAGTAAGTAGAAAAGTTAGGTAAAAGAGAAAAATTAAAAGACTAAAATAAAATTACTAAAAAATAATTTTGAGTAATGTATTCAAATAATTTACATTATCGAATAAGAAGAAAAACAATTCATTGAAATATGAGAAAATAGATGTGAAAACTGACGGAAACAACATTTTTTCATTTTGGCAAATAGTAGGTAGCTATCAATCTTCCTTTTCAGAGCTGAAACAAAAAGAAAATAAAATGAAAATTAAAGAGATTTCCTTGTTTCATTGCCAAATAAAGTCGCTTTCGCTCAAGCATGCATGAAAACAGATGATAGAAGGCAGTTCTAGGTGCAAATATTCTCAAGCATATAACTCTGCTCAGCAGAGCTTCTAAGCTCTGGTGTTGACTCTATAATCGACGGGTTTTTTCCCCCTACAGTAACTTCCTTACATAGTTACTGCCAGCAAAATCAACTAAAACAATTGGTTCTTCACAAGAAGATTCTTTAAAGAAGTAATCTATCACTTTCTCCCATCTATAGAATTCGTAGTTACTGATTCCCCATCCAATAGACATACATCCTAGTCCTTGTTGTCCTCCTTGATGATACATACTCAAATAATTGGCACGAGGATCCTCAAACTCCCAACCATTCTCCAGTGGTAGTGCCTACAGAAACCATACAAGACGTTCCAGAAGAAGAGGAAAAAAAACCAACAGCATGGTACAAGGAATAAGTGAAAGTACGTAAATACAGTACCTTAACGGTATACCGACTCATCTTTGAAGGTTTTCCAGAATACAAATCATGGAACAAGGACTCCACAAACGGTAAGCCATAGGACGACACAATCAAGGTCTCCAGTCTCTTAAACGGGGACGGTTCTTGATCCAGATAGGACTCCTGTGGTAATGCACACCCCCAAATTTTTAAAAGGTGTGATAGATTGGTACTACGTTAATCAGTCACATTATGCACAAGTCACGTGAAAACATACCTGGACGGTAGAAGTACAGGACTTCAAAATTGTATAGCCTTGGGGTTGAAAGATTGGGTTGATAAAGTGTCCATCGTTCAATGGCGCAAACACGGTCTCAAATCCCATAGAGGGGGTCAGTTGTGGATACAGATCCTTCTTCAGAAACTACACAGAACACAGACTAACTTTAGTCAGAACAGAAAGTACGATACTAGTGGTTAACTATAATTAATTAGTTACTGCAGTTTGGGTTACATGAAGTGGAAGTAGTATGTACCTGAACAATAGAAGAATCCAGCTTCAAAGACTTTGCATTATGCAAGCCTGGGAACAAGGACTTCAGATAGTGGTGCTCATAAGGAGATTTTTTGTTTAAATGGATATTTTGCTTCTGGGTCAAGGCGATATCTGCACGATCTAGGGTAGGAAGAGATAGCTCGATGAACCCTTGCGCATTGTTCACGTCTTGACAAACACTGAAGAACTGGAGTTTGGGTGCGAATATTTCGATCTGAAACTGCTCCGTCTTGTCCAGTTCCAGGCTCAGCAATTGGGGTCCAGATATCCTCATCCTTCCAACAGTTTTCCGGTCAGGGAGGAAGCAGTTAGAGACGACCAAATTCGCCAGACAGGGAAAGTTTGAGAAGAGATCAACAAGGCCCTCCTTTTGATGACGATCCAGCACCAGCAGGCAGCTTGTCATCTTCAAGGTTGTCAGCATTGGAAGACCCGAGCAGCGCAAGAATCCATAGTCTAGGGCGATCCAGCTCAATTCCAGGGTTTTCAGATTAAAGCTGGAGAATTTGCGACCACTCATGACGAATAGATTGTAGCTCGGGTATGAATAGAACAGCTTGGTGAAGCGGTACATGCGCTCAATATCGTCGACGTAATACATTCTTGCCGTGTCAACCACCAACTGCTGAACATCATGGGAGAAGGCATAGTGGATGACCTTTACAAGCCGCTTCTTGTGATTCTCATTTGATGGGCCTGCAGTCGAGACGTAGACAACCTTGTGCAGCTTGAGGGGGTACCGGAGGGACAGAACCCTACCCACAAAAGTCTCGAAACGACAAGCATATTTGAATGCATTCCCATGTAGATCGAGGACGGGGACATGTTTCCACACGCGGCTCCATGATCGAGACAGCTTGGAGGTCCGAACCGCGGTCTTGGTGTCGAGGAACGAAAGGATGTGATAGAGAATGGGTTCTGGAAGATGGCTTAACCTATCATTAGTAGCTGCAGTAGTACCATTTTCTTCTTCATCACGACGCCTTTTTCCAGGTTTCCCTAACTCGCATCTGCAGTTTACACACAACATCTTCAGCTTCTCGCAACCTGATTAACACAATACAAAAGGCAATAATAGTATCGGTAACTTAGCAAGAAATGGAATGTGAGTGCAACGTGGAGATCTTTTACTTCAAACAATATTTTTTGGGTTATGCAAAACCCCAAATTAGAAGTTAAAAGTTGTTGTACCCTCCCCTTAAACTTCTCAAAATCAGCCTGTATCTTCTAGGATTCTACCATAGCGACTTATTCAAAATCATAATAACTGATTTAACTACATTGTCGGGCTTGAAAAACAGAAAAAGTCAATTCGTGTGCATTTTTTCAAGAAGTATTATCAAATTAATAAATGAATTTTTTTAAATCAAATAAGACCAATATCTGAATGATCTAGGGAAAGAAGGCTTAACTAGAAGAATCCTTGTGTGTTTTTGCTCTTCTTATTTCTCGCAGCTCTTGTGTCATGGTCGGTGTACAGCAACAGCATATTATTCTCTTGGTAGGCGTCACTGGAACCATGCTTGTGCAGTAACTCATCTCAAAGGATTGGCAGAATGGTTTCATTAGCACCCTCAGTCACATTTGAGAGAACTGTAGGAGACAGGCCCCAAGCTATTGATTGCAGCAGGATACTAGCAGCTCACCTTTCAACAGATGAGCTCTGCCAAGAGAACTGAACTAGAAGAAAGAGATCCGTGTATCTGTCTGTCCAGTGTCATAAAAGAACTGTTGTCATCCGGAAAGGGAGCATCCTCAGATAATCAAGCAGAGAGAGAGACACTAGTAAGTGGTACATATCACACTGTAGTCCTGTTAGACTTCCACAAAGATTCAACTTTTCCGAACTGCTTGTAAAAGGATTACTGGGAAATCTACTACCAATACAAGCCAGAGGACTAATAATGATAACATCAACAATAAGAATCGACCAAGGGACAGGTCAAAGAGGCCTTGCCAGTTGTCATACTTCGACAAGAAACAGGTTACATCCATTACAAATTGATTCATAACAATGTGTTTCAGGAAATAACAATAAACGGTTGTGAATATTCCTAAATGATCAGAAAAGAAGGAAAGGAACATTTTCACCATTGTGTAGCACAATTAGAAACTACAACAAAGTGGTCAAATACTACTTTCATGAATGTTCAATGGCACAGAGCTTTTGCCTTTCTTCATCCTAAAGAAACAGAGGTTTTGCCTCAACGCTCTGACTAGCACTTAAACTTTCTGCTTACAGAATCATAAAAGATAGTTGGTTCTTCACAAGAAGATCCTTTGAAAAAGTAATTGATGAGTGCCTCTGGTAGAAAATCAGACCCCACAATCAAGCACTCCAATCTCTTAAAGGGGGATGACTATTCTTCAAGAAACTCACAAACATCATCCACTATCTACAGAGAACACAGATAAACTTACAGAGTATGAGAAAATCTTCTCGAATTAACTCTAAGAACATCACCACTGCAAAAAGTATTACCTGAATATCACAGCCATGTAGCTTCAAAGATATTGCATTATGAAAACCATGAACAAGGAGGTAAAATGTAGTTGCAACTGTTCCTGTGCAATGAATTTGTCAAAACCACACCCTACTTTGAGCAGCCCAATATCTGCATGATCTAGGGAAGGAAGGGTAACTTGGAGAATCCTAGAGAGTCCAAGTTTCGCCAAACAGTCAATCATTTCAGTTTCAGTGCAAATATTTCAATCTTCGATTTTCCAATTCAAGTTTGATAAGTTGACGTCCATATACCCTCAGACTCCCTTCCTCTCTTGTGGAAGAAAGGAAGCAACCAGATAATACCAAATTCTTCAGACAAGGAAAGTTGGAGAAAAGAATCCTCCTCCTGATTAGTATCCAGCTTGCACGCCCTCATATTCAATGTTGTCAGCACCCAAAACCCAGAAGATACAAATCCACTGTCGATGATTACAGATGTCAACTCTAGAGTTTGAGGAAGCTAGCCTTGTCGAGCTTAAGGTCTTAGCGGTGGTACAAAACCATAGACACAAACTTGTCAAAACTACAAAAGCCTCGAAAGGGGCAGTTACAAAGATGAAGGACAGGGACATGTTTCCATAATGGGATCTGGAAGATTGCTTAACCTGTTGTAGTAGTAGATGCAGTACCTTCCTCCATACGACGCCTTTTTCCAGCTTTGCTAAACGCACATCTCGCCCCTACCATAACTTTATATAGGGAGGCAAGGCAACTATAGACACTTTCGATTTTGAAAACTTATATACCACCAAAAGGAGCGAAATCAGAAAAATATAGCTAGACCGAGGAATCAAACAACAACACGAAATTTACCCGTTTCCGATTATCAATACACACGGCGATAGAAAGACTCTTACCGCCTCCCCCGCAACGATTCAAGTTCAAAACTCGTCAAAGTCTGACTGACCTCAGGTTTTGGAGTGACAAGAACATGGCTCCATTCCGGGATTTAGGGTTTTGTTTTGGCGCGGGAACTTCAGAGGGAAAGCCAGAGCTGTAGTGTAGTATTTACGAAAAGAATTAATTTTGCATATTGATCCCTATATTATGCAATTGTGCTGAAGACATCCTTTGATTATCAAAAGTTATCTTTCAAGTCCATCAACACTCAACAGTCGACTGTCAGCTACTCATCTTTGACAAAAAGAGTGTGCATTGTTTGAGTCCTATAAGCTATCTAAATAACAAGATATAGGATTCTAGATTGGCGTTCAATACTGATATTTCCAAGAATCCTACTCTTTCACTGATTTAAGTTTGTACTGGAGTGAGGGATGACAAAAATAATATAATAATTGGATATTCTTGAATCTAATATTGAAAATCGTTCTAATAGCAAAGATTGACAATCGTACCTCTGTTTCAACCTTCTCACGAAGTAACTTCTACTAAGATCAATCAACAATAGTCTCTTCAGCTCCCCCTCCCCTCTCTTCTATGGCCTGAGCAACCTTTTTATTACAAAGTAACTAATTGTACTAAAATCAACCAAAACTTTTGGTTCTTTACAAGAAGATTCTTTAAAAAAGTAATCCATAACTTTGTCCCATCGAGCCACATCGTAATCGGAACTCATAATTGGCTTGTGTAGATGCTCCATCAACTCCCAGCCAATTTCCAGCGGCAATGCCTATAGACAACAAAGACGAAGATTTAGAAGAAGAAAAACAGTGACACTTCCATATGTACATTTATGGTACATCCTACATTTTGATGCATAAACGACAATTTTATCTCTTGTAAATTGTAAACAAAGGTATTACCTTAATGGTATAGCGATCCATCTTCATTCCATTACGAAAATCATCGAACAAAAATCCCACAAGAGGTACCTTGCTCCACGGTACGATCAAGGACTCCAAACCCTTAATGGGGCACGGTTGTTGATCATCTAGAAACTGCTTCAGTATCTACATTCACAGAACACAGATGAACTGAAGAAAAATAAAAGGTACGACACCAGTTGTTATCAGTTACAACTTACATTGTGCGCACATGAAGTGATGAAGTGGAAATTATACCTCAACAGTAGAATAACCCAGCTTCAAAGATTTTGCATTGTGCAGACCTTGGAACAGAGCATTCAAATATTGATCATGATGCACGTAAGCTTCCTTTCTATGTATGTGATTCAGCTCGATCTCTGCACGATCCAGAGAAGGAAGCGATAGCTCGGAAAACCCTTGAGAATCATTCACATCCTGACGAACACTGAAAAACCTGAGCTTGGGTGCAAATATCTCAATCCTGATTTTCTCCATCCCCTCCAATTCCAAGCTAAGCAATTGGAGTCCAGACACCCTGACCCTCAAGAACGGACGCACTCTCGGATCCGCTAGAAAGTAGCAATCAGAGATGGCCAAATTCACCAGACCACCAAAGTTCGAGAAAAGATCAAGACAATCCTTTGGCTCATTGGTATAGCTATCGGTACCAAGCAGCAGGCAGCTTGTCACCTTCAATGTCGTCAGCATCGGAAGCCTACTACAGAGCAAGAAGCCAGAGTCGAGGGCGACACATCTCAATTCCAGAGTTTTCAGATTGAAGGTACTGTTGGAGGTTTTGCTTCTCGTGACGAATTGATTGTGGGTCGGGTATGAGTGAAACAAACTGGAGAATCTGTAAGCACGGTCGAAAAGTTGGCACCTGCTTCCGGTGTCGAACACTAAATGTTGAGCGTCGTGGGAGAAGGCATACTTGATGACCTTGGCAAACATTCTTGTGTGGTCTTCACTCCAGGGGGCGAAATTCTGGACGTAGGTAAGCTTGTGGAGCTTAACGGGATAGCGGACGGACAAAACCTTGTCCACAAATTTCTCGAAGGGATAAGGATCGTCTCCGAAGCAATCCTGACGTAGATCGAGGACAGAGACATGTTTCCACAGGCGGTTCCAGACTCGGGACAATTTAGAGGTCCGGACGGCGGATTTGGTGTCGAGGAACGAAAGGATGTGATAAAGAATGGGTTCTGGGAGATTGCTCAACCTGTCTTCGTCGTCACGGTGGCGCCATTTTCCGGCTTCTCCTAACTCGCTACTGCAGTTTACGCATAGCATCTCGTAACCTGACACGAGACAGAACTAAATTGTATCAGGATATTTTAGCAGGAAACGGAATCTAATAAGGCAAGCACTGATGCACCTTTCTTTTATGATCAGGGATTCACCTGTTTTGGATTGACCGCTGTCCGCTGATCTACTGAGCGCTATCTTCTCCACCGCTGCGAATCTGAAGGACCTTCCGGTCGGCCGCAAATGCAATCGATCGTCGCTGGAGCAGAAGATGAAGAGGACTACAAAAATGACCGCTTTTACTGTAGATGATAAGTTAACCTAAACCTACATCTATTAACCAAATTTTGATGTAGAAAACGATCGGTTACCAATTGGGCCCAGATTAGAATCAAGTGTCTGGGCTTTGGCTCTGCATCATTCAATTTTGGTCCGCTTTGTTTCTTATGCAGGTTAATAAATAATAATCTAATATCGCTATAACTCTCAAACTACTTAAAAGAAGTCATTTATATGTAGCCTATTTTAGTAAACATTTCAATATTATTTTGAACTATTATTTCATTACTGTTAACCATTAGTAGTAACAGCTCGACGAATTGACCTGAGTTTAAAAGTGATAATGTAATAGTGAGGTGAAACTATATTCACAAATTAAATGAGAATCAAGATGTTGACCACAATCATTTGTGAATGGGGAAACTCACAATTTCCCCTTCTCCGCTTCCCCACCTTATCATTTCCTCCCCAAATGAAACAAACAGCCATCATCGCCTGTTCGCCCCTCATTTTCCTGTCTCACTGACCTACTGTCGAGCCCTTGCCTCCGCTTCATAACGTCCCTTCCCCTTTCTCCTCCTACTTCTCTTCCAATCAATCTTCGTCGTCGATTTCGTCATAAACCGTTTCAACTCCACCAACTCCTCCTCGACCTCTTGCTCTACTGATTTGTTGTCGTCAAATCTTGATTACGTAGAAGGTCGATGAATGTGACGATGGCGAGAGCAAGGACGAAGCGGTCGAGCTAGTCATTGCAGAACGTTTTGGTGGATCTCTTAGAGGTTTTCGAGGAATACATTCCGGATATAGATAATTGTGTGAAGGTTAACTGTATAATGACAGGACAGACCCTGATTCGCAAACGTGTCTAAATTACCAGCATATGTATTAGGGGTGGCTATACGGTCCGGTCCGGTTAAATTGGACCAAATTGATCCGGTCCCAGTCCGGTCTTTTCGGGAATATAAGGACCAAAGATTGGATTGGATACAGTCCGGTCTTGACCCGGACCGGTCTTAATGTGATCTTGATTTTAGGTGTTGGGGGTCTCCTATCCAGTCTTTATCCGGGTTTTTTACCTCAAATCTAAGCCCAAATATGTGATTGGATTGTTTGCTATCCGGTCCCGGTCCGAGTTATACGGTCCGATTTCGGGTAAAACCAAACAGTCCGGGACCAAATAGCCAGCCCTACCCTAATATGTATCCCGCAATCGCTAAGGTTATTAGGTACAGTATTAAGTTAACCTAAACATTTACCTATCTATTTGATATTAATTTACCAAGTGTTCAAGTCTCACCTGTACACTATTTTCACCTTATACTCAGCTTGAAAAGTACTTCCCCGCGCTCCACTAACCTTGGCTAAATAAGACATTCGATCTGGAATATTGCCATGTTAGATGTCCACAGTGATATATACTCAGCAACAGGCAAAGGCAAGATTGACCTTCAATCTAAGTTATGGCAGAAAAAAGCAAGAGGTAATCAAAACAGCAAAGGTTGCAGCAATTGTAATCAAAATCGCCGCATGACCCTGAACTAATGGAAAGAGATCGCCCACCGAAAGAACTGAACCAAAAATGACGGGAAGAAAAAGAAACAAAGGGAAAAACAAACGGAACTTCGTCACCGAACTGAAGAAACTAACTCTAATCATCAAAGCTTTCAGCTCCAAAAAAATTCGTCACTGTAAGAAGGTACCTCTACTTGAGTTGAGGTTACCGACCAACTTCAACAAGAATATTTGGTGATGCTTTAGAAAAGTAGCTGATAAGCTTGTCCGGTAGATCGTCGGACAGCGGCACCATCAAGGTCTCCAATCTGTTGAAGGGGATTATGTGTTGTTCCAGAAATTCAGACTTCTTCAGAACCTACAACAATGACAAACTTTAAGAAAGGGAACCATACTATATTCTCAGAGATAACTAATCACATTATGAAAGTCGAAGCATACCTGAATGGTAGAGCGATCCAGCCTCAGAGATCTAGCATTACGCAAACCTTGGAACAAGGAGTTCAGATAGCGATCCACCTGCTTCTTGTTCAAATCGAGATGCATCCAAGTCAAAACAACATCGGCATGGTCTAGGGCAGGAAGGGCCAACTCGAAGAACCCTTGGGATCTCGAATCCTGACAAAGACTGAAAAATTCGAGTTTCGGTGCAAATATTTCAATCTTGAACTGATCCATCCCGACCAGTTCCAGGCTAAGCAATTGGGGTCCATACAGCTTGATCTTCCTCACACTTCTCGGATCGGGAAGTAACCAATTCGAGACGGTCAAATGCTTCAGACAAGGGAAATTGGAAAAGAGAACGGGACTCGTAGTGTCGAGCAGGCAGCTCGTCACGTTCAAGGCCGTCAGCATTGGAAAGCCGGTGCAGAGTACGACTCCACGGTCAAGGGTGATACATCTCAACTCCAGAGTTCTGAGATCATTATTGGTGTAGGTGCTGGAGAATACTGTCATGAACAAACGGAAGAACCTGTAACTACTACGCTGGAGATCATTGTTCTTGTGAACGACCAGCTGTTCGACGCCGTGGAATAACGCGTAGTTTATCACCTTTACAAGCCTGCTCTCGTGTTCTTCGTCGCACGGGCCTACATCGTCAACGTAGCTGATTCTGTGGAGATTAAGGTTGTAGCGGAGGGACAAAACCTTGGACACGAACCGTTCGAAACTCGGAGCTTGTCGAAAGGAACGCCTGTGTAGATCGAGAGCGGGGACATGTTTCCACACTCGGTTCCATACCCGGGACAGTACGGAGGTTTGAACGGCGGATTTGGTGTCGAGGAACGAAAGAATGTGATACAAAATGGGTCCGGGAAGGTGGCTGAACCTGTCGGTAGTATTTGTAATATCTTCTTCTTCACGGTGGCGTTGTTTCCTGCTTTTCCCTAACTCGCAGTGGCAGCTGCAATTTACCATAGCTTGCTGTGCGGAGGCAACCTAACAGAGGAGACGGGACGAATTAGGTTTTGTTTTTTTCTTTTTTTTTTTTTTCCAGAAAGTTCAGCAAGAAAGGGAATCAAGTATAACGCCGCCAATCGAGAGACTTTTCTTTCTCCGCCGCTGCAATTCGGACGGACCTTCCGGCCACAATTGCTGAGGGCTGAAGAGGTCTAGAAAAAACGATGGCGGCTTTGGCAGGCAACCGCCCTTTAGTCTTAACCCTTCTAATCTGATCCGAGGTTGAGAACAAAAGACACGATTTTTTTAAGAAGAGAAGTTAGAGAACTGAAACGGGATTTACCAACCATACAGATAGATAACCCCAAAAGTTCAACTATACAAACGAGCAACTTAGGTAGTTTCCATAAAAATAAAATAAATAAATAAAAAGCTTAGAAGATAGCTTACTTGGACAACAACGCAATTGATTTGTGGCGACAGTACACCGAACTTTTGCTGGAGTCTTTGCCCATGAAAAACCAAGGGCATAAGGCCGTCCAGCAAAGAAGCAGGCTCCTCGTACCAGAAAGATTACAGACCAAGGCCATAGTTAAAAACCTGCAATCAGAAGTCCCACTCAAGTTAAAGCAACAGCCAATTGAAGCAAATCCACCATTACTGATAGCCTTACCAAGAGAAGTAGAGAACCCGGCTCAACCTTCAATCTGATCAGTCCACTAGAAGTATCAAATAACGGAGGTACCTGTTATTTGAAGCATAATTAAATTCAGAAGGGCCTAAGCAAGCCAGGATTGACCCTTCAAAGCTGTGGCAGCCACTAGTAGTAGCATTTCATATCTAAAACAGCAGCCACCAGAAGTAGCATTTCATACAGTAAATGTCCAAATAGCATTTCCAGGTTTTCAGTAGGCATCCTAGAGCTAAAAAAGAAAGCATTCTGCAATGGCTGCCAATAGTCATCTTAGACATCCGTTGTGATTCAGCCGTCAAAATGTAAATGCAAGCACATGTACCATAATATTCAATGGCTCTGTTTAACAACAAGCTTTCAACTCTAACTTTTACTTGGAATAGAAACTTCATCGTTACATTAGAAGTACGACACATGGTACTCAGTTCTACCAAATAGAAAGTCTGCTACTCGGTGTTTCTCCGACTGGCAAATTAAAAAACTACCCATTTCTCCCACTTCCAGTCAAGTCGCATGCCAATATCAATTAAAACTCTCCGTTCTTCACAAGAAGATCCTTTAAGAAAGTAATTGATGAGTTTGTATGGTAGATTGTCGGATTCCACAATCAAAGTCTCCAATCTCTTAAAGGGTGTTGGTTGTTGTTCCAGAAACTCACAAAGATCCTTCAGTACCTATAAAGAAGGTAGGAGAGCTTAGAACATACGGAAATATCTTCTCCACGAAACAATTTATGTTCTGCAAGAATTCAAAGCACACCTGAATGGCAAACTTAGATAGCTGCAAAGTTTTTGCATTATGCAAACTTTGGAACAACAAGTGTACATATTGCTCCACCTGCACTTGTCCCATTACGTTCCAAGCATTGCCTCGCCCCCTGGTCAAGTCAATATTTGCACGATCTAGGGAAGTCAGGGTTAACCTGGAGAAACCTTCGGATCCGAATTTTTCACTAAAATCTTCAGAAAGGCTGAAGACTTTGAGCTTCGGTGCAAAAATTTCTATCGTGAACCGCTCCATTGAGACCAATGTCAGGCTAACCAATTGGGTCCCATGTATCTTGATACTACTTTTGGTATAATAATCAGGTAAAAAGCAGCTAGACATGGCCAAATTCATCAAACTAGGCAAGTTAGAGAAAAGATCCAGATCCTCCTCCGCATCAGTATCCAGCAGGCAACAGTAGATGGTCAATGTTGTCAGCATTTGTAAACCAGACCATCCAAATCCTCTATTGAGGATAATGTAGTTCAAGTCTAGAGTCTTCAAGTTGCAGCACTTCAAGATCGATCCAAACAAATAGGAGAATCTGAAAGCATCGTACAGACCACCCACATATCCCGTGTGAACCATCAAATGTTCAGCTTCATATGACACGACATATTTCATTAACTTGACGAACATGCTCCTATGTTTTCGCGTCCACGGGCCTGGATTGTCGATGTAGCAAACTGTGCGTAGATTAAGGTGACGGCGGAGGGACAAAACCTTCAACACAAACCTTTCGAAACTCGAATCTTTTCTGAAGGAACCTCTATGCAGATGGAGGGCAGGGACATCTTTCCACACGCCCCTCCAAACCCGGGACAATACAGAAGTTTGAACGACGAATTTAGTGTTGTTGAGAAACGAAAGGATGTGACAAAGAATGGGTGCTGGAAGATGGCTTAACCTGTCAACGGCAGTAGTAGTAGTAAAAGTAACTCCTACTCTGCGCCTTTTTCCACGACTCCTCGTAAACTCACAGCCACAGAGGTTGTTACTAATTGCTCTTCTACAGTCACAGAGGATGTTACTCATTGCTTTCTACAGGTAAGGCACCACAGATGATTTCAATTCTGGGAACCTAGAAAAAAGATCCGAAAGGACTTAGAATCAGACATTGTAGCAAGAAAGGAAATCAAACGACATGAATTTACCTGTATACGATGAGCAGTACGCGGGTGAGACTCTTTCTAATCTCCACCGTTGCGATTCGGACTCCTTGAAGTCTGACGGGCCACAATCGCTGATGGCTGAAGCAGGAATTGGAAGAGGACTAGAACACCAGTAAGATTGGACAGGAGAAATTTGGCTCCGTTTATCGATTTAGGGTTTCGTTCGTCGCGGGAATTTTTCTTTTTATTATTTAAAGTCGCGGGATTTTCAGAAAAGAAATGACTAAATTGCAAGTTTGGTCACTCGAATTGTTATAAAATTTCACGTTCGGTCACTCGAATTCGTTTATTCCATTCGTAGTCACTTAAATTAGTTGAACAGTCCAAGTTCAGTCACTCTCCGTTAACCTCCGTCAGACTCCGTTAGTGCCACCAGTTAACTGCTGACGTGGCTAACAGAGATGCCTAGTCACCCAATTTTAACCCAATAAAAAATAGAAATTGACCTGCCACGTCAGAAAAACATGCCACCTCATATAAACACAACCCAACCCACCCAACCTAAAAAAACCATTAACCCATCCAGAAATCGAACCCGTGACCCATCTACCCTTCTTCTTCTTCCTCTATACCCTGCTTCCGCTGCCACCAGGGGAATTTCTCCTCGATCTCCCTGCTGCAGCCCCGCCGCGAGATCCAGATTTGCCAATCTCGCCGCCTCGTCTCGAATCTCGATCTCCGGCGAGTCGAGGAGATTGATCAAGATAGCAACGATTTCCCCCAATTCCACAACCACTCTCACGTACCTCTCGTCTTCATCCACCGCCGAGCTCAAATTGACCAGAGCCTGGCGCTTCATCTCGCCGTCGCCGATTTTCAACCCGGTGAGCAAATCCCTAACGTAGAACCTCATGTCGTCGCGGCAAGCGTTCGGGCTCGGTCGGGAGACAATTAGGGCGAACCCGCCGTGGGACAGAAATCCGGCGGTGCAGACGCGGGACAGATTCCGAAAATGGCGGTCGTAATCTCGCGGCCAAAACATCCAGATCGCTCTGCAAGTCTGCATCAGCAGCTTCCCGCCGTAGGAAAGGTCGACGCACCTTCTGGCGAGGTCCGAGCAGTTTGCGGCGCAGACCATGATGCCGGAGAGTATGGCAGACAGGATCGGGTTCTGCGCGAAATCGCATCCCTCGATGGCGACCGAGCTCGCTGTGAGATCGTCGAGCTTGCGCCTTATCGTCTGGCATTTCACCGCGAAAACTTTGGCGGAGTGGGAGAAGGAGATCAAAGAAGAGAGAACGTCAATGGCTTGCCTGGGACTTGTAGTAAGAAGCCGTCTTGGTGCGCCGTCGTTGACGGCGACGATGGAGACTCCGATTCGGGTGAAACTTCGCGACCCATCTAGTGAATTTTTGTCAACGAATCGGCCACGGGGAAATGGAATCGAAGGAGTGTGAAGAGGAAGTGTGGTGACTGGTGAGTTTTAAGATATGATTAGCTGTACTGTGTAAAAGGAATCGATCTGGATTTCTAGGGTTCAACAAAAGAGATGAAAGAGGAAGAGAGATTGATTGAATCGACCCTAACAGCCTTCGTCTTTCTTCTTCCTGGCGAATCTGGATCCGGCGGCGGGGGCTGCAGCAGGGAGATCGAGGGGAAATCCCCCCGGCGACGGCGGAAGCAGGGTATAGAGGAAGAAAAAGAAGGGTGGATGGGTCACGGGTTCGATTTCTGGGTGGGTTAATGGTTTTTTTAGGTTGGGTGGGTTGGGTTGTGTTTATATGAGGTGACATGTTTTTCTGACGTGGCGGATCAATTTCTATTTTTTCTTGGGTTAAAATTGGGTGAGTAGCCATCTTTGTTAGCCACGTCAGCAGTTAACTGACAACACTAACGGAGTCTGGCGGAGGTTAACGGAGAGCGACCGAACTTGGATTGTTCAACTAATTTAAGTGACTACGAATGGAATAAACGAATTCAAGTGACCAAACGTGAAATTTTGTAGCAATTCGAGTGACCAAACTTGCAATTTAGCCGAAAGGAAATGTTGGCAAAAAGCTGAACGGTGTTTCTGAATTTACTACTAGCAGAAGATTTAGTCTATCGATAAAGCCGTCGCGACAGTGAATGTTTGAGAGTTGCAGATCTCAAGTTCGAATCCAAACGAGATTCGTTGATGTTTCCGGAGGTACAAAGCTGCATGTTTAGTAGGACCCGGTGTCACAAAGTGACACGTGGGTTTGAGGTTCCTAGGTAATAAAAAAAATTAACTGAAGTTTTATTTGGAAAAGCAATAAAGCCTATGTTTGGCTCTAGGGATGGCAATTTGAACCCGCCCCGTCATGTTTTACCCGACCCGCAGTAGCGTGGGGCGGGGCTTGTGTATCAACTTCTGGCCCGCCCTGTCTCGTCCCACCCCGTTCTTGGCCCATTCTAAGTCAATTTCTTACGCCATCCATTTATATATCTCCTAATTTGAGTTTTCTAGGTTAAGATTTAACTAGTTAGAATTGATCTTTCAACTAAATAGACTCAATTACCCATTATATTATCACTATTATCCAGGGTTAATTGTATGGTTGGTCACTGAGATTACAAAAAACGTTCATGTTTGGTCATTGGAAATATTTAAATCCAACTTTGGTCACTCAAATTAGTTAAATGGTTCAAATTTGGTCATTCTCCGTCCAACTCCGTTAAATTTATCTGATGTGGCAGTCAACCCTCAAAGTTGACCGTTAACTCGATGACGTGGCAATTAAAAAATAATAAATAAAATAAATTTGAGGGTTGACTGAGAGTGACCACCGTCATCCTCTACGACCTCGTCTGCGCCGGCAGCGTTAACCCCGACTACTTCGACTTCCACCGCTACACCACCCTCGAACCTTACGTCGACGACCTCCTCAACATCCTCGACGCCCACCGCGTCGACCGCTGCGCCTATGTCGGCCACTCCGTCTCCGCCATGATCGGTCTCCTCGCCTCCCTCCGCCGCCCCGAGCTCTTCTCCAAGCTCATCCTCATCGGCGCCTCCCCCAGGTCCCCAATTTCAAAATCCCCCTTTAATTTTCAATGAAATCGAATCCAGATTTCGGAAATTTCTAATTGAGAGAGGTTTCCGTTTGTGGGGGATTTAGGTTTCTGAACGATAAGGACTACCACGGAGAACAGAGCGAGATCGAGGAGGTTTTCACGGCGATGGAGGCGAATTAAGAATATTCCGACCACTCACGGCCTCCCCCGGATTTCGCCGCCGTCTTCGCCTCCCGGCGCTTCTTCTTCTCCTCCCCTGGCCTTTCCAACTCCATCTCCAAATCCCATCGTCCCAATGAGGAAATGAACCCTACTAGTAGTCGGCCGCCGTCGGTGGACGGGGGCGTGGTGGCGGTGAAGAAATACTCGCCGGATCCGTATTCAGACTTCAAGAAGTCGATGGAGGAGATGATAGAGTCGCGGCGGATCGTGGACGCACATGGGAATTGGGATTACTTGCACGAGTTGCTCTCCTGTTACCTCGCCATGAACCCAAAGCACACTCACGGTTACATTGTTTCCGCCTTCGCCGACATCGTCGTCCGATTGTTGCGGTCGATGCAGTGGGCGTCGATGATGTTGAGGAGGTCGTCGACGTAAGGGTCGAGGTGGTGTAGCGGTGGAAGTCGAAGTAGTCGGGGTTGACGCTGCCGGCGCAGACGAGGTTGTAGAGGATGACGGTGGTCACTCTCAGTCAACCCTCAAATTTATTTTATTTATTATTTTTTAATTGCCACGTCACCGAGTTAACGGTCAACTTTGAGGGTTGACTGCCACATCAGATAAATTTAACGGAGTTGGACGGAGAATGACCAAATTTGAACCATTTAACTAATTTGAGTGACCAAGGTTGGATTTAAATATTTCCAGTGACCAAACATGAACGTTTTTTGTAATCTCGGTGACCAACCATACAATTAACCCCTATTATCCATTATTGAAGTCTTTTTCCATTGGTTTTATCGTAAACATTAAAATTATTCTTGTATTTTTTTTCAAATATCATATAAGGATGGGTCGACCTGCCTGCCCCGTACCCGCGCGGGTATTACCCGCCCCGACCAGTAATAACGTGGGGCGGGGCATGGGTATTGAAGTACTCGCCCCGACCCATTGCCATAACTATTTGACTCGGCTTTTAGAAGCGCTTTTTGGTTTCAAAAGCTGAAGCAGGGCCAAACACCTCTGAAAAGTTGGGCTTTTGAAAAACCGAAAAGAGTTTTTGTATAACATAAAAGCAGAAGCTCCGATTTAAAACTTATGCGAAAAGTTTTTTTGAAAATACAAAATTATCCTTACCATATTTTAATTTTATTTCAGAAAATATGAATGCAAATATTTGCCTACCGCCCACCTTTACAAAATGCTTTCTTGTTTTGCTCTAGGCCTACCAAAATGTAAATACAAGGACACGCACCACGAATATTCAATGGCTCTCTTTAACAAGAACTCAAGAAGGTTTCAATTCTAACTTTTACTTGACGTAGAAATCCCATCAGTACTTTTGAAGTATAAAGTGTATACTCTGCTATTCACTGACAATTAGCAAAAGTTCGCTCGTTATCGTTTCGCGTATCATGAAAAATAAATATTTTAAAGAGTAATAGTTTTAAGGGTAAATACAATATATTAGCCACAACTATTATGAAACGGGAAATTATAGCCACAACTATTGAAATTCAAATTATTAGCCAAACGTTAACTATCTGTTAACAATTTCGTTAGTAATACTGACTAAACTTTTATGTTTTGAAGTTATAAACTAAAAGCATTCCTACGTGGCCGATGACGTGGCCTTCTCCGTCAAAAATTCAATAACAGTAACAGACAGTTAGCCATATCTTAACCTGCAACAATAGTTATGGCTAATAATTTGAATTTTCTTAGTTGTGGCTATAATCCCCACTTCATAATAGTTGTGACTAATATATTGTATTAACTTTTAATAAATCGTTTTTTTTTTTGACAAAATTTAATAAATCGTTTAGAAGGCTGGAAATTCAGTCTCGAGTATCTTCTTATATAAAAGCTAAATGTTTCCCTCAAAAAGAAAAGCTAAATACAGTAGTGGGTAGGATTTTTGTGAACCTCCAAAAACCCTAGGTCAAAAGAGCCATGATGGCGGAAATGGGGGAGGAAGAAATTGACAGATTCAGTCATCTCCCAGACAACATCCTTCTCCATATCCTTTCCTTCCTCGACACCAAACTCTGCGTTCAGACCGCCGTGCTATCCACAAGCTGGAGATCCCTCTGGAAACATGCCCCTCGCCTCAATTTCGACATACATTCCTTCCCGAGCGACCGAGATTGCGGCCGTTTCATAAAATTCCTGGACCATGTTCTGGATTCCCGTAGCGATGCTTCCCATATTGTGAAAATTAGCTACAAGTACTCGGAATCGCCTCATAGGGCCCTTCGTAATTACGAGCAGTATCAGTTGTGGGTGCGAGAGCACAGGGAAGGGTTCGAGAGGGTCCTTCGTTATGCGGAGTCCAATCATACGCAACAAATCCGCATCGAAACCGAACTCGATGACCTGTTGTTGCCGAACTCGGTTGGCCCCTTTCCAGGCTGCGATCTGGAGCTGGCGCGGGTCAGTTTGTACGATGCAGTCGCTTCGACTTGGACTGGCTTCAGCAGGCTGGCAAGTTTGAATCTGGAAGAGTGCCACATATACTCTTTTGGCGACGCGAAATCGGAATTCGATTTGTTTGCGGAATTCCCCTGTTTGAAGAACTTGGTCCTCGTGGACTGCAATTTCATCAATTCCGGGAAGTGCTTCCAGATAACCGGACCACAACTGGTGAACCTGGAAATCCATGGTGTGAAGAACTTAGGTTGTGCTACAGTTGAAATAGCTGCTCCGAAGCTCAAATCTTTGAGTTTGGTCTTGTACCTGGATGTTCCGAAATTCTCCAGGTTCAGCCTTCCTTTGCTTGATCACGCCAGTTTGGGGATCAAGTTGGCGCCTTACTTTCTTGAGGAGAGGAGAAGGGTACTGACTGCCAGTTTTGTCACCCTGTTCCAAGCTCTGCACAATGCAGCTTCCCTGCGATTCGATAATCATATCATTGAGGTATGATTTACATCCGATTGATGCTTGATTCTCCATGATTGATTGCCCTTTCGGAACCACAACAGCACTGTATTTGATCCAAGGGGATTGATCGTTTATGTGATGTGTAGGCAATGAGCAAGATTTGTGATGGGTTGGAGCATTATCGATGTCCCTTTACTCGATTGCAATGCTTGAAAGTGCCACGCAGTAGGGAGCCCGAAACTATACCGGATCAACTCATCAGTTACTTCCTTAAGGGTTCTTCCAGTACAAACGCAGGGTTTCTTCAGTTTGTATAAGGTGATTGCAGTTTGAAAGTGCTTCATTTATCTGTCCTTTTTCTTGCTGTGGTATGATATGCCTTTTTTTATTTTGAATGATCACTATGTTACTTTTTCCTTGACAACCAGCTTATGTAATGCCTTCTTTCTGTCTTAACCTGTTACAATGTGCAGTCTCCCTTTGCTTTTGCAACTGTTGCTATCTTGCAGGAGTTAGGCTCTCGTGGATGCTTTACTATTGTTTGTGTGTTTACTCGTCAACGTTTCTTTGCTGTGGTAGGCAGTTCTTATTCTCTAATGACATCTCTTACTAATGTCATGTTCTTGTTTGTGTAGCTCGTCCAATATAACGAACTGTGGATTCTCGTATGCAACCTACAGGTGGAATCTGGAAGAGAAATACAGAGGTGGTTTTCTAGGATTTTGGTAAAATCTTAAATTTTGGATGGAAGGATTAAGTTAGATTTTGTTATTTTGTGTTGGATTTTAGAGATTATTTGTTCGCTTGTTCGATTTATAATGGGTTTTAGTAGAGTAAATTTATGAGTTGATTGTGTTGTGTATATATGTTCATATCTTTCATATCCATTAAAAAATTATGGCAAACTACTGTTTCACGTTCACAGAAAGTCTACATCATACTATGGAGTTCATCCCACTGCGTATTATCCGACCTGATTCTTATTAGGTTCGGTATTCCCCGACCCATAGTAGAGTGTGACGGGACATGAGTTACTACTTTCGACATGTCCCATCTTTGCACTGACTTAACCTGTTTTTATCTCACTTTTCTTTAATATTTATTTGTATCTCTCTTATTTCAATAATATTTTCATCTGGGATCACACAATTTGTGGGTTTAGGTCCCATGATTTCGCTTTACAACGACAAAACGTGATTTTTTGTAATTCGCTATAAATTCGCAAATAATTTAGTTTTGGAGTGCGACTTGAGGTTGCGATTCCTTTGAGTACTGGTACATAATACAAACGTCGCATTCGACGAAACACATTTTTGTCGGTGCTGATTTCCCCCATTTTCCCTTCTTCTGCCCTGTTTTGGTGTACTTGAAAATAGGGGCTTATGAGTTATCATTGACTTGAAGTATTGAGGTGAGATGGAGGCGGCGAGCGGACGTGCAGCCCCGGCCGGAGGGAGTGTATACTTAAATCATCCAATTTTTCAAATGACTAAGCCCCCTTTCAGCCCTTACGGAACACAGGCAGGCGAGAACTGATACTGAATTACTGACAGTACTGTTCATCCGCGCCGATGTGCACTATTCCTCAGGGAAGGAGAGAACACGACTGTGGTTTGCACTTTGCAGCACAACATCTCCCCCCCTTTTTTCTATGCAGTGAGAAATAAAAATGGGTTCAAAAAGGACAAGAGTAGCAAGCTGGCGCATCAAATTATACAGAGACAAATGTTAAGAATTCGTAGGCTGGACGTGCCATGCTCCATGTGCATGGGAATTGGCATGTAGCCAATGCAATCCTTTTGGTATCTTACACCACAAATTCCTGTCCATACACACCCATCACCGCTAAACTACACCACTCATCACCTATCCCAATCTCCTCCTCTTTCACAACTCACATCCCTCAGCTTCCTCTATATAAAGAAGCCCAACAGAGCCCAACTGGAAAACGCACCACAAAGCAAAGCTTCAACTATCTCTGAGTTTAACTGAAGTTGCCATATTACAGCCTCAGTCCCTAAAAAACCATGGCAGCCGCTTCCAAGTCCTCCATCTTCCTCCTCTTCGCCGTCTTCGTTGCCGTCTCGCTCTCCAACGTGGAGGTTGGAATGGCGGCCCGCCAGCTTCTCCAGCTACCTGACCTTCCTGCCGTCGGAGGCCTCCCTGTCACCGTCCCGACTCTGCCCGTGGTGCCCAAGCTGCCCGTCCCTGCCGGCGTCGTTCCCACCATTCCTGCTGTGCCCAAGGTCGGCTTGCCGCCGGTTGGTGGAGGCGTCGCTGGCGTTCCGGTGGCAATTCCGAACATTCCCGGGGTCACTCCTTCGGTCGGAAACTAACTACTGAATATATGCCAACCGCGCTAGCTACTGGAAGATGGAGGTGTACGAATTAATGTAACGTGTTTGTTTCTGTTGTTGTATTGTATTATAAGTAATTTCGTGTTCTGTTGTGTTGCTATTGAATCTATGTAACTTATTTGTTTTATTCTGCAACTTATCCGTTTCCATGTTCCACCCGTATTTGTATTTAACTGGTTCTGTATTTAATTTATATAAATAAAATAGTGTTATTTTAGTTGTTTTTGTAGAGAAAGGAATTAATGTGTGACTTGGACTGGTTCTTGAATCAAATCTAGGGTACTTAATTAAACTCTAACTAGGTTTTTCATATAGTTTTCGATCTTATCTCAATCATGTTATTATCGGTGGACATAAACCGAAAAAATCAAAATCGAATTGACATATCTTACATAAGATTATTTAGTAGGAGAAGCGGGAGACATTATCTAGTGGGTACGAAATAGAAAAATTGTGCAATTTTTATTAAGGGGTCCGTTAGTTGTGGAAATGTGGTGTGGCCATTGACTTTAGTTAATCAAAATGTAGTAATTACGTACGTGATTTAAAATATTAATGAGAATTGACCGATAAAAATACTTAAGAAATTATTATTCCAGTGATAAGGTAGAAATGAGAACATCTACTATATTTTAACTTCCAACGTTGGATTCTTAATACAAAGAAAGTTAAACATATTACACACTAGCATTATTAAGAAAGTTAAACCTATTATACACTGGCATGTGCCCGGCCGGTTGGCCGGAATAATTGAGTTTATAATTTTTTAAAATTATCCATTAATTATTAAATCAAAAAAATCAACTTGTTGTTGTTTTAATCATACAAAAATAGCCAAATGCTAAATTATTTACCCTTAATGCTAAAATCAAAAGAATGTATTGTACCCATATCCTGTGGCTAAATAGATAAAACTCTTAATCAATCATTTTTGTGAACTCATATAGAATTATTGAAAATCAATGATAATTGTAGACAATATAGCTTAACCGAGAACAGGAACCACTCCAAAAAGAAGGAGATAACTAAGAATAACCTAAAATAAAAACGAAATAACAAGAACTAAGATATTAAGAAAACAAAAGTGATTATAAACACCACCTCGTCTATTTTAATTTTTCTTAGTAATATTTATAGTATGTAAACCAGCTATGTGATCCATAATCGGATATCGTACTCGATAAGCATTTTGGAGTTTCTACCACACCATCATGTTAATTCAATACTAACATCAAACACAACTTCAATATCTTCTATTAAAAAACTTAAATTGTAGTTATTTTTCTGGTGAACTAGTACTTAATTGTCAATTTTTAGCTATATTGATATAGCCATAAAAAATCATATTTCCATAATTGGTTTACAAAAATTTTAGAAAAGAAAACTCAAAACAATCCAATACAATACCAGACTACCAGTTCAATAGTTCGATTAGAATACATAATAAAAATTATATTAGTAAAGGGTTACTAATCATGAAAATTAAATGATATTCCAAAAGCATAAAATGAAGGAACGTGTTGTACATAAAAATATAAAAGGTTTTTTAATTATAGATCTTTTTATATTAATTTTAGAGTTCATAAACAAATAATATTCCAAAAAATATACGAAACTGTTATGTAAAAATATAAATATTTTTTTTGAAAATGTTAAACCTCTTTTATATTATTTTATTCCCACTAATCTCTTCTCTCTCCCAGTTTATTGCGTGCACTACTAAAAATAAGGAGATAATTATTTTTTAATTTTAAAGTCATGGTATAATTACTTTTATATCCTACTTACAATTAAGGAGAAGTCAGAAAATTTGAAATGGTGAAAATCCTTCAAAACTCCACCATCTTATATTCTTTAAATTTAGATGTAGATTTAGATTTAGATTTAGATTATATTTAGATGTACGGAAATAAGAAGTTCACGCCACCCTACCCTATTCCTCTCAAATTTAACCCTCCTTCATGCTTCTCTGTTCCTCACTTCCTCTTCTTCCCCACGACATTTAAGTAGAGAGAAACGTAACAATGACTTCCATTTGTCAACATGACATCTAGGGGTGTAGTCAGGATTTCTTTCAAGGTGGGTCTATTTTTATTATATATTTAAATATTTATGATATAATTTTATGTTTGAAATTTTTTTATAAAAAAATACATTAGTAGTTGAAACGATCAAAAATATCTCTTTTTGTGTAGCAAACAATTATTCATGGTTTAGGTACTCGTTCGCTTTTGAACGATGTTCTTTGTCAAGAACCGTTTAGTATCGATAATTTGAGTTGTTGAGAGAGATTCAATGATGCAACTTATATCAAACTATTAGTCATGATTTAGTTAGTTGTTCGCTTTCCAATGATGTTCTTGGTCAATAATCGTTTAGTATCAATAACTCGACGGTTTAGTTAGTCATTGACTTTCAAATGGTGTTCTTTGTAAGCAATCATTTACTAGCAAACCCCTACGAAAGAAAGCTAACTTATACCAATTATATGGGCTTGAAGTTTTTATATATAAATCTAAATATCGTGTGTTTAACAAATAAGGTAATAAATATTAGAACACAAGACCTATCAATCAACTATTCTCAATTGAATATTCAATTTATCAAATTTTCTCCCAAGTCAGGGTGGGTCCCGCTTCTCCCTCTGCCCCTAATGACATCTGTTGCAGATCCTTATCTTGTCAATGGGACCAGGAGATGATGGAACACAAAACATCAAGGTTGTCAATCCGATTTAGTTCTTTGGTGCGGTCGAGTAAGTGGGTTGAGGATTAAAAGTTTGATCGCTTTAGTCCGGTTTATTTTAGATATATGAAAAGGTCATTATATTATTCATAAGCTTATAAATTATATCAATTCTCATCTAACTTAGGGGCAATAACATATAATATAACACCAAAATAACAGTTTGGGTTTGAATCCAACCTATAGTCAAAATTCAAACACTCCCATATAACATCAATACTGAATATTCAACTTATAGTTAGGCGACAGAAAAACTAGAAAAGATGCACATTTCACAAACAAAATGGGGAAAAAATGTCGTTTGACCTTCAACTCAAGAACCTTATAGTGGGTCGACCAGCGGGCGCCCGTTTTCCTCATCGGGTCTTGGACAAACCGAGTCAACCTTCAAAACAAATATAAGTGGTAAAATTTGTACTGACACAAATATTAATAAAAAAGAGTAATGGTGAAATACATGGGTACTTTAGCTCAACAACCATACCCGCACGCATACCGATCAAAACTCTAAAATCTCGAATATTGAGCTAAATATATACTCTAACGGAACAGGGACCCAGGTAGGGGTGGGCATTCAGTCAGTTTGGTTTTTCAAACCCGAACTCGAACCAAACTGACTCCAAACCACACTCCTTTTCCGAGTGGGATTCCGTCCGAACAAGGTTACAGTTTGGTTTGTTCCGAACTAAAATATTTCGGGTTTAGTTCAGATTTGACCACACTGTCGGCCTAGCACCTTCCTCCTCTACAGTGTAGTCTGACGCCACACCTCTCAAACCGGGGGAGAAGATTGCTTTTGTTGAGTAGGGATTGTCGCCGCTTTGACTGGAAGGGAAGCAAGGAAGGGAGATGGAGAGATGAGCTCACAAAGGTAGAGAGGGAGAGGGAGAGGGAAGAAGAGATGGAATGGTGACGGAATATGGAACCAAATAATGTTGGTGTTGTATTAATGGGTGATGGGTTACCGATACAAGAGGGAAGCTCTGTAAAAGCAACAAGAAAAATTGCTCAGATATCTGTAAGTGAAACTTTTATGGCTCGTGTTATAAATGCTTTAGGTAAACCTATTGAAGGTCGAGGTAAAATTTCCGCTTCGGTGTTGCCATTACCGCCGGCGCTGATTTCACCCTCCCCGAGGTCGTCCTCCGTCAATAGGCCACATGCAACAATATGCCTCCACTGTCGAGACCACAGGACACTGGGTCAGCAGGGGTTGTTTCGAGCGAAGGAGAAGAGGAGCAACCACTGGTTTTTTTCGATCGAAGGAGAAGGAGGAGTAGTGGCAAGGGGAAGAGTGACAGAGGGAGGGCCGACGACGAGGGTAAATTTTTTAATTTTAATAATATTATGTAATTCATCGAGATCTTACTCCGCTTTCACAAATGATTTTTTTTATTTTGTACAAAGAAGAAATTGAGACAATTTTCACGTCTCTAAATTTCCACAGCCAACCCACTCATAAAAATTAAATAAAAGTACGTAATATGCATGCACAGTTCAGTACTTCCCGGTAGGTTGAAGGGCGGGAAAAGAGAAAAGGTTCAATAAAATCCATCGCTTTCCATATTAGAAACTGAGACTCTTTGTTATTGATAAATAAAGTGAGTGAGAAAAATTATTACAGTTGATCGGTGATCAATTTGTATCGAGAGAAGAAGCAGAGAAGAGGGGAAAAAAAAAGAAGCACGAAAAGTCCTTGCAACAGATTGCAATGACTAAAAAGGAAAATTCCATTTTAATACCTATACCTAATACATTTTGACTCGCTTATCCATTACTACAGAATCCAAAACTATGGTAAAACATTCATTATAATTCCATTTATACCTATACCTAATACATTTTGACTCGCATATCCGTTACTACAGAATCCAAAACTATGGTAAAACATTCATTATAATTCCATTTATTCTAATATTATATTCCAAAGTTCTTCTGTCATTTCACTCATTTGGTACAGAGACCCCGACCATACTATCGAGTGGAAGAAACGCAGGGATCAATCTGCAGCCTGTTTTCTGCAATTCTTGCGAAGAGAGGCTGTTCTAGCAGCAATGATGCCTACCCGAAACCCTAACAAGAAAATTCGAATCAAGCGAGAACCAGAAGAAGAGCAAATCCATGTCGACCGATTGAGCAGCCTTCCTGACCATATCCTTCACTACATCCTCTCCTTCTTTGACTCCACCAAACTCTCTGCTCAAACTTCTGTCCTCTCCACCAGGTGGAGGTACCTGTGGACGCACGTTCACCGTCTCATCCTCGACACCGATGAGTCCTTCAATCCTACGAATTTCGCCAGGATTGTTAACGAAGTCATGTACAACCGCTCGGAAGAATGTAACATCTGCAGCATTGACTACATTCACATGAACTACAAGCCGGACAAGAAGCTGCTCAACAGGGTCATGAGATTCGCCGCGTCTCGCGACTGTCAGCAATTCTGCCTTTGTGTTCCCCATGATGCTGGATGTCTCGATTCAAGTATGTTTGTGCCTCTAGCTAATAGCAATCTCAGGACTCTGATTCTGAGAGAAGCGAGTCTGGGGCTTGAGTTATTAGGATCCACTGGGTTCGCGATGCTGAGAGATTTGGATTTGGACGAGTGCTGGCTGTCCTGTCAAAATAAATATGCTGTCCTAGATCCTTTCGCGAACTTCCCCTGCTTGGAGAATCTGGTACTGCGTGGCTGCATATTGGAGAACTCTTGTCGCTTTAAGATCTCTGGACCGAGATTGGTTAAGCTAGAGATTAGCTTCCTTGATTGTTCTAAGCTGGAGATAGATGCGCCAAATCTGAAATTTTTTGGTTTGTGGGAGGAATTGGAGTACTCCAAGTTGTACCAATTCAACCTTCCTTCACTTGAGCTTGCTGATATCTGGATGCAATTTCGCGGTCTTGTTGAAAGGAACAAGGATGGTATGAAGGCTTGTGCTACCAGTTTGTTGGGAGGTCTGCACAACGCGAGTTTTTTATTTATGAATTCTGCTTTCTTTGAGGTAAAATGTCTCCTAATCTGTGGGGTTTTGATAGTTTTTGAACTTGTTACTTTTACCATACTAACGCTTGTTTCCTCTATGTGTAGATGCTGGTCAGGAATTCCGAGTTTCTGGAGAATCAGTGTTGTCCCTTCACCAGATTGACGTCTTTGACAGTGGATGGTTATGTGCCTGACATGTTACCTTACCATGTGATGAGTTACTTCCTGAGTGGCTCCTCCAACCGTGGACCAACGTATCTTGAATTTGTCTAAGGTAATTCACGTGGTAAATTTCCTGCTTGTGACGATATTAGTTCCTTAACATTATTATCATAGCTTTTTCGCTTGGCAGCATTTGCAGAAGTCAACTATCTAATGTTCCATTCATGTTAACCTAAGTGGAAAACTTTTGATTTTCCTGTGAACCTAAGATTGCAGTGTTTCAACTTTGCTTTGTTTATATCAGGGTTCAAAATTACGTAGAATTACGTACGCCTATATGCGCCTAGGTACTGGGTAGTGACAAAACGCTTTGCAATGTCTTAGGCAGACAATTAGATGTTCATAACTCCTAAGTGACGTACGTTTAGGCAAAAATAGACAAATTTAATCGGTGTTAGGCAATGATTAATTGAAGTGAGTTGCACTTAATTGCATTAGTAGACCAAATATTAAAAGAATTGTAGTTAATCTTCCCAAAACGACGTCATCTCTAGCTGCCCTATATTCAATGCATCCTTCACTCATTTCTCAATTTGGAATTCCAATTCTAGGTCACGACTTATTTTGATTATAGCAGAGAGTTAGCTAAATCAATAACATTAAAAATTGAACTAAAGTAAAAACGTGCTATAAAATTGTTATTCCTTCTATAAACCGTTACTTTTGCTAAAACGCCTAGGCATCGTTTATGAAATGCTTAGGCGTGCTATGCGCTAGACAGTGGCCCAACGCCTGCCTAATGCCCAACGCATTATTGAACCTTGGTTTTTATAATCCTTCTTAATTTCATTAAGAGGGTCCTTGCACGCTGCTGATTCTTTTGCCCTTGCTTTGAAAGTGAAAACCCTTTGAATTCCTAGTTCTAGGTCAATTATGAGGGTGCTCATATGAATTATCTTTCCTAAGAAATTAAAGTTGGATGTGATTTTAAGTTTTACCACGTTATATGCTAGAGAGGAACTGGTTGGAAGCAGTAGCATGGTTCTACTATTGAATTTACAACAACAGTTTGAACTGTATATTTAAGTACTCTGCAGTGGTGCTGCTGCTAACAGCCACAACATCTCTGGGTGTTGCTGCTAGTCAACCTGGTAACTCATTTTGTTGTAAAGCCTGAATCATTATTAGACCACAAGGAGAAAACCAAGGCCACTGATTTCTTTGATCTGTACAAAGATCGAAGAAACTAAAACCAGTCAATGCGCGAGATGTGTTTACGTATTGCAGCATCAACCTTGTCCCTTTTTACCTGATTGGAATTCTTGAAATTGATTGCACTGACCTTGCACTATACTGTATCAACTGATTGATCACTTCCTTAAAGGCTCTTCAAGCAGAAACCCAGTTTTCTTCAGTTTGGTGAATGAAGTTTGCAGGGCTTCATTTATCTATCTTTTTCCTGCTATGGTATCGAATGGATTCTTATTTTCCTTTCCCCCCCTTGAATTTGTCATTGCTACCTTACCGGCTTGCTGTTTGGCATTATGGACGCCTTGCAATGTGCTTGGATGTTTACTTATTAGTCTACACTTGACAGTCATTCTTTATGAACCAGGCTCTAATAACATGTTCTTGTTCTGCAGAAAGTCTGAGTTGCCGTCTGCTTGTGGAACTTGGAGGAGAATGATGCAGAAAACCGGTTTCTATCTATTTCCATTATCAAACAATTATTGGGGGATTCGTTATTTCTGGATTGCTTTTGGTACATTTTTCTATCTATTTCCATCATCAAACAATTATTGGGGATTTGTCATTACAGGATTGATTTTGGTACTTCTTTCTATCTATCTCCCTTATCAAACAATTATTGGGGGATTTGTTATTCTGGATTGATTTGGTACCTTTTTATTGTCGAGGATTTGTTATTTCTGGATTGATTTTGATACTTTTTTTTTTATGATTGTGGTATTTGGGGGTTATTTGTTTAATTAGCAATAGGGGAAATTATGGGTAGTTGTTGGTGAATTATTGGGGTTTTTTAAATGAATTATTGGGTTTATATTCTATAGATAGTCAATGTTTGGTCCGACTTATAAAAGTGTTTTTCAATTTTAAATAGTGAAATAGGGCCAATTATTTCTAATAGCTCGACTTTAAAAAGCTAAAACGTACTTATGTATAACATAAAATCATATTTTCCAATTTGGAACTTTTACGAAAAGTTGTTTTGAAAATACAATATTATCCTTATCCTATTTTAATTTTATTTCAAAAAATATTTATTTCAATTATACCATTTTTAAAAATATAATGTATGTATTTTGCTTGAAAATAATCATTATTTTTCTCAATATATGTTATATTTATTACACATATAATTTTTTCATGAAATTGTGTTATGTTTAACTCATTTTCTTTACTAAGTGGATTTAAATAGAGAGGGCATTTGTATTCCCGATCTTAGCCAGTATCATCTCTAGTTAGGGATAGCAAAAATATTTGAAATCTTGGATATCTGTCCGAATCCAACCTAATCGGGTAGGGTAAAACTCAAACCCGAACGATTTTCAGTCGGTATGGGGAAAAACCCGAACCTGAATACCGCGAGTAATGGGTGGGCATGATTTTCTCACTATCCAACATATACCCACCCGATTATACATACCCATATATATTTTGTCTAGAAATGATAGTTATTTTTCTCAACATATTTTATATTTAGCATACAAATATAATATTTTCATGAAATTGTGTTGTTTGAATTAATTTTCTTCATTTTAGTGAATTATTATCTTACTTTTCTACTTATATAATGTGAGTGTACGTGTGAATATTAACATGTTTATTGGAGTTATAAAGAGAAACTATTACTCATGGATAGCCGTAGATATTCGAAACCCGAATGGGTATGGACATGGTTTTAGTTTTGTACCTGACTCTTATGTGGGTATGGGTATGAGTAAAACCCGAACTACTTTGGGTAGGGTAACAGTATGCACTATCCACCCCGACCCGCTGCCATCCCAAATAGTTATTGTGCTATTACATTTCATTTTCCAGTGTTGGATTTGAAAATTAAGGTTTTGAGTTTTGAAAACCTTTGTATTTATGATGCATTTGTTGCATTTTGTATTTGAAAAAATAACATTGTTTACTTAGTTAATTTTTTTCATGTATTTAGTTGATTTAGTATTGGGTCTAAAAATTTTCCTTCCGCAACCAAATATCAAATGAAATGTGATATTTTCAACTACGTGGGATCCACGAATTTAGAGCAAAATCCGTAGGCCCCACGAATTTGCATACCTAACAAACAATGTCTGTGTCCAAAAACATAATAATTGATATTTGAATTACCAAATACAACATCCAAATCACATTAGCAAACAACACCAAACTTAATCCTTCATAATCCTACATCATTTACGGTTCAAAGACATAAACATGGACCTATGGGCTACGGCCCATAGATGAAACTAAAAGAGGACGAAGTAGTTGGAAGAAATGGCGGGAATGTATAAAATCCTTCATTCAAATTTTCTTGCAACCAGAATGAAAATAACAAGGATATTTTTGTCTTTATAGTGAATTATTTGTTTCTCATTTATTCCTCAAAAAAAAAAAAATGCATACTAGGATTTGAACTGTGGTCGTCATTTTACGACCAACCGCGATGTGGGGCACATTTGGTAACTATTTCGATGTGATCCTTTAATTTGTTCATTTAAGTATCTAGCACCAAACACTTAGTCAACTATATTACACCAATTTACGGTTTAGCGATTAGAGTTAAGGTTTAGGATTTAGTGATTAGAGTTTAGCGATTAGGATTTATGGTTTAGGATTTAGGGTCTAGTGATTAGGGTTTAGAGTTTATGTGTAATTGATATTAGTCTGCCATGGTAAGATATTAATTTGTGTGTGGCGGGTATTAATCTGCGATTGTCAGATAGATATTAATATGTTTGTGGTGGGTATTACTATTAGTCTGCGATGGACAAATATTAGTTTGTGTATGATGTGCATTAGTCTTTGATGGTGAGGATATTAATTATGGCTGACTAGATATTGGTCTTAGACTGTGGGGTATTAGTCTGGGTGGTTTGGATATTTGTTTTGTGTGGATGTGGTATCTATATTTGTTTGTGTTGATATTTAGTTTAAACAAATTCATAATAAAACAAAGTCGTTTTTCGAGAAACCGCAATACGACTAGTATTTAATGCCATTCCAACTTGGCAATCGCATAATCTAAATTCCGAAAAAGTACAACCACATATAAAACAAAAAAGGAATAGTTAAAATGTTGTCTTACTTGGCCAAACTCTCGATAATCTTTTTGATCATGTCCCTACGAGCCCCCCACGTTTCGATCATGCCACAACGAGGTAGGGATGGTCCTTCTCCTAGTCGCGACCTCTTCGCTGTTGTTTTAGTTCTTGCCATTGTCCAATATCCCTGGAGCATAGATAAATATCCAGGTATAAATCAACTGATATCCCGGCCACACAGAACTAATATAAGGTAACTATAATCCATACATCCATAGTAATATTCGGACAAACAAACAAAAAATCCGCCATTCACATACCTAATATCAGGCCATTAAATTACAGAATTAATATCCAACATGAAACTAACTAATATCCAGCATGAAATGAACTAATATCTACAATAAAACGAACGAATGTACAACGAACTAATATCCAACATGAAAAGAACTAATAGCAAGCGTGATACGAACTAATATGACCCATAAAATGAACCAATATACAATGAGCTAATATCCAGCATGAAACGAAATAATATCAACCATAATAACACGAACTAAATCTAGCATGAAACGAACTAATATCAAGCATGAAATAAACTAATATCCACCATGAAACGAACTAATGTACAACGAACTAATATCCCAGGCCTCCAAACTACAATCCTAGGCATGCAAAATAATATTTTACGGAGATACATAACTAATTTAAGACAACTAATATCCACATCATCATATAATAGTATCCCATGCCATTTAACTGATATCCGAGATCTGCGAACAATTGTTCTACGAAGCATATAGAACTGATATCCCATATCCCCCAAATCGAATCCCCCTACAAGAACCCCAGATCCCCAACCACGAATCTCATATCTAAAAAATGAAGCAAAAGAAAGAACCCAGATCTAGTCGAATCCATGAAACCCTAAATCAAACATATGCAATCCAACAGAAGGAGAAGGGAAAGAAGAAGACGCCTACCTCAACGACGTTAGTCGGCTTCTTTTTCTTTGTTCAGCTACAACTACAGTAGTCGAATCTGCCTTCATCGTCGCGCTGCCGTCAAAATCGTCGTCGCCGCTGCCGTGAAAGCCACCATCGCCGCTGTCCTGAAAGTCGTAGTCGCCAGAGAGGTTTTGTGGTGGTAAGAAGGTTTCATAATCGGGAGAGGAAGGGAAGAGGAAGCTTTTTTGGATTTTTGGAGAGAGGAAAGGAATTGAGAGAATGGTGGAGAGAGAAGTGAAAAAGTGGATTTATTTGAGAAAGTGGATAAAATTTGAAAAATTGGACCCACTTTTCTTGTAGTTGGAACTGGCTTGGGCCAGCTGAGCCGGTCAGCCTCACTTCCCTCACATTCCGGCGCCACTACTTCAACACCCTCCGATCACGTCTCGGCGATGTGGACAACCATTTGCTCGTGTGTGTATATACTCACTAGAAGGGGCTGTAAGTAGGATAACTATATTGGGGTCAGCATGGGTTGTTTCAAGCGAAGGAGAAGAGGAGCAACCACTGTTATTTTCGATCGAAGGAGAAGCAACGGCAAGGGAAAGAGTGACAAATGGATCGAGGGTTGGCGGCGGGGGTAAATTCTTTAATTTTAATAACATTTATGTAATTCGTAGAGATTTTTCTCAACGTTCACAAATGATTTTTTTTAAATTTTGTATAAAGTAGAAATTGAGACAAATTTTCACATCTAAATTTCCACAGCCAACCCACTCATTAAAATTAAATATAAGTACGTAATTTGCATGCACAGTTCGGTACTTTCCGGTGGATTTAAGGGCGTGAAAAGAGAAAACGTTAAATAAAATCCATTACCTTTCATATTAGAAACTGAAATTCTTTATTATTGATAAATAAAGTGAGTGAGAAAAGCGATTACAGTTGATCGAAGATTAGTTTATCTAAAAAAACAAACAGAAAATAAGGAAAAAGGCGTGAGAAGTCGTTGTATAAGATTGCAACGACTAAAAAGAAAAATTTCATTTAAATATCTATACCTAATACATTTTGACTCGCTTATCCGTTACTACAGAATCCAAAACTATGGAAAAACATTCATTATAATTCCATTTATTCTAATATTATATTCCAAAGTTCTTCTGTCATTCCACTCATTTGGTACAGAGACCCCGACTGTACTATCGAGTGGAAGTAACGCAGGCATCAATCGGCAGCCTGTTTTCTGCAATTCCTGCGAAGAGAGGCTTTTCTGGCAGCAGTGATGCCTACCCGAAAACCTAACAAGAGGATTCGAATCAAAGCAAAAGCAGAAGAACAACAAATCCATGTCGATAGATTGAGCAGCCTCCCGACCATATTCTTCACTACATCCTCTCCTTCTTCGACTCCACCAAACTCGCGGCTCAAACCGCTGTCCTCTCCACCAGGTGGAGGTACCTGTGGACGCACGTTCACAGTCTCATCCTCGACACCGATGAGTCCTTCAACCCTACGAATTTCGCCAGGATTGTCAATGAAGTCATGTACAACCGCTCGGAAGAATGTAACATCGGCAGCATTGACTACATTCACTTGAAATACAAGCCGGACAAGAAGCTGCTGAACAGGGTCGTGAGAATCCACTTGAAATACATTAAAAATTAAACTACAGTAAAAACGTGCTATAAAATTGTTATTTCTGCTATAAAATTGTTATTTCTGCTATAAACCGTTACTTTTGCTAAAACAAGTAGACGTCGCCTAGGAAACACTTAGACATGCTTGAGGGTTTTGGTGATGGATTTGGTGATGGAAATATATCCATCATGGACTTGAACCGAAATCCATCGTTTGCCTTAGGGAATTAGGGAGATGGAATTTGTGGGGCCCACCACTTTTGGGGTTCCAAATCCGTGGACCCCACGGACTTGGAAGTTCCACCTCTTGAGGTGGGATTTGGGTGATGGATTAAAATCCATGATGGTAAATTACTTTTCTACCCATACTTATTTCTTTAATTACAAATTTGTCCTACTTTAATTCAATGGTCATGCAACGGTAAACTTTTATAATTTCGTATTTCATAAATATGAGAATTTATCATTTCATTTTGTAATATCGTATTTTATTTAAATATGAATGTATATGTGATTTGTTAGATTCACCTAGAAATACTTTATGCTCATCTTGTACATTATTACTTGATTGATTGTCGGATTCCGTATCGGTGAGTTAGCAAGAAGATGATGAGTTGTAGCAATAAAGCGAGCAATTGGCTGCAATTGATACATATTATTGCGTACATTATTAGATGAATTATTTTTTTATGAAGGATTATTAGATGAATTTTTAATTAGTGCCAAGATGAATTGTTAATTAGTGCCAAATTGTAATACATTTCTATATTTGTAGTTGAATTATTAATCCACATAGTGGTAAAGAGTTTAAAATTTCTTTCTTTGTTTTGGATTAGTTTTAAATGAAGGATTTGGATTATAATATAGAAATATAATTAAATAAGGGTAACTAGGTAATTTGTATTTAATATCCACAAATCTAATCAAACAAAGTCCATAATCAAATCTAGGGGTGTGCAATGGTCCGGTCCGTACCGGACCACACCGGACCAAACTGTTGTTAAGACCGGACCAGACCAGACCGAGTAAAATACGGTCCGGTCCTTGGTCCTAATGAATTTTATAATTACTGAAGAAATGGTGGACCGAGCTCATATTTGGACCGGACCGAACCGGACCAAATGGACCAAATACAAGAATGGTCCGGTCCTTGGTCTTAACATGTCTTTTACTAATGGACCGCGGTTCTCATGAGTTTGGTCCGGTCCGGACCGAACCGAACCGTTGCACACCCCTAATCAAATCCATCAAGCAAACAATAGACTTGTTCAAATCCATAATGCCACCAAATTCATCATATATCCATGGTTTTTTCAAATCCATGAAGCAAACGACCCGTTAATTTCAGTAAGAGGGGTCCTTGCATGTCTGCATATTCTTTTGCCCTTGCTTTGAAAGTGAAAACCCTCTGAAATCCTAGTCGTAGGTCTATTATGAGGCTGCTCAAATGAATTATCTTTCCTAACATAGATGGATGTGATTTGAAGTTTTACCACATTATTTTTATTATATTTTTATTTTATTTCATTTATACCATTTTAAAAATATAAATAATAAAATCATACACATGCATATGTATTTTGTTTAAAAATAATCATTGTTTTTCTCAACATATTTGATATTTATTATATATTATATAATATTTTCATGAAATTATGTTATTTTTAACTTATTTTCTTTACAACTTGTGGATTTAAATTTTAAATAGAAGAGGGCATCTGTATTCCCGCTCCTAGCTTGTATCGTCTTTTCATTTTCCAATGTATAAAAAAAACTTAGGAGTCGTTTGGAAGTTGGGATTGTTTTGGTGAGATTGTCACTATACATGTATTGTTTAGAATGCAACATTTTTTTGATTTTTTTTTGCAGAAACAATACATGAATTGTTTGTATGATGTGACAAAAACTATAACTCAAAATGAGTGATTGTTATATCTCATCTTTTAATTTTGATTGTTGAGTTAATATTGTTTTGTCTCAACTTTTAGCTGATATGACATTCACAATCACAAATAATAAACATTGCATTTTAAAATACATAAAATTCGACAATACATACATAATATTATACATGCATCCATAACAATATATCTATTTAATAATCCCAACTTCCAAACCAACCGTTATTCTTTCATAAATCATAATCCTATCATCAACGAAGTACTAGGAAGAAATGGCGGGAATGTAGAAAACCCTTCGCGGTGTATCCTATTTTTTTCATTTTTTCTATATGTCATTTGGAATAAAATGTAAATTAATCAAATTATAAACCCTACTATATATGCTCGGAGACTCGGAGTCCAACCGTCCGTTTGAACGGGAGTGCGAGCAGCATCTCTAATTTCCTATTCCGAGTTCCGACGACGGGGAACGCAGTCCTTCTGCTGCTCAGTTCGCAGCCTGTTTTTCCAATTCCGACGAAGCCACATCTCCAATAATTTCCCGGCGGGAAGAGGCAGCGACGCAGCAGAATGTCTACCCCAAACCCTAACAAGAAGATTCGCGGAGATGGAGAAGCGGAAGAACGCCAAATCGAGTTCGATCGATTGAGCAGTCTTCCAGACCATATTCTTCACCTCGTTCTCTCCTTCTTGGACTGCCCCAAGCTCTCGGCTCAAACCTCTGTCCTCTCCAGAAGGTGGAGATCCCTATGGAAGCGCGTTCCGAGTCTCACTCTCAGCACCAGCTGCCTCACCCCTTCCAGTTTCGCCAGGTACGTCGAGGAAGTCTTGTCCCGCCGTCCTGAAGGTCGTGACGTCGAAGAGATCGTCTACTTGCACTTTGATTTCTCGCTGGACAAGAATCTGTTCGACAGGGTTGTGAATTTTGCTGCTTCTCACGGCTGTCGACATTTAAATGTTTGTGTGCCGTACGATGAGGTTCTTGAGCCCGAATTGTTCGTTCCCTTAGCTAATAGCGATCTGAGAATTCTAAGGTTAAGACGATCCACTCTGAAAAGTGGATTTGGATCATGTGGGCTCAAGATGCTGACCATTTTGGATTTGGATGAGTGCTTGCTGCCTTGTGACACTGGAGCTGACCTTGATCCTTTTGTTAACTTTCCTTGCTTGGAGAATTTGATACTGTGTAACTGTTTCTTGGAAGATAGGGAATGTGGTTTTAAGATCTTTGGACCCCGACTGGTTAAACTTCTGATATACGAACTTGATTGCTCTAAGTTGGAAATATTTGCACCAACGCTCACGTTCTTCGATTACATAGATCATTTGAACTCCCCAAGATTGTACAACTTAAGGCTTCCCTCCCTTGATCATGCTGATATTTTTGTGCATGACAAATGCCTTGATGAAAGGAACATGGAAGAGATGAGGGCTTGTTATATCAGCTTGTTACAAGGTCTGCAAAATGCGAGTATTTTGGAAATCAATCATGGTCTCTTTAAGGTATATTTCCTAACTTTGAGATAGGTCTTTTTGAACCAATTACTCTATGGATTAATTTGTCTTTTCACTATATGTAGTTACTGTGCAAGAATTGCGAGTTGTTGGAGCATCAGTCTTGCCCCTTTACTAGATTGAAGTCTTTGAAAGTAGCTGTGTCTCGAATTAATTGCCCGTACAGGTTGCCATACCATGTGATAAGTTACTTCCTAGGAGGCTCTTCCACCGGCGAACAAGCATATATTGAGTTTGGTTAGGTAATTCACAAAAACCCACTTTCCTTGTTTTGACTATATCATGTGCTTCGCAATATTATCATCTGTAACTACTAACTTGTCAACGTTCGTAGTTTGGCTAGGTAATTCTTGTAAGCGTAAGTGGGAACGTTTTTTCGTGCAGTACTTACAACTGCAGTGATTCAACTTCGCTTGTTTTCAGTCCCTTGCCAATTTCCCCTGAGATCCTTGTATCTCTGCTTGATTCTTTTGGCCTTGCATTGGCAACATTGGTAGAAGTCTGTTATCTTGTTTTTTCCTGCATGTAAGCTTTAAGTGGGAACCTCTTTTCTTTTGTTTGGAGTTATGATTGTGAGAGGAGCTTGTATCTGTGCTGATCCTTTTGCCCTCGCTTTGGAAGTAAGTACCCTAAGCATTGTCTCGCCTCAATTATAGGTGCTTCTCAAAATGAATCATCATCTTAACCTTTTGTTTGTCGGACCCTGTTTCTCTCGTGGACCTTTTGCCCTTGGCCTCTGCTATTATGGTACTGGCCATATGAATTTTCTTTCTAATTTTTGCTGCTTGGATAAGCTGAAAATGTGGATGTAGTTTTTACCACTTGATATGATAACGAGGAACTCGATAGAAGCAGTAGCTTGATTCTGCTGCAGAAAGAAACAAAAGAATCAGGCAATTAGTCAGTTCTGTGATAGAAGCAGTAGCTAACTCTATACAGTATCAAAGTTCAATTGCTTCAATAAGGGTTCTTCCTGTGCAAATCCAGGATGTCTTTAGTTTGTGTAGGTGATTGAAGGCGGAAAATACTTCTTTCATTTTAGGTTATTGCCTTTGATGGATTCTGACTGAGCCTTGCCTCCAGTGTATTTTAAGAATCTTTGTATCACCATGCTATTTTGTCCTGCACAGCTTGCTTACTCATTCTACTTTCTACTATGTTATATGCATTCCCCCTTTGCTTTTGCCATTCTTACTGCTTAGCCGTTATGTATTTTTTATGTGCTCGAGTGTTTATTCTTCTTCCTTAGTCTATAGTTGGCAGTTATTCCTTACATCTATGACCTGTGGTACTGATACACTGTTCCTCTGCAGGAACTTGGAGAAGTAGAACTAGGTTCACTTGGATTTGAGGGATTGTACTGCTGTTTTGATTAGATGTCATCTAGCTGAAGCTCCTTTTGAACCTTGAGTAGTCCCAGGTTTAGTTTATATAGCATAACTTGCTATTTAGACTTCAAAGTTGTACTTAAACTATGTTTTCCATTTAACAGTTCTGCAACTGCTAGGCCCTAATTACATTTCCTATAGAAAGTCTTTCATGGAAAGTGTCTCCCACAATTATGAGCGACTATTGTGCATCTGATCTGATGAACCAGGAAGCTGTTAATCTTATTTTAGCTTACCAATCATGTTTCCCATCTAGATAAAAATCAACAGTTTTGTTAGCTGTTTCTGGTTAATCTGCTGTAGGTTACTGTTTGGTAGTTACCAGCAGCTGCTTTCTATGGGGCAGTCCATCTCTGTAGGGTAACGAGTCGGCATAATTTAAGATCGTGCAGAAGTTGCAAGATGGAGGTAGAAGAAACGAAACTAGTAGTACATGTATTTCCCTGAGACCCTGACAATCGTAAGAAACCCATGATAGTATAATGAGATAAAAACATATTTGATCCTTAAACCGAAATCGTAGTATGATTTCGAATCGTAGTGAAACAGAAACGAGTACAAATAGAAGCCACTGCAGATTCGGTACATAGCAATAAGTAGGTTTGCAGAATTAGGAATTGGCAGCCCTCAGAATTGAGTCCCTGAAAGCATTCAAAGCATCCGTAGAGGTGACAGGGAAGCCATTCTCAAGCTTGACACTAATGGCTCTTGCATTTTTCTTCACCTCCTCCTGGCCCATTATATCCTCTATGCCTCGAGCAATGTCGTTTTTGTTAACCGATTTTGAGAAATCATCAGTTACAAATTCGCCAGCAGCCCAATGCTTGACCACCAGTTTGGCATTATGATATTGATCACCTCGAATTGGCCACGCTAGTATTGGGATGCCGCACCCAATGGCCTCCACGGTCGAGTTCCATCCGCAGTGCGACAAGAAAGCTGCAGTAGAAGGGTGGCTGAGGATCAGCAGTTGTGGCGCCCATCCGTGGATGATCAAGCCTCTCTTCTTCCCCACTCTCTCCTGCAAACCATGTGGGTAAAATCCCTGCTCCGGGTTCTCGTCCGAGTTAAACTTAGAACCAAAAGGGCCGGAACCGAGTTGGATTGTCCAGATGAATGGTCGGTTCGATGCTTCCAGCGCCTCAGCCAACTCTGAGTACTCCTCAATCGTCGGACCCACCTCGCTGCCAAATGATACGTATAGCACTGATCCGGCCGGTTTGCAATCCAGCCATTCGATCACCTCCTCTTCCTTCACATTTGTCTCTCGTTTCACTCGTACTTCCTGATCCCGGAACGTTGAGCCCATCCTCGTCGATTTCCAGTATTTGTCTGGCAGCAATGGACCAACGGCCCGAACCGGTTTGCCAAAAGCTTCGTTGAGGTACTCGATGAATGGGGCCTCCAGTTCGTGACACGTGTTGTAAAGGTACTGGGCAAATCCATCCATTTCTTGGAACCAATGCGGTTGATCACCGGGCGCAGGTGGGCCCTTCCTTCTCCGGCCCATGTGTGGTTTCGGGAGCTCAGATTCTGGGCTAGGAGGTGGCGGCCCAATGGGCTGCGGTGGTGGAGATGGGTGCCGCCTTCCAGAGTGCCCAAAAGGTCTTCTTTTGAGGTCAGATCCCGTTACCGCCATGTGATCTGGTAAGCCGGGAAGCAAACGGCTTTCGTTTCCGATTTCTCCCAAATCAGCCGACCCCGCCTTCCACATCGCGTGCTCCATCGCCGCCGAGCACGCTCCCGATGTGAAGAACCCAATCGCCGGGATGTCGAGCTCGTGAAGAATCGAACCTATCCAGGATCTCAGATGATCGACGACCGCACAGAGGGGTTTAGCCCCGCGGATCGCGAGTAACTTTTGGAGGCACTCAGCCATCTGGACGCGCTCCAGCTGGATGCGGTGGTGGAAATGGTCGCCGGTGTCAGGCGACGGCGGAGGAGGAGGCGGGAGTTGCGGGGTCTCGACGACGTGGAAGAGTTGGTCGGCGGAGAGAGGGGGAGGGACGGAGGAGGAGACGCGGGAGGAGACGAACAGAGTGGTTCTGAGCTTCCGGGAGAGGAATTGCTGGCAGAGTTCGAAGGTCGGTAGGAGATGCCCCTGTCCGTGAAATGAAATTACCCATATTTCCCCAATGGCAGCAGGAGTAGTAGTCATCCTCGTTGAACTTCTCTTGGGTATGATTCAAGTTGCTCTCTTTTCCCCTTTTCGCACTGCAATGAAGTTGGTCTGTTATGGAGGAAATGATCATTTGATTGTTTATATAGAGACATAGGGGAAATGAAAACTTGGGGGCAAAGAAACGGTGATTACGATGTGAACACGCTAATTTGGACTTTCTGACTGATAGGTTGCTTACTCGGTTGGTGAAAGAAAGATTATGGAGACTATTTGTTCCTTTATGAATGTAGTTTAGGAATTTGGTTGTAGAAGTTCCCAACTCTGCTTACCTTCCTGTCTTTCCTTTCTACTTCGGGGCTTTGATGATATCGTGTCTGTATGAATGCTTTCTTTTCTTTAGTGGTTTTCTGGACTTGGAGTGTTCAGATATCCTCAGATTTGCTCCTATTATGTAACTGCTATACAATTCGACATGTGGAAATGATCCCTTTTTTAATGGGTTCTCTCGGAAGGAACCAAGAGAACATGTGGAAATTAAGAGATGAATTTCTGCACCCATAGTCACCATCGTCCTTGTTTCCAGTGATTATATTGGAGGAAGGAGTCTGATGTTGTTTATCGTCAATTTTCTATTTGGATCGTGTAATACTCAGCTCTATGTTCGGCCGTGTCTTAATTGTTGTCTTTACAAGGATTCTCCAGGTTAACCCGCTCGCCTAGATCATGCGATGATGCAGGTATTGTGGTGAACAGGGATCCAGGATGAGCAATCTTCAAGGGACAAGTTTAGATGCAGCAACATTTCGACTTCTGCTCCAAGGTATTCTTTGACTTAATGCAGCGCATCTGAACTTCTCCATAATGAGTGAGTGACATCAAACGGAGAGGTGCACAGTTTGAGAGTTTGAGGGGCGTGAATGCAGGGCGGATTGCATCTACGCTCCACACTTCCCAGAGGGCTCAAAATACTTGGAGAAGATCGACGGTGTCTACCGCGGTGGGTTGGTCACCCGGCTGTTTGAGCAGTTCCCTATCGAGACGCTTCGCACGGCCTGGTCACCGAGGCTGAAGCGCGACTCCAGAATCCTCTGTCTGGAATGGTTGGCAAGATCATAGCTCTGCAGCAGGAGTTGAGGTTCCTTAGGGAAGAGCTCGCCAATGCCCAGCAGAAGCAGCACCTCCCCTGTCTGGGGGATGTCTGGACTTTCCGGGATGGATTTCAGAACCCTTTCTGGTAATAGTTGGTTAGCCCAGACGTTTAATTTGGTTTTCGGACTTAATTTTCAGCTCAAATTCTCTTTGTTTCTATGGTTAAGCTTTCCTAATCCGACTACTTGGTTACTAGATTGAATGGCCAGCTTTACTAGTTTGAATGATTATCTAAATCAAATTTTGGCTTGTTGATGGTGCTAGTAGTAGGGGTGGTAGTCGGGTCGATTAGTGGTTATTTGTCGAAAAATTATTACGGTTAGTCGATCAATCAAGATTTGGTGGTTAAATGTTGATTGTCCATGTGATTAGTGATTAATTGCCTATCTGCGTGAAAGAGATAATGGTAGTAGGTTTGTGGATTTAGCAAAAGGCAAGGAGCATAATTGTTATTTTAGAAAATGTGTATGGAGTTATGGATAGTATAAATCATAGCCACACTTCCTTCTCTTCATTCTGGTTTTCTCGCCTCTTTTTTTTTTTTTTTTTGTCTCTCTCTCTCTCTCTGCATATTAAAAAGAAAATTCACTTTCCCTGTGAATCAATGAACATAAGAAAATTCACCTTATTCTTCTTCATGCTCGAACAATCGACCCTAGTTGCCAGCTCTTCTCCTCTCTTCTCTGTCCACGTAAAATAGAAGAGGGCTTACAGTGGCGGCAAAGTGAGGCCAACGGCCAACCACGTCACTTCTCTATCTTGATCATCTTCATGTCGACCTAATAGGAGAGCAATAAGAGAGGGTCGTTAGCACGACGACGGTCGTCGTTCGCTGCACCACCTCTTTGCTTATCTTGTTCTTTATTTGAGCTAAGAAGACGAGTAGATTGGAGTCAGTGAGCGTATAGTGGTGAAGAGGAAGTTGTTTTTTTTTTGTTTGAATATAGTATTTTGTCTATTTTGAGTGGATAACAATCATTATAAGTTATTAATCAGTTAATCGCTAATCGAATATAAACTCTTTATGATTCGGTAAACCCACTATTTTCAGAATTGGACCGGAGGCTGAACCGGAAAAAGTTAGTGGTTTAGCGTGCAGTGGTTAACCGTTACAAAATCGTTGGTAAATCGTTGATAGAACTGTTCATGATATATAACATATAAGACTTGTATATTACACTAATTTAAGAATGAAGTTATCATTGAACATAAATAATTTCAAATTCATATCATCACCAAAATATGTAATAAATCATTCAAACCGTCTCACAAAAGAAATCATAAATTTTTTAATTCAAATTAAAATTTACGATATCAGTCAGTAGTGGACAACGTAAAGTCGACATCAATGTTGGAAAATGAGAAGATGAAGCAGATATAAAATTAGTAATTTTGGTTTGATGATCTTAAGTTTACGTTAAAAAAAAAATTTAAAAAATTATGTGGTTAAAATAGTGAACCAGTGGACCAGTTAAACCGTGGTGGTTCATCTGATTTTATGTTGAATCGTGGAATACCGTTTGCTCCATCAATAACAGTCCAAGCAATAAAATCGTACCGCTATCATAACTGATTTAAAGGTTCTACTGGTACAGTCATTGACCCGATTCGGTTCATTGTTAACTATTAACGACATAACCAGAAGTTGGTGACTTGGTGGCTGGTGCTATATTAATTTGGGGAACATACGGGCTTATAGAGTTTTTGGTGGTCTGGGCATATATCCAACAGTCGAGCCCACAGACCACAAAGCCCTAAAAAGATTAGATAGGCGCAGCTTCAAAAATCGTTTCTCGTTCTTCCTATTCAAAATTTGTATAGAGTATAGACTCGAAAAAAGGTGGTAAAATGTTAATAAACCCCGCAAAAATTGAGTTCAAATCCATTTCCAATTTCCCTGCATATTTTCTATGAAACCCTAAATCAGAGAAATGTGGGTTTCCAGTGCAACCAAAATGTCCATAGCTTTCTAATCCAGTAGCCCCCGACAGCTTAGTTCAGCTTCAGTCTCCAGCGATTGCGGCCGCCGGAGTGAGCAGTTCGGATTTGCAGCAGCGAGCATTACCAGCAGAAAGGCTATGAGGAACAGGGGCAGCTGCGACTGCGAGTTAAGGAAAGCTGCAAAGAGGCGCCGCAAAAATGATGAAGAAGAGGGAAATACAACTAGTGCTGCTATTGACAGGTTAAGCCATCTTCCACAACCCATTCTTTCTCACATCCTTTCGTTCCTCGACACCAAATCTGCTGTTCAAACCGCTGTCTTGTCCCGAGTTTGGAGGTCCACTTGGAAACATGTCCCTGTACTCCATTTTCGTCGAGATTCCTTCGTACATGTTTTGACTTTCAAAAGGTTTGTGCGTCTGGTATTGTCCTCCCGCTGTCAAAATAGTGTCCGTAGGGTTAGCTATGCCCTCAATGCAGAGCCGCTGGATGCTATAGATAAGATCACGTTTGGGAGGGTGATCAAATATGCATTATCCCATGACACTCAACAGCTGGTCCTCGACGCGGGAAATGCCCGTTTTTACGAATTTCCCCGTTTGTTTGGCTCAATCTCGAATTGCAATCTGAAAAGCCTAGAATTGAGACATATCATCCTCTGTGGCAGAGTCCGATCTTCCGTTTTCCCAATGCTGACAACATTGAATTTGTTCCGTTGCCATCTGGACACTCTTGATCACTACGAGCCGGATATCGATCTTATCTCAAACTTCCCGTGCCTGATGAATTTGGTTATGCGTAAAATGCGTTGTATTGGTCCACAGCCAGTTATCAAGGTACACGGACCCCAATTGGTCAGCCTGGAGTTGGATGGGATGGAATGTTTCGAGATTGAAATATTTGCGCCGAAACTCAAAAGCTTTCAGTTTGTCACACCCCTATATCAAGTAGACATTACTGATCCCACGGGTTGGTGGACCGATCAGGAGTACCACAGAGGAGCGGTGCAGCAATATTTGCACTCTTTCTTCCAAGGTTTGCATGATGCAAAGTCTTTGAAGCTAGATACTTATGAAATTCAGGTAATACTTTGATCTTATGCTCGCATTATGTGATTGGTCCCTTTGCGCAGTTATTGCATACGTTTTAAGTTCATCTATGTTTCTCTGTAGGGACTAAGGAAGATTTCTGGTTTTCTGGAAGAGCAGCCATCTCCATTCAGGATATTGGAGTCCGTGATTGTGGACACAGACGGGTTACGGTTCAAAGTTGTCAAGTACTCGGTTAAAGAATCATTTTGTGAAGAACCAAAAAATTTTATTCTTCCTGTTATGTAACTTTAAGTAGAATAGCTTCTTAAGCTGTCAGTGCGAGTCAAACAGAGCAAAGTTCTTTGCGAAATGGTTTCTTGTTTAGTTAGCTGCTGGAATCCTGCAAATGCTCTTGAATGTTTACAGCAGTAGAACATTGATGGTGGCTGCTTTTGTTTTGAGTATGAAGGTTTAGGTTATTTACTCATGATGAGGTTAGGATTCTGGTAATGCTGAACCTAGATGTTATTCACAGAGCTGGGCGACTTGCTTAATTATCTTCTTTGGAGTAAAAGTCAAAATTATTGTTGTTAAAAAAGTCGTGGACGGCAGGATTCGAACCTGCGCGGGCAAAGCCCACATGATTTCTAGTCATGCCCGATAACCACTCCGGCACGTCCACTAATTGGTGTTAAAAATCTCTATTCAAACTAACTAACCACACAAAATAATAAAATACAACTGCAATTATTGACCACGGAGAGGATTTTGACATTTTCTCAATTTTTTCATTGTGATTGCATCGTTATGCGAGATTGAATTATTTCGTACACAGCAAAGCAGGAACTCCAAAGGGGTTCTCCAAGTTGACACTTCTGTCCCTGGATCGTGCTGATGCTTCGTTGCTCATTGCTCAAGGCACATGTCGAGTTTCGAAGCAATATCTGCACTCCTTGTTCCAAGGTTTGCACATTGCAAAATCGTTGGAGTCGTCGACTGTAAAGGGTCCGAAAATGTACCGTGGTGAGCCATCAGTTACATTCTTCAAGGACTTTCCTGCGAAGAACCTATAATTTTTCCGTCCATCCTTTTCTACAGGACTCCATGATTGATAATGTATCCTTTTTGCCATTGTTTGCGATTCTGCTACACAACAGTTAGTGTTTCCTTTCCATGATCCTTACTTCTCGCTTCCACATTTAAAATGTTCATTGCCCATTAAGCAGAGCCTGGTGTTCATAGTGTAAGTAGCATAGTTTTTCCTTGGGGACTGCTGCAGAATAAGACACGAGGGGAGACAAAAAGAATCTCATCATAATGATTGTTGTAATATTATATTGTACCACATGAGGGGTTAGTTATTTTCATTTTAGTAGTTGCAAGATTTCTCTCTGCAGCATATTCTCTAATCCGACAATAATATACCACTCTTGAAATTAGCACTCGTGAAGGTTGATTAATTTATCTATGATTAGGTTGTAAGAGAGCTGAGAGCCCGTTTGGTTATGGAGAACTAATCCTTAGTTCCCAGATTGGCTAGTTGCAGATAATTGCAGTTCAGCTGTGGCTTTTTTGGAGGTGGCCTCCCCCAGTTGTCATTTTTCTTATTATGTGCAGATGTTAAGCTCCAGTTGTATGTTCAGTGTTTCAAAGGGATGTCCTGTTGCAACTGATGGAACTTTAGCCAGAGGAAGTTTCTCAGTTTAAAAACATTGTTTGTCTAACAAGAAACAGCATAACCAAGGAGGCAAGGACAAGGTGAAATGGTGAAAGCCAAATCCAGTGGCAGTAGATTATGGCTTGTTCTAGTTTAACTACTTTAGCACTAATCCACACTTACAGCCTCGCTATTAGCTATCGCTGCAAAACATGACACAGCAAGCACTTGACCAAACTCTCTGTTTCCCAGGCCAAAAAGATGTATATCCTCCTGTCTGATCTGATCTATCACCTCCCTACACTTCGAGCTCCGACTTGAAAAGCCCTGCTGCACCTTTCACGCCATAAGACTGCTACATACCAGCACCAAATTCTTCCTAGCAATCTGCCTTCTGCTGTTCCTTGCATGAGCAAGGTCACTGACCATCTTCAACCTGCTGCTCCAATCCCCTGGCCAGATAATATTGGGGGAACAAAGTTGAAAGAATCTCTCTGGCATAAGAACACTGGCAGAAGAGATGATCTCTCGTTTCAGCCCCCATACTACACAATAACCAAGCATCCGTATCTATCAGTCACCAGCTCTTCAGCTTGTCGTTAGTTTCATAAATGAAAATTCAGACTGTAGTAGTTTTGATGATCAACACACTTGATTAAAGTCTGAAATGAAAAAGTGGTGTAGAAAATTATTGTTCACTATGTTTGCCAGCAGAGGAAAGTCTACTTTAATCTTTTTTGTTGAGAAAAGTAATATGCAACCTTAGCAAATTTCACAATTTATTATACATCTCCTTAATTCCTCTCTGTTGCTGCTTTTCTCTGATGCTCACCCATATTCTTCCTCTTTTCACAAATACTTCTCAAAGACGAACCACATCACACTATAACATTCTGATATTCATGATCACCACTCTCCTCTGATGGCGTTTACATAGTCTACATGGGTGCCGCAAAACCAACCAACCTGACTGCGAAGGTTCTCCTTCACTGCCAAGTTGTCGGGCCTGTGGCATCAGTGTAGACTATGTTAGCGACATCCGAGAGGCCATGCACAGTCCGCCCCCAAATAGACCACCGTAATCCGCGTGTTGCGGCCATGCTAGTAGCAACAACAAGATGAGTGAAGTAGCAATGACGGTAGACAACTACGTTAAGGAGTATTGTTGTACGCCTTGTGTTTTGGAAGGAAGAAGCATTTCTGGAGAGAAAAAAAAGGATGGGTTATGCATTCTGAGAGAGAAGCTAGATAGATAGGAGAAAGCAACTAAAGAGATGAGTAATAAGAAAGAATTGCTCATCAAGCAGTGATATGAAATCAGTTATAAGTAATTACACGCTATTTATACTAGAAGAGAGCGACAGATCAGAAGGTAACCTAACCTAACTTACTCCCTTTTTTCTCCCAGGTACAAACCGCATGATGCATTTATATAAGCAGGTAGTTGGAATGCTTTCTATGAGCTCCAAATATTGTGCCTATATTTATATAAAAGAAATATGCTGATCTCACAGGTCCCTTCATGCAGTTTTTACCTTTGTTGAAAGTTGAAACTGTGTTGCATAGGTGCGAAACTTTGCGGTTTGGACTAGACCAGACTATATACACGATTTGTGGTTCAGATCAAGAGATTGGAACGCAGATTGTGGACCAGACCACATTCTATACGGTTCAGATTAGACCACGTCTGTGCAGTATGGTCTGGTACGGTGTGTACCAAGCAGACCATGTTAAAAAAAATTCACTCTTATTCCGTCCTCCAACCACCCGTTATCTATAAACATAAAAACTTCAGTGACCAATATGCTAGTGTAATAATAATGTAGTGATCATAATTAAAATGAGAATAAATATATAAGGGGAGAGGAGGACTTTTCAATTTTCAAACTCTCTCTCTGGTCTCTACGGCTCTATCCAGTATCCACTTAAAAACACATATCAAATAGCCTTGTTTCTCTTTTCCTCTTTGTGCTACTGATTCTCTCTCTCTCTCTCAGGTGATTCTGAAGGTTCTCGCGGTCGTTTTGAACCACCAAGACGATCACTTATCTCTCAATAATTTTCTTTGTGATTGAATTTTTCCAGTGTTTCTTTTTTATCGACTCCGTAGTCTAGACATTGTTAGTAAATATTATTTATGACTATTTCTTGTTTTTGTGTGGTTTTTTATAAGAAGATAATGCATAAGCGATCATTTGAGCAATCTGTTGGAGCCAAACTCGATGAATAATCAACTTTGTTTCTTCAAATATAGAAATGGATATTTAATTTAGTGTTATTTTGGTATGAGTTAGTAGGTAGTGTATCACGGTCTGTCACGGTTTACTGTGATAGATCGCTATCCAGACCACTTTAGACCACACACTAAAAAAGGAGACCATAAACTATAATTATGATATTACTGTTCAAACTTCAGACTTCAGACCGAACCATACCGATCTAGACATCTATTCTCAGGGGACTAGATATTATAACAACACTGCTTTTGTTGTTATTGTAACAACACTAGTCTCCAACCAATAGGAAGCTAGGATTGTGATGACTTTTTATTAGATGAGTTGACCTAGTGTAAAATCAAAGCAGGGGTATAATTGTCATTATGAAAAATATGTTTAAATAATAATAAAAAATAAAAAAATAAAAAATATTTTTTTATTTTCGGACCAAAATTTAGGTCGCCGGAATTCGGCCATCGGTCGCCGGAATCTGGTCGCCGGTCACCGGAATATGCTTTTTTGTCGCCGGAATATGCTATTTTGTCATCGGAATATGCCACCGTCACCGGAATATGCTCACCGTGGTCGGAATATGCTTACCGGCGTCGGAATCTAGTCATCGGAGCCGGAATATGCCTATCGGCGCCGGAATCTACTCACTGACGGTCACCGGAGTTCGGTCAACGAACTTCGTTGACCGGTCAACGGTCTTCGTTGACCGGTCAACGGTCTTCGTTGACCGGTCAACGGTCAACGATCACCGGATGTTATGGTTAGCATTGTGAGATTTATGGTTTGGTTTCTCATATTTTTGTATGCCTTTTGTGGTTTGCTTTATCGTGTTTGTGGTTTGCATTAAGAAGTTTCTGGTTTGCTTTATCGTGTTTGTGGTTTGCATTGAGAAGTTTCTGGTTTGCTTTCAAAAACTTTGTGGTTTGCATTGAGGGGTTTCTGGTTTGTTTTAATATATTTGTGGTCTGCATTAGGACATTTCTGGTTTGTTTTTGTGGTTTGCTTTATCGTGTTTGTGGTTTGCATTAGGAGGTTTCTGGTGTGCTTTCGTAAATGTTGTGGTTTGCTTTGTGAGGTTTGTGGTTTGTTTTAGGAGATTTGTGGAATGCATTCGGAGGTTTCTGGTTTGCTTTTTTGTGATTTTTTTATCACGTTTGTGGTCTGCATTAGGAGGTTTCTGGTGTGCTTATGAAAGATTTGTGGTTTGCTTTGTGGTGTTTCTAGTATGTTTTAGGCGATTTGTAGTCTGCAATATGAGGTTTTTGGTGTGCTTTAGAAACATTTGTGGTGTTGTTTATGGTGTTTCTCGTATGTTTCAGGGGATTTATGGTTTACATTACAATGTTTTTGGTGTGCTTTAGAAACATTTGTGGTGTTGTTTATGGTGTTTCTCGTATGTTTCAGGAGATTTATGGTTTACATTACAATGTTTTTGGTGTGTTTTATATTATGTTTTATTGGGTTTATCAAAATGCCTCGGTCTCTCTTTCAATGATACAGATGCAGTCTCGTAACTAATCCAATTCCTATGAGTGGAATCATGCAAATCATTAGAAAAACAAGACTCTCTTGGGCAATTAATCAAATAGGCAGGGGCCAAATTTGTGGTAAAACAGAGGGGTTTCCTTGAGAATTACATAGGATTGAACCAAGACCTTGTCGACGGGAGGGGACAACGGAGGAACGCATGCTTCAGGTATACAAGGATATTGACAGCGACTAGTCCTGCCTTGATGGACGGTTTTCATGGAAGTATGTTGTACTCAATGGCGGCGTGAAGGGCCAGCAGCGACATGCATTCTCCCTCTTTGTTCCATCTGAATCAGAATAGGATACTGAATATGGATTGTGAAATTAATCTCATAGCCATGGTGGTTGGACTTTGGGAGAATCCTCCCTCTCTTAACTATGTCGCTTCCTCTTTCTGGGTCTCAAATCATCTCCAAGTTGTCCCCGTCGATCTCGACTCTGGAGACCACAAACGCCGTGATTTCCTCGCCAAATAGGTCCTCTGTTTCTTTCTCTCCTTTCCCGCCCGTTCACTTCCGTCGGCGCTCGTACCAGCCATCTCTCTCGACGGAAGCATAGTCGTGGCAGAATTTTTTTTTTCCTGATCACGGCTAGAGCATACATCGATAGAGAGACAATAGAAGGGAAACGTCAGCGATGGAGAACAACCAGCGACCAGATTCCACTTCCTTGACCATTCAGATGTGGCGATTTCATGCCCGACGGCGAAGAAGGAACACCAGGTGCTTTTCGGTGCGCCGCCTGCGACTGCCACCGCAGCTTCCACCGCCAAGAGATGGATGCTCCACGAGCTCCGCCGTCGCTATTACTCTTTCATCCACCTCTGCGCGACGATGAAATTTTGCAGAAAAAGAGAGAAGTCACGGGAATGGCAGGGGCTGAAGGGGGAGTGATTTTTTATTAATTGTTATTTTAGAATTTTTAATGTTAATTTACCCTTTTGTCCTGTTGGTACCGTAACAACACAAGCAGTGTTGTTATGCTATCTCCGCCCTATTCCCAGTAGGGGGTGCACATGAGTCGGGTGGTCCGGGTTTAGGCATTTTAATCACCCGACCCATGCACTACGGTTTGGGAAATATTAAACCCAAACTCAGCCAAAAAAATCTAAACCCTACGGTTTGTTTCTAATTGGGTTGGGTCAGGTTGACGATATTTTTAAGTAAAAACCCAACCCAACACAAAATATGTAATTATTCTGCATCATAAAAATATTTTATAACAAATTAAAAATTCAAACGAATAAACCAAAGTGAAAGGTATCAAAATTCACAAATATTGTTTGCATTTTAATAAAACTTGATTTACTTCAACTTATGTCTAGTTTTTTTCACGACATTTGTTGAAATAGACTAAAAAGGTTACAAATGAACGCATCCATAATATGATATTCTTTTAAAATTGTACACAATAAAAGAAATTACGTGAATCATAGCTATCTTAAATATATGTCTAAACTTTAAGTCGAAGAATGCATTAGATTAGTGAGACTTTAAGATAAAAACATGACAAAATATCTTAATTTTCTCATAAGTATGACTATATACGACATAAATATTTTTTTTGGATACGAACTCATACCAATAATTGGAACACGGGTTGAATCGGGTTTTACGGGTTGTGTAATCCAAAATCCAAACCCAACCCAAAAGAGGCGGGTTGTACAAAAGAAAACTCTCACCCAACCCAAAACCTTCGATTTAACGATAAATACGGGTGGGTTGAGTCGAGTTGGATGAATGGGTCGGTTTGCAGGTGTGTTTGTTCACCCCTAATTCCCGGCCCTTGCACCTAGGGCTGCAAATGAGCCGAGCTGTCCGCGAGCGGCTCGGTGTTCGACTCGAGAAAAGCTCGTTCGAAACTCGGCTCGTTAACAAACGAGCCGAACATGAGCTAAGCTTTCTTCAGCTCGCGAACTAGCTCGACTCGGTGGCTTGCTGAACTAAACTCGTGAGCTGGCTCGTTTAGAGCTCATGATATACTCAACATGTGGCTAGAAAGCCAACTCGATTACCGACTTATGGACGAATCAATCTATATCTTATGTTTTTAATTCATATGGTTTTTAAATTATATATCTCACCATATATAAAGTTTAAAACGTTGGGTATGTGAGCAAATATATCTTATTTTCTACTTTAAAAAAATTATGTATCATAAATTGCTTCGTTATATTGAAATAACATGATTTGGAGTAGTTAAAATTTATTAACTAAATGATATGTGATACCAACAAAGTATAATATGATATTAGCTAACAAAATAAATCATGTGTATATTGATATACAAAATGAAGTACCAAATAAAACTCAAGATTTTAGTAAACAAGCTAGCTCGAACTCGACTCGGCTCATTAATAAACGAGTCGAGCTCGAGCTCACCTCGTTTATTAACGAGCCGAGCTCAAGCTGGGGTAAAACTTGACTCGGCTCGGCTCATTTGCAGCCCTACTTGCACCACCACATCGCCAACGCTGCCAAACAGCCCTTATGAAATCCAGAATTTTATATGTTAAACGACCAAAACTAGTTAAAGCCCAAACTCTGATACGAATCCATGGGCTTTTGTATGTCCTGACTCTCTCGGCCTATAGCCTACAGTTGAGCCCACATACCCCGAAAAGCATTTCTCTTTCGATCGCTTTTCCGGTGCGTAATTCGTATCGCCATTCGCCCAGCAACGGAAAAGGGGATAATAAAATGCAAAATTTGAGTTCCAAACTTCCCAATCCATACCCCATTTTCCCCGCCAAACCCTAAATCGGTAAAAATGTCGCTTCCCATGGCAGTCGAAGGTTCATACATCATAGCTTTCTAATCATCGGCATTTGTTTCAGCTCCAAGTCTTCAGCGATTTTGGCCGCCCTAGTCCCTACCGCGTGAGCTGTTTGGATTTGTAGCCTTGGAGGTGATCTATTGCAACTCCCTTGGTGCCGGACGCTAGGGTATGTGGATCCCAATTGCTTAGTCTGGAATTCAAGAAAAATTGTGAGCTTCTGGAACAGCAGTCGTCCCCATTTAGGAGACTGGAGTCTTTGATTGTGGCAACCGACAGGCTACCGTACAGAGTTGTCAGTTACCTTTTTAAAGGATCTTCTTGTGAAGAACCAGATATTTTGATCGATCTTGATGCGTGACTTCGAGTAGAACTAGCTTCGGAATGCTAAGTGGGAGAAAAACATATTAAAATACTCGGCAGAACGCCTTCCTTGTTTAGCTAAGCCTACCGGCTTCTTGTAAATGTTGTTGAATGTTTACTCGCTAGTGGCTTTCTGTTTAATGAATCCGAGTTACTGTGGTTGGTATGAAATGTGCAGGTTATTACTCGCTAGTAGGAAGCAGCTTTCTGTTTAATGAATCGAGCTTGTTCCCTCGCTGGTGGGTTAATGTTTGATGATTCACGCTTGCTGCATTGCTGGATGAGGTTTCTTTTCACTTTCTTTCAGATGAGTTCTTTGGTGCTGATTCATTTACGACACATGATTGATTGACAGATAAGCTGATCTGTCCAATAGTTCGGATACCTTAAGTTCTATTTCGAGGTGAGTTCAGCACTTAACATCTCTGTGTGATTCGACTTTCATTGCTTCAATCCTTATAGTTATTTCCGTCGTTGATCTTTCAGTTAAGTTGTGAATACTCAATACCCTGCTGCAATCCGCAATGTGGCCAGTTTTAATGGATTCAACGTTTTCATTCTGTCATCCTGGAATCAGTGTGCTTTCAGACTGGCTTCTCCTGTTCTGCTACCCACCTTTTTGAGGGGGTGGAGTGCACTCAAGCAGAATATAATAGGAATGTAAGTGGGAGAAAGGTAGTTGAAAGCTTCTTGTTTTCGATTAAATCTTCATGGAAATACCAATGTGTGCTTTGCTTTCCTTCCCTTCAATTTTGTAGGAGATTATTTCCGTAGTTTGTCTTGAATCACTTTTGCATCTTATGAAAGCCTTTTAATTCTGAAGTATGTCAGGTCGTCTTGATTTATTAGAAAGGCAATTTGTTTCGCCCCTTGATTGAGTCTTCCTGGTGAAGTTATCGGTATTGGTCCATATGCTTGTTCAGCTAGCCTTACTTGGAAATGCTTCAAAATGTTTACAGCACAATATTTTTGGTGGGTGATCACTTGACTTGCTGACGTGTACGCCATTGTAGGCACGCACGGTGCCATAAGGCATAAGCCCTATAGGGCTTTATATTTTCTGGTGGTCACGGCCCATTGACTGTAGAAACTTATGGGCTTTAGTATTTCCGGATATTCTCGGCCCATTGCCTAGTGTCGAGCCCACAGACCACCAAGTCCTACAAAAGTCAGGAAAATGTAAAGCTATAAATCATTTCTCGCTTTTCCAGTTCGGAAAAATTGTAATGCTTCATAGAAAAGGCAGAAGTTGTAATCCATTCCCAATTCCTCGTTTGTTTCAGGACTGCAGCCGCAAGAATCTCTAGTCGCTATGAGCAACAGCGGCAGGTACACGTTAGGGAAATCTGGACGGAGGCGCCACAAGGAAGAAGAAGATATTAGTGCTGCTGCTGACATGTTAACCTCTCTTCCAGAACCCATTCTGTCTCACATCCTCTCTTTCCTCGACACCAAATCCGCAGCTCAAACCTCCGTACTCTCCCGAGCGTGGAATTCCATCTGGAAATATGCCCCTGCCGTTGATCTTTGTCGAGGTTCTTCACAACGAGCTTCGGCCTTCAAAGAATTTGTGCACGAGGTTTTGTCCTCCCGCAGCCACGTTAATGTCCGCAAGGTTACCTACGTCGATAAGATCGCACGGTGGTCGGATGAAACAGATAAGAGCGTGTTCATGGAGGTGATCCAATATGCTCTGTCTCATGATGTTCAGCAGTTGGTCGTTGACGCGGGGAGCGACTCAACAGATTTCAGAGACTTCTACAGGTTCCCCGGTATGTTCGGCTCAATCTCGAATAGCAATCTGAAAAGTCTAGAACTGAACTATCTAGTATTCGACACTGCATTCGTATCTTCTGGTTTCAAGATGCTGACATCGCTGTGCCTGGCCGATTGCGCGCTGGCTGGTGAAAAGGGGGAGGACCTCGATCCTTTCTCTAGGTTTCCTTGTTTGACGAACTTGGTCCTGCGTGCTGTCGAGCCTGTTGGGGGAGCGGTAAGGGTGTGTGGATCCCAATTGCTTCGCCTGGAACTCGACGAGATGAAGTCATTTGAGATTGAAGTATTTGCACCGAAACTCAAATTCTTCCGTCTTCGTCAGCGTGCTAGCCCACAGGAACTCTTGAGCTTAACCGTTCCCTCGCTGGATCATGCTGAGGTTGCTCTGACCGGCCTATCGTTGAGCGACATTGAGAGCAACTTTACGACGTGGGAAGAATGGATGCGGCAAAATTTCCACTTCCTGTTCCGAGGCTTGCATAATACAAAATCTTTGAAGCTAGATGCCAATGTCATTGAGGTAATCCTCTGTCTTATTGCATGCATAATGTCACTGGTGCCTTGGAGAAGATGTTTCTGTATGGTGCATTAAATTTCTGTCTGTGTTTTATGTAGGTATTGAGGAGGATCTGTGTGTTTCTTGGACGGCAGCTATCCCCATTTAGGAGACTGGAGTCCTTGATTGTGCCAACAGACAGCCTACCGTACGAGCTTTTCCATTACCTTTTCAAAGGATCTTCTTGTGAAGAACCATACATTCTCCTCGATCTTTGATATGTGAGTTTAAGTAGAAGTTGTTTCTGAATACTCGGTGGGAGAAGAAAAAACAGAGTATCTTTCTATGTCTATAGTTATTTTCTTGTCAACTGCCTTCTTAAATTATGGCTATGCATAGTATTGAATCTAGTTTGTGCTTTGGTTCCAATCTACTTGGACTGTTTTGGTTACACAGTCAAATGACTATATTTGATTTTTGTATTCTTCGGTAAAAAGCAAAATAAATACAGAGATATAGAAGATCCAACCAGCAACAAGTGATGAAATTGATATGAATCATTTCATGTATATAGAATTGCAGTGGGTAAAACTTAAAAGTTTGCCCAGAAGCCTACTCTCTTTGGCCTTTGGGTATGAAATTTGCAGGTTTTCAAGTGATGTTAATTTGACTCTTTGTTAGCATTAATCCTCTCATAAAAGATTATTTTTTTTTGACGAAAATCAGTGGCTCATAAAAGATTATTAAATCTCCCTTAATTATTATACATTATACGTTGCTTTGTAGCTTTGATGTTTATTCTTAGTCTAAGGTTGGGCTCGCTGCCCATATATGGATTGGGGCGTACTATTTGTAGCCCTAAATTATTTTTATTTGTAGTCCTAAATTATAAAAAATACAATAATACCCATGACATTTAAATATATTTACTTCACACATTTCAAGACCAAAACATTCAAACACTTTTCCAAACACAATCCTACAGTACTCGCCGCCGGCGACAGCCACCTCCCGCCGGCGACCGCCACCTCCCGTCGGCGACAGACCCTTTCTCCGACGAGGTACGCCGGCAAATTACCCGACGACGATGGCCGGACGTCCTGCCGGCGACGGCCGGAAGTTCTGCAGGGACGTCGTCGGCGACCGGAAGTTCTGCCGGGACGTCGCCGGCGGCGGACGAACGTCCTACCGTTGTTGTGGATTCTAATCGTCGTGATACTGCAAGTTTGGGGAAGATTGGAGGGAAGAGAGAGGTGAAAGATCGGAGATTGGCAATGATGGGTGCGAGAGGAAGATCGGAGGGAAAGAAAGGGGAAGATCAGAGGACGAAGGGAGATTGAAACCTAGATTTGACTTCATCTTCTCCGATTGAAAACTAGATTTCATCTTCTTTTCCCCTGACTTCATCTTCTCGATTGAAACCCAAATTTGACGCTTTCTAGATCCATCTTCAAAAACCCAGATTTGTACCGACTGGAGGAAGTTGATGCCCCTCGATTGATTGACTTGAAGGAGCACCGGCAGCGGATTTCAATTGAACAAGAGTTTCGACTAGGGAAGGGATGGGGAAGAAGAGAAATGGAGAGAGAAAATAAAAAATATTTATTTTATTTATTTTTAGTTTCCACCTTACATTTTTAATTAACTAAAATTCGCCAACTCGGCAATGCCGTCAGTCCAGTCAGCCCGTTTACTTGACATCGTCAAAGAATTGGATGGAAGTAACTATTTTTTGTATTTCGCCAAAAGTGGCTATACTTGGCCAAACCATCAAAATTTTGGCTACACAAGTGTATTTTGCCTTAAATTTACTAATTCTAATTCTCTTCCTACAGTCATATTTTATTTTCTTGATTTGTTACTGAATGTCGTTACTTTTATAGTTTATTTATTATTTGGTTACTTTCTGTCTCTTTTCGTTCTAATTTTTTTTCAATTAATGGAATATGTTTAATTCTTTCTAATTGTGTTCCATTTATCCTTCTTTGGTCTTGATGTATTAATGATCAATTAGGTTGTATATTAATTATTTTTAATTGCACTTCTAATTGAATTAGGTGTTTAAATAGATATTCTAATATTGATTTTAAATATTTATTATTCTTTTTTATATTTTTATATTATTTTTACTAATTTTTCTATTTTATTGGAAATTTTTTATTAGCAAATACTATGTTTAGAAGATTTTCTAATTTTTATTAGATAAATTTTGTTGAAATATAATTTTTGATATTTTGAAAAGTTTTGGAAACGGAAATGCAATTAAAATTTTAGGATGGATGAAAAACTACACGAATGCACATTGTAGCAATTTTAATAGTATCCGGCGCACTATTCAAATTTAAATGAAATATTAACCTCAATTCTCTAACTTAGACTACTTAAATGACATATCCACTTTCTATTAGTGACCTGCTTTAAAAATTCTACCTCGCGACAAATTAATATCAGTTCGGTACCAAGCTGTAATAGGGGGGGGACAAAAAATCGTTTCTCGCTTTCCCATTTCGAAATTGTTCACTTCATGCCTCCGTGAAACCCTAAATCGGAGAAACATTGTGGCTTCCCCAAACGTTAGATGGCTTTCTAATCCAGTGATCCTCCTCGGTTATTTGATAGACTCCGGCCGGCAAAGCTCGGAAATTGAAGTGGTGGAGGTTGTCTATCTTCGCGCGGGCCCGGCGGTGACGAGAAGAGTTCATCATTGGGAGGAAAGGTGAATTTGTAGTCTCTTCGTGATTTGCTTCATCGTTGTGGGAAAAGGTGAATTAGTAGTCTCTTCGTGATTCTGCTCTTACTTCATCTTCTCTTTCCAATCGTTTCGTAGTTCCCGGCTTTGGGATTCCCAGAATTAGAAATTGTCTGTAGTACCAGCAGAACAGCAGCTATGGAGAACAGCAGGAAGTTGGGGAAAGCCCGAAAAGGGCAGCGTGACAGGCTAAGCCGTCTTCCAGGACCAATTATTCATCACATCCTTTCTTTCCTCGACACCAAGTTCGCCGTTCAAACCTCTGTGTTGTCCAGAGCATGGCGATGTGCTTGGAAACATGTCCCTGTCCTCAATCTAGACAAGACTTCCTTCGAGCAGTATTCGAGTTTCATTAGATTTGTGGACAACGTTTTGTCCCTCCGCTATCCCCTCAGACTCCGTGAGGTCAGCTTCATTGACAGTGGGACTTGGGTTGTGGTCAGCTTCATGAACAATGGGATTATGGATGAACAGGGTGAACGGGAAGAGCATCGACTGTATGCGAGGGTCATCGGATATGCACTCTTGCATGATGCTCAACATATTGCGATTGATCTTGATAGTGGAGAGGAGCCCGAGTGCAGTCCTGATTTCTTTCATTTGTTTGGCTCAGTCACGAAAAGCAATATCGAAACTCTACAATTAAGAGCGGTTAGCTTCCGCAATTCTCAATACTCTGGTTTTGGATCCGTGACTACTCTGGATTTGTACTACTGCTGGGTGACCGATCTGGATGTCTTTTCTGATTCTAACTTCCCTTGTCTGGAGAATTTGGTCATGGAGGAGTGTAGATGCTACAAGTATACTCGTACGGAAACCATATCTGGGCTAAATTTGGTTAGCCTGAAACTCTTTCCCGTGCCATCTCAGCGACTTGAAATACGTGCTCCAAAACTCAACTTCTTGAGCCTTGCTTTCAGACTTGAAGTGAAGCTGTTAAAGTCAAGCCTCCCTTCTCTTGAGCATGCTGAAATTCGACTTGGTATTTTCTTTAGGTTTGATCCCGACGACATTGAGAAGCTACAGTTTCTCTCTTTGTTCCAAGATTTGCATAATGTAGAATCTCTCACGCTGCATCACTTGACCATCGAGGTATGCTTTCGTGGTTTTAGTGTGTGCCGTCTCAATTACAAAAGAAAGTTTCTTCTAGCAGATATATGTCCTTCAAATATTTTAATGGTTGAGAGAGGTTTTTTTATGCGCAGGCACTGAGTCAGATTTCTGAGATTTTAGAAGAACAACCCTCTCCCTTCACAAGATTGAAGTGCTTGAAGTTGCAGTCGAACAACGTACCTTATAATGTGGTCGATTACTTTCTCAAAGGATCTCCCAACACAGAACCCCATATCGAGTTTCTTGGCAAAGTAGTAAACCGCCGCTTTCCATATGAGTATGACTTCTGAATGGGATTCAGTTGGCAGGGGGGCCAAGGTTCTATCAGTATATAGCTAGTGGAAATCAGTTGAATCAGAGGAGATAGGGTTCCTTTGTTGTCATCATTTATCATCTGGCATTTGTGTATGTGCGCTTGTATCTAGTGGTTTGGATGTCTGAATCATTCACAATGATATTTAACATGTGGCATTTGAATCCAAGTTTGTTTCATTAGCCCCAGACTCGAATCGCAATCTTAAGGCTCTCGATTTCACTGAGCACTGTGGAATTCGATGCTCTGGTTTCCAGTCGACGACAGCTCTGGATTTTACTCCGTCTCTGAAAGAAACGGCGCTCTCTGGCCCAGTACTTGTCCTGTAACTGCACTTCAGAAACTCCCCTTATTGTCAGGGACATGTTTGTGGTAACTCCCCCACATATTCAAGAAACAGTAGGCATTAAATTGAAGCATTATTGTAAACATTCGTTATCTGTAGCAAATAGACAAGAATTCTCGAATCCAAAACACATAAATCTTCCATATAAAATCCCGTAATCTTTGAAGGAATGACGAATAAGAGAGATCGTACGCGTTGTGATCGCTCGATGAAAACAGTTAGAGAGGAACTAGCTAGTAATCCAGAGATCCGAACGTCGATGGAGAGACCACAGACCTGCAATTTACTCTTGCTGCTAGTGTTGTTCCTTCTTGTCACGGATGAGTTTGTTTTGGGAGCTCATGCGAGTCTCTCCAGTACGTCAATGGCTGATGCCCATCCAAAGGCAGCAAATTCAAGCCGGAAGTATTCCCTTAGACGAAGCCAATTTCCCAAAGGTTTCCTGTTTGGGGCAGCCACATCAGCTTACCAAGTATTTTTTTGTTTCAAGTCTAGTTTCGGTTGCTAAATAATTAATTGCATAATAATTATATAAATAGTTTTTTTTTCGTTGAATTATATAAATAGTTTTGGTTTGCGATAAAAGATTAATTATTTGGAAACTAGCCGTTTTAATTAAGTGTTTACTACGTCATTAGATTTCCGTATCCAATTCCAGTCTATATATATATATATATACCGAATCCGAAGAATTAGAGGTTATGATATGGAAAATATTTCAAGTTCATCATTTTTTTTATTGTAATTCAAGTTTTGGCTCCAATTTTTTTTATCGGTAACGAGCTAAATGTCTCTGTTGATAATGTCTCTGTACCAAATATATATATGTGATTGTTAACATGAATAACGGTTTGAATGAGTTTATGTCACTGTATATATTTTGGTTGTCGTTTATGATACTTTTTGCTTGCAGTTCGGACTTGTCTTCTAGAATTTCCATGGTCTTGTAATAATATATTGCGCTTGGAAAAAATTCAACAGTTTGTTAATTGGCTTATAATTATGTGACTAATTATTTGTGGAAATTGGTTTAGCATGAAGGTGCGACATGGGAAGATGGTAGACGTCCTAGTATATGGGATGCTTATGCTCATGCTAATCCAGGTAGGTTCTTGTCTTGTGCTTGCGTCAATATTTTGCTGCTAAACACTTTTATTAATTATGATAATATTTTTGCTTTCTTTCACAGGATACAGATTAATTTCATACTAATCAAATATGCGTAATTATTTGTTAAATCTTAGAATTAATATATTTTTAAAATAAAATTCTGTAGGTAAAATTAAAGATGGAAGCACGGGCGATGTGGGTTCCGACTCCTACCATCTATACAAGGTACGGTAATATGTCTGGTAAATTAAGAGTTATTTTTGCACCCAATAAATTATGGAGGTCGAAAATAATAAAAAGGATGAAGCTATTTATTAATTAAATTAATTGTGTAGGATGATATAGCCCTTGCAAAATCACTGGGCCTGAATACTTTCAGATTTTCACTCTCCTGGTCCAGAATACTGCCCCGTACGTTCTTCTATGTCTCCCTCTCTTGTACTTTGATTCTTCGATCCATTTTTGGTATTAATTAATTCAATCCAGAATAATAAAAACAATTTTCATTTGCAGGAGGTAAGCTCAGTGGAGGGATCAACCAGAAAGGGCTCCAACATTATAACAACGTCATCAATGAGATCCTAGCACAAGGTCGGTCCTTTGATTTATATTAGGGAGACAATTTGAAATCATATAATTTTGTATTTATATTTTCATATCAAAAGTTTAGTTTTTTTTAACAAAAAAAATCATTCAAATTTTAATTGTGGTATCTAAAAATTTTCACGATGACATTTTAATACTTAAATTTTTCAAAATTTACATATTGGTGCAATATTTGGAGTCCACTTGGGTTTATAATTTCAAATATTCAATCCACCAATCCATTTGATCGAATTGATATATCGATACTATTTGCCACCTTATTGTGCTGTATATGTTTTGATTTTAGTATATATATATATATATTTAAGTAATTGATCGAATTGAGAAGATATAGATTTTGTTACAAGAGTGCTATAATTTTTTTTTTATATTATTACTTGCAGGACTTACGCCATTTTTGTCACTAGTCCATATGGATAGTCCTCAATGTTTGGATGATGAATACGGTGGCTTTCTAAGCAATCGAATCGTGTAATCCTCGAGTACTCTGTTGCCCTAGATATATAGCTTCCTTATTTTTCACAAATATTCGACTAAATCTATATATGTATGTCTTATTGTTTGAAACTGGACAAGACAGGACCGACTTTCGAGATTATGTCGATTTGTGCTTCAAGGAGTACGGCGACCGTGTCAAGTATTGGATCACAATAAACGAGCCATTTACCGTCGCTAAAGGCGGCTATTACGCCGGTGACCTAGCCCCCGGCCGGTGCACCAGCCACGGCAACTTTACCTGCGACGAGGGAGAGTCGGGTACCGAGCCCTACTTCGTTGGCCACAACCTGCTCCTTGCTCATGCAACGGCGGTCCAATTGTACAAGCAGAAATATCAGGTATACATGCATTCACCTAATGGTGGATCCTCTAATTTTCATTTATCATAACGTGTACATTCATATACTGAAAAAACATTCTGAATCACTACAACTTTTTATTTTCAGTTTCTCTTGATTCAAAATTCCGACTTCATCACTGCATGTATAAGAAAACTGATTTATTTGAGCTCATCATATTCGACAACGTTATATATATATATGGCTAATTGGTTTAACGCGGTGCATTTGTAGGCAACTCAGAAAGGTATTATTGGAATGGCGATGAATGTGGATTGGTACGTCCCTATGACCTCGAGTGGACGGGATAAAAGTGCCGCAAGAGATGCCCTTGACTACAACTTCGGTTGGTAAGGAAAAATCATTTCCATGATCTGTTGTACCATTAGGATTTAGGGGTGTAATTAAGTCTGGCTCTAAATTTCCACTAGTCCAGTCAGGTCCAGTCTAGTTAGATCTTGAGAGTCGATTTGGGTCAGTTTGTCTACAATGTCAATTCTATTGGGTGATGTTTTGGTCTTGTAAGGGTTAGGTCAACTTAGGTCAGGTCACCTTTGGCCTATGACCCATAAAAACAACTAGTGATTTGAAATTCATCATACAAAAAGATTGACGTGTTTGTAAAGTTTTATAAGTTTAGGTACTATTATTCAATGCAAAAATATAAAGGTACCAGAAATAATTTTCCATCTAGACCTATTTGTAAGAGAATAAAGTGTAGGTACTAAAATATAAAAATATATATTTGGATACTACAGATAAAATTTTGTTGATTTGGGTTGACCCGCTTAATCGACCCGAGCTAGCTTAACCCAACCCAAGTGGGTACATAAGATAGGGTAAGGGAAAATAGGGCGGCTGGACCAGATTGTAGCTTAACCTATAAAATCGAGTATTTTAGGGTAGTTCTAGTGTCAACACTAGGTTTGGCCCAATCTCACTTCTTTGTAGCATGAGCCCCATTTACTTAATGCCTTAACTACAAGTTTGTTAATTATTAGCCATTTAAAAGTACATTATTGATACTAAGTACTATAGGTGTACTAGTTAATTAATCTCTCAGACTTCCGTAAAAAAAAAAAATCTCTCAGACTGTGTTTTCATTTAGGTTCATGGAGCCACTATACCGTGGTGATTATCCAGAGAGCATGAAACAATACGTCGGTGGTCGGCTCCCAAGATTCTCTAAGCAACAATCGAAATTGATAAGAAACTCATTCGATTTCATCGGCATCAACTATTACACGGCTCGATATGTAAAGGCCCTCGACTTACCTGCTAACCGTCACCTCGTTCTCCCTGAGTCGCATGCCTCAGTTACCCGTAAGTTAATATTTGACAACCCGGTTAACATACTTGTTCTCGTATATATGAAATTATTACATAGCTAATTCCTAATTACTCTGAAGCCTACCATTTTGAGGGCGGAAAGCCTCAGTGATCATCGCCAGAGCTAAACCCCTAAAATGGCCTTTTATCAGCTCGTCCGATGCTAAATGAGATCGAGATAATTTTGGATGTATGTATTTATGTTCACCGTCCTCGAGGAACAACACAAATACACAATTAACATTTTTTCGAACATACATACACATGAATTTTGGTAAGAAATTATCGTGGGAGATTACTGTTTTGATGAGTAACTAATGAACTATATTTTTTCCCCTTAAACAATGTATGCAGTGATAGATGACAAAGGGAAACCAATCGGTCCTCTGGTAATTTCTATTCTCTCTTCTTCGGTTTGATTTGGTTGGTGGTCACCATTGCATTGATTAATGTTGTTAAAACTAATGACGTAAGTGTTTACTCACAAAACTTAATTAACCAAAAATGACATGCGCAGACAGCCGCCGAATGGATGGCGATTTATCCAAGAGGGCTTTGTGATCTCTTGCTCCACATAAAGAAGACGTATCAGAATCCTCTTATCTATATCACAGAAAATGGTACTCTTCGATCTCCCATAATTAGCTCTCTTAATCCTTATCAATCAATATAATATAATATAATAAGTATTGTTCTACTTGATGATACTAATAATAAATATAATGTGATGAAGTCCATTGATGATGATATTAGTCACAACGGGGTTAGTACCACCTAATCATCATAAGTGTTTGGCATTTTAACTTCTGAAGTCTGATTGATAATTTGTTTACTCCAGCATCAAATATAAAAAAAGTATGTTAAACTTAGTGAATCTTACGCCAGAAAATGTATATATTGCAGGAGTTCCTGATGCTGGGAACTACACGTACCCACCACTTGTAGCTCCACCAAACGATAACCTAAGAGCTTCATCTATTCGAGATCATCTCTCCTTCCTTAGAAGGGCCATGAGGTAATAAGAAATGGCAAATTTAATGATCATCTCCCTCTCTTCAAACATAAAAAAAAAACACCCTCCATGTTAATTAACACACTATATATGGTTGCAGAATGGGAGTCAATGTGAAGGGCTACATCGTTTGGTCTTTGCTTGATGGGTTCGAGTTGGGTGAAGGTTACAAAACCAAGTTCGGATTGTTCTATGTTGATGTTAAGGATCCTTCCGTCAGAATCCCAAAAATGTCAGCAATCTGGTATCGGAAGTTCCTTACGGGACATTAATCAGATTGATTTGATTGGTAGTTTTGATTAGCACTGATCGGATATTAATAGAGAGGCTTGGAAATAGGATGGATGTTATTAATAACATGGATACTGCGACATGGACGAGTAGGTTTCTTTTGCTTTTGCTTTTTCTGCATAAAATTGTACAATTAAACAACGTACCGATCTTTATACATTATTTATTTTGGGAGTACCAATTTTAATCTAATTTGAGTGTTGGCTAACACTCAAGAAAGATATAAAGTAAGGGGAAAATATGCTCTCCTATAAGGTCGAAGAGTGACCTGCCTAATCTAAATAGTTATTTTGGTCGCTCGCCATCAGTCGTGTATGGAATGAGTGATTCAAGAGCGACAACTTGCTACCATTTCCCCGCAGTTTTTTTTTATTATTATCTTTCGCCCCAATTAATTGTAGTTTCAATTTTGTTAGTTGTTGAGCTCTTTGCTTTGCTTTTGTTTTGTTTAGTTTATGTTATTGACACATGTACATATCCTAGTTTTGATGGTTGCAAAGTTGCAATGGTTTGATTTGAATTGGTAAAATTGAGGAAGAATTTTCAAATTAACAAAACTTGACCGCTGTGATTATAATGATAATAATTCGGTTCTTGATTTTCACAAATTTTGTGAATATTAAAAAATAAATCTAACTAATATATGGATCACACCAAACTAGATTGAATTGGTTACCATTATTGTTGTTGGATTATCAACAGCCGTGACCCGGCCCATACCCCATAATTCAAAAACGAATCCTGAAATCTATAGGAAAATAAAAAAGGAAAATCTTCCTCAATGAATTAGGGTTCTTTCTTCCCGCCCGCCCTCCCTCTCTTTCCCTCCGCTCTGTGAAGTCCGAGTAGCACCCGCGCGTCTGCAAACAAACCCGATCAAGACGGTGAAATGTGGGTTCTCCAGGGAAACCAGATCTCCAAAGCTTTATAGCCATCGTCGTATTATTCCGGCTTCCAGCCTTATGCGTCCGTCGTCCGACTATGAGCAGTTTCCAACTTTCCATCGGCAGCTGTGGAGATGATCCATCGCAACTCTTTTGTCGGCGCGGCATCCAGCACCAAGGCTCTCTGATTTTTTTTTTTTTTTGAAAAAAGGTGGATTAGTAGCGCCTCTTGTTCCCCTTGTTGTTGCGACTTTCTCACTTTAACCCTAGCTTTGTGAAATTTTGACACTAGTACCGGCACAGAGTGATGAACGGCAGCTGCAAGTTGGGGGAAGCAGCTGGGAAAATGCGTCTTCAAGAAGAATATGATACTCCTACTCCTACTGACAGGTTAAGCCACCTTCCAGACCCCATTCTCCATCAAATTCTTTCATTTCTAGAAACCAAATCCGCCGTTCAAACCTCCGTATTGTCCCGTGCGTGGAGATGCGCTTGGAGACATGTCCCTGCCCTCGATATCGTTAGCCTTTTTTTCGAGGAGTATGGGAGTTTCGTTAGCTTTGTGGACATGGTTTTGTCCCTTCGATATCCTCTCAATCTCCATAAGGTAAGCTTCATCGACAATGTGTTTGTGAATGATAATGTGTTTGTGAATGATGAAGAAATTGATGAGCATCGGAGGTTCCCTAGGGTTATAGAATATGCCCTCGCCCATAATGCTCAACATTTGATGGTTGTTGTGGACAAGCCTTGGTCGATCCAGGAAACTTGTTTGGTTAGGTCTGAGTTGAATTGCAACCTCAAGACTCTAGATTTAACATATGCGTTCCTCGACCGCGTTGGATTTGGATCTTCTGGGTTTCAGTCGATGACAACTCTGCATTTGCACGATTGCTTTCTGCATTCTGAGCAGAATCTCATATGTTTTCCGAACTTTCCTTGTCTGGAGAATTTGGTCTTGAATGCCTGCCTAGGCCCCATTTCTTGTCCATACCGTCAGAGTATACAGATATCCGTGGTCCCTTTGCGCAGCTTGAAGCTAACCGGATGCTTTTTTAACAAGATTGATGTATCTGCACCATATCTGAAATTCTTCACTATTGACGATGCCGAGATCCCTCTCGAGTTCGTAGAGCTGAGCCTTCCTTCACTCGATTGTGCTGATGTTCGTATGAACAGAAGTTCGGACTTCGAGTTGATTGCCTTGTTCTTTGGTGTGCACAAGGCAAAATCTCTGACGCTGGATTCAAAAACCATCCAGGTATATGCTTTTGGGATTCAATGTGTTGCATAATGTGACTAGTTTCTTGTTATTTAATGTTTATGCTACGATTTCAAGTTAAGAATTCTGTTTGTGTAGGTAGTGAGTAAGCTCAACAATTTGGAACATCTACCGTCTCCCTTTACAAGATTGAAGCATCTGAATGTGCAATCCAGCAGCATACCTTACAAAGTGGCCACTTACTTTCTTAAAGGATCACCTGATACAGAACCAAATATCGAGTTCTTACCAAATGGTAACCACTTTGTCTTGGTTTCTGATTGTGTTGAAGGAGCAACGCAAGAGTTATGCTGTCATGATTTATCATTTGATATTGCCAGTTGAAAGAGCAGCATGATTTGTTTAGTTGAAAGTGATTCATATGGTGGTTTAAATGTGCTTGGGCTTGTATGTGGCGGTTTGGATGTCTTCAATCCGTCATAACTCACAAGTGATGTTCTCTGCAGATACTGAAGAAGATCCATGATGAATTGCCTGAACAACAGCCATCGAAGGGATTGAAGTCCTTGATCTTGATGTCCAACAGTGTATCATGCATAAGAGTTGTCAATCGCTTTCCTCAGGATCCTCTAGTGAAGAACCGGCTTCTAGACATAATTAGTTGTTACAATGAGTATGAACTCAATTTGTAGTGAATGTTTAGTTAATAAAAGAAATGAATGGATGGTTGGAGTATTTCGATCTTTTATTACAGGCAAAACTATAAAAACCTCATAGTAACTTTCTTATTGTTGTGTTTAGGGATGTCAATCCAACCCTTAACCATGGGTACCCTATCCGACCGTAACCGGTCAACGAGGGTAATTACCCGTTTTGACGGGTTAAGGGGCGGGTACGGGTAATACCCAGTTTCAGAATAAAGGATAGGGTACGAGTATGGTAATCGATAATACCCGCTCCGTTATACCCGCCTCGCTAACCAAAAGGTCAATTTCTCTTGAGAAATTTATTTTAGCTTGAGAAATTGAGTTTAGCTACCATTATTGATGATAAAGATGTAGACGATTATTATGTTTGTTGGATTGTAGAAGCAAGAACAATTATTATGTGTTTGCTGTTTTTATTTGTTTGGATTGTTGAAGCTAGAACAGTTACAAGTATTGAGAATTTTTAATGGATAAGAGTATGTATGTGCATATATGTGTATAAGTTCATAGTTTAGGATTCGTACCCATGGTTATCCGAATACCCGTGGTTACTCGATGGGTAGGGTATGGTTATATAATTTTCATACCCGGTGGTTATTTGGTCGGGTATTTTAGAAAGCTCTACCCGGCGAATTAGGAGTTGGTATAAAGTAAACCCGCACCCGACCCTACCCTTTGCCATCCCTAGCTGTATTGGATTTACTTTCTAGCTCGAGATTATTCATGGTACTGTTACTACTACTTTCTCGTGAGAGGCCAATGAGTTTGGTTCATGCTTAGGATCAAGAATTGCATGAGTTGGCGTGTTACTTTCACTCAAGGGGTCTAATTTTTTGTTGTTGTTGTAAATTTTGGGTTTGTTTCGACATAGAAACCTCTCTTTAGACTAGACCTCTAGGAAAGTTGTTTATCAATGAATCTACGTCATGACTAAGTGATTTTGTCTGCTTAGAAGTTAGAACATAAAGTGTAAAATATCATTGAAGAGGCTATGGGCTACGCCCTGTTGATTCGTTAGTATATACTAACTAATACCCAAAATGTATGAATTAATATCCAAGTTTGCTAAGTATTTAGATAACATATACTAGTATTCAAAATATCACAAACTAGTATTCATATAACATATACTAACTAATATCTACAATCAACCAACTAGTATTCAATATGGATACTCTTATGCGTTATCTGGATACTCTTATGTGTTATCTGGTGAGTGGTGACTAATTATGTGTTGTTTGAATACTATTCTGTGTTGTCTAGATATTAGTTTGTGAACTTGGAATAATAGTTGATTCATGGTGGATATCAGTTAGCAAACTTTGAATACTAGTCTGTGCTCTCTAGATACTTTAGTACTTGGATATTAGTTCATGTATTTTGGATATCAGTTAGTATCTGCTAACAAATCTTCAAGTTAGCACATTAATTTCCCCCCTTAAACATTCATTTAATGGTATGGGGCGTGGGAATCGTTCTTCCCTGCTGTTTCCCGTTGAAGTCTGAATTGTGAGTGAGAACAAACCCTAAATTGGTGCAGCTGTAGTTTTCTCCGACCAAATATTCATAGTTTGCTCTCTCGAGCTCTTCTGCTTCAGCGTTCAGCCACGGCGCGACTATGAGCAGTTCCGATCGCAGCGATGGAGAGCAATCATCCATTGTAACTCTCGCAGCGCTGGGCATAATGGGATGATATCATAAAAACAAGGTGAAATTAATGTTTGCTGAGTGTCCTTTCTTCCTCAAAATTTCGTTTCTAATCGCTCTTTCTTCCTCAAAATTTACTTTTAGTAGAAATGATATATAGCTGCCTCCGGTAGAAACTAGAAAGCTATGAATGACAACAGCAGTAGCTGCGAGTTGGGGAAGAATGGAAAAAGGGGTCGGCTTGAAGGAGAGGATTCTGCTACTACTGCTACTGACAAGTTAAGCCATATCTCAGACTTTCATTATTCATCACATCCTTTCATTTCTCGGAAAGTTCATTAAAGGGCATTAATCAGATTGATTTTATTAGTGGTTTTGATTAGAACTAATCAAATACTTTTTTTTGTTGAAAAATTAGACGCTAAAAAGGCGCCCCATACTTAAATTAACCGAGTTTGAGCTATACCCAAATTGTCATACAAAAGCCAGATCGACAGACCGGGGTCCGTATGCTCAAAAACAGATCTCTAGCCATCCTCGTATTATTCCATCTTCCAGCCTTACGCGTCCGCCGTCCGACTACGGCCAGTTTCCATAGGCAGCTGTGGAGATGATCAATCGCAAGTCTCTTGGCGGCGCGGCATCCAGCACCAAGGCTCTCTGAAAAAAAATCGAAAAAAGGTGGATTAGTAGCGCCTCTTGTTCCCCTTGTCGTTGCGATTTTCTCGCTCTCACCCTAGCTTTGGGAAATTTTCTGTAGTTTGACACCAATACCAGCACAGGCTTATGAGCAGCAGCTGCAAGTTGGGGGAAACAGCTGGGAAAATGCGTCTTCAAGAAGAAGATGATACTTCTACTGCTAATGACAGGCTAAGCCCCCTTCCAGAACCCATTCTCCATCACATTCTTTCATTTCTAGACACCAAATCCGCCGTTCAAACCTCTGTATTGTCCCCTGCGTGGAGATGCACTTGGAGACATGTCCCTGTCCTCGATTTCGTTAGCCTTTTGTTCCAGGAATATTCGAGTTTCGTAAGCTTTGTGGACAAGGTTTTGTCTCTTCGATATCCCCTCAATCTCTGTAAGGTCAGCTTCATCGACAAAGTGGTTCTGAAGGATGAAGAACTTAATAAGCATTGGAGGTTCCCGAGGGTTGTAGAATATGCCCTCGCCCATAATGCTCAACATTTGGTGGTTGTTGTGGACAAGCCTTGGTCGATCCACGAGAGTTGTTTGGTTAGGTCTGAGATGAATTGCAACCTCAAGACCCTAGAATTAACATATGCATTCCTCGACCGCGTTGGATTTGGATCTTCTGTTTTACAGTCGATGACAACTCTGCATTTGCACGTTTGCTTTCTGCATTCTGAGGAGGGTCTCGTATGTGTTCCTAACTTTCCTTCTCTGGAGAATTTGGTCTTGAGTGCCTGCCGAGGCCCCATTCTTCGTCCAGACCATCAGAGTATAAAGATATCCGGGGACCGCTTGCTCAGCTTGAAACTAACAGGATGCTTTTTTACCAAGATTGATGTATCTGCACCATGTCTGAAATTCTTCACTCTTGACGATGCAATGGTCCCTCTTGGGTTCTCAGAGTTGAACCTTCCGTCACTCGATTATGCTGATATTCGGATGAACAGAACTGCTGACCTATATTTAGTTACCTTGTTCTTTGGTTTGCACAATGCAAAATCTCTGACGCTGGATTCAAAAACCATCCAGGTATATGCTTCTGGGTTTCTGTGTGTTGCACAGTGTGACTGGTTTCTTGTTGTTTACATTACGATTTCAAGTTAAGAATTCTGTTTGTGTAGGAAGTGAGTAAGTTCAACAATCTGGAACATCTACCGTCTCCCTTTACAAGACTGAAGTATCTGAATGTGCAATCCAGCAGCATACCTTACAAAGTGGCCACTTACTTTCTTAAAGGATCACCTGATACAGAACCAAATATCGAGTTCTTACCAAATGGTAACCACTTTGTCTTGGTTTCTGATTGTGTTGAAGGAGCAACGCAAGAGTTATGCTGTCATGATTTATCATTTGATATTGCCAGTTGAAAGAGCAGCATGATTTGTTTAGTTGAAAGCGATTCATATGGTGGTTTAAATGTGCTTGGGCTTGTATGTGGCGGTTTGGATGTCTTCAATCCGTCATAACTCACCAGTGATGTTCTCTGCAGGTACTGAAGAAGATCCATGATGAATTGCGTGAACAACAGCCATCGAAGGGATTGAAGTCCTTGATCTTGATGTCCAACAGTGTATCATGCATAAGAGTTGTCAATCGCTTTCCTCAGGATCCTCTAGTGAAGAACCGGCTTCTAGACATAATTAGTTGTTACAATGAGTATGAACTCAATTTGTATTGAACGTTTAGTTAATAAATGAAATGAATGGATGGTTGGAGTATTTCGATCTTTTATTACAGGCAAAACTATAAAAACCTCATAGTAACTTCCCAACAATAAGAAGTTTGGTGTGTTGGATTTACTTTCTAGCTCGAGATTCATGGTACTGTTACTACGACTTTCTTGTGAGAGGCCAATGAGTTTGGGTTCATGCTTAGGATCAAGAATTGCATGAGTTGGCGTGTTACTTTCACTCAAGGGGTGTAATTTTGTTGTTGTTGTTGTAAATTTTGGGTTTGTTTCGACATAGAAACCTCTCTTTAGACTAGACCTCTAGGAAAGTTGTTTATCAATGAATCTACGTCATGACTAAAGGGTCGTTTGGAAGTTACGATTGTTTTGTTGAGATTGTCATTATGCATGTATTGTTTACAATGCATCGTTTTTTTTTAGCAGAAACAATACATCGATTGTTTCTGTGATGTGACAGAAACTATCACTCATTTTGAGTGATTGTTATATCTCAACTTTTAGTTGTGATTGTTGCGATAGTTGAGTTGAGATTGTTTTGTCTCAGCTTTTAGCTGATGTGACATACACAATCACATACCAAACGTTGTATTCTACAATGCATCAAATTCGACAATACATGTATAATATTATACATGCATTCTCAACAATACATCTATTTAACAATCACAACTTCCAAACGACCCCTAAGTGATTTTGCCTGCTTAGAACATAAAGTGTAAAATATCATTGAAGAGGCTATGGGCCTACGGGCCCTGTTGATTCGTTAGTATATACTAACTAATACCCAAAATGTATGAACTAATATCCAAGTTTGCTAAGTATCTAGCATATACTAGTATTCAAAACATCATAAACTAGTATCCATATAACATATACTAACTAATACCCACAATCAACCAACTAGTATTCAATATGGATACTCTTATGCGTTATTTGGATACTCTTATGTGTTATCTGAATACTAATTATGTGCTGTTTGAATACTATTCTGTATTGTCTAGATATTAGTTTGTGAATTTGGGATAATAGTTGATTCATGATAGATATCAGTTAGCAAACTTTGAATACTAGTCTGTGCTCTCTAGATACTTTAGTATTTAGATATTAGTTCATGTATTTTGGATATTAGTTAGTATCTGCTAACGAATCTTCAAGTTAACACATTAACTTTCCCACTTAAACATTCATTTAATGGTATGGGGCGTGGGAATCATTCTTCCCTGCTGTTTCCCGTTGAAGACTGAATTGCGAGTGCGAACAAACCCTAAATTGGTGCAGCTGTAGCTTTCTCCGACCAAATGTTCATAGTTTGCTCTCTCGAGCTCTTCTGCTTCAGCGTTCAGCCACGGCGCGACTATGAGCAGTTCCGATCGCAGTGATGGAGAGCAATCTTCCATTGTAACTCTCGCAGCGCTGGGCATAATGGGATATCATAAAAACAAGGTGAAATTAATGTTTGCTGAGTGTCCTTTCTTCCTCAAAATTTCGTTTCTAATCGCTCTTTCTTCCTCAAAATTTACTTTTAGTAGAAATGATATATAGTTGCCTCCGGTAGAAACTAGAAAGCTATGAATGACAACAGCAGTAGCTGCGAGTTGGGGAAGAATGGAAAAAGGGGTCGGCTTGAAGGAGAGGATTCTGCTACTACTGCTACTGACAAGTTAAGCCATCTCTCAGACTTTCATTATTCATCACATCCTTTCATTTCTCGGAAAGTTCATTAAAGGGCATTAATCAGATTGATTTTATTAGTGGTTTTGATTAGAACTAATCAAATACTTTTTTTTGTTGGAAAATTAGACGCTAAGAAGGCGCCCCATACTTAAATTAACCGAGTTTGAGCTATACCCAAATTGTCATACAAAAGCCAGAACGACAGACCGGGGTCCGTAGGCTCAAAATCAGATCTCCGTAGCTTTCTAGCCATCCTCGTATTATTCCATCTTCCAGCCTTACGCGTCCGCCGTCCGACTACGGCCAGTTTCCATAGGCAGCTGTGGAGATGATCAATCGCAAATCTCTTGGCGGCGCGGCATCCAGCACCAAGGCTCTCTGAAAAAAATCGAAAAAAAGGTGGATTAGTAGCGCCTCTTGTTCCCCTTGTCGTTGCGATCTTCTCGCTCTCACCATAGCTTTGGGAAATTTTCTGTAGTTTGACACCAGTACCAGCACAGGCCTATGAGCAGCAGCTGCAAGTTAGGGGAAACAGCTGGGAAAAATGCGTCTTCAAGAAGAAGATGATACTTCTACTGCTAATGACAGGTTAAGCCACCTTCCAGAACCCATTCTCCATCACATTCTTTCATTTCTAGACACCAAATCCGCCGTTCAAACCTCTGTATTGTCCCCTGCGTGGAGATGCACTTGGAGACATGTCCCTGTCCTCGATTTCGTTAGCCTTTTGTTCCAGGAATATTCGAGTTTCGTAAGCTTTGTGGACAAGGTTTTGTCTCTTCGATATCCCCTCAATCTCTGTAAGGTCAGCTTCATCGACAAAGTGGTTCTGAATGATGAAGAACTTAATAAGCATTGGAGGTTCCCGAGGGTTGTAGAATATGCCCTCGCCCATAATGCTCAACATTTGGTGGTTGTTGTGGACAAGCCTTGGTCGATCCACGAAACTTGTTTGGTTAGGTCTGAGTTGAATTGCAACCTCAAGACCCTAGAATTAACATATGCATTCCTCGACCGCGTTGGATTTGGATCTTCTGTTTTTCAGTCGATGACAACTCTGCATTTGCACGTTTGCTTTCTGCATTCTGAGGAGGGTCTCGTATGTGTTCCTAACTTTCCTTCTCTGGAGAATTTGGTCTTGAGTGCCTGCCGAGGCCCCATTCTTCGTCCAGACCATCAGAGTATAAAGATATCCGGGGACCGCTTGCTCAGCTTGAAACTAACAGGATGCTTTTTTACCAAGATTGATGTATCTGCACCATGTCTGAAATTCTTCACTCTTGACGATGCAATGGTCCCTCTTGGGTTCTCAGAGTTGAACCTTCCGTCACTCGATTATGCTGATATTCGGATGAACAGAACTGCGGACCTATATTTAGTTGCCTTGTTCTTTGGTTTGCACAATGCAAAATCTCTGACGCTGGATTCAAAAACCATCCAGGTATATGCTTCTGGGTTTCTGTGTGTTGCACAGTGTGACTGGTTTCTTGTTGTTTACATTACGATTTCAAGTTAAGAATTCTGTTTGTGTAGGAAGTGAGTAAGTTCAACAATCTGGAACATCTACCGTCTCCCTTTACAAGACTGAAGTATCTGAATGTGCAATCCAGCAGCATACCTTACAAAGTGGCCACTTACTTTCTTAAAGGATCACCAGATACAGAGCCAAATATTGAGTTCTTACCAAATGGTAACCACTTTGTCTTGGTTTCTGATTGTGTTGAAGGAGCAACGCAAGAGTCCTGCTCTCATTATTTATCATTTGATGTTGCCAGTTAAAAGAGCAGCATGATTTGTTTAGTTGAAAGTGATTCATATGGTGGTTTCAATGTGCTTGTGCTTGTATGTGGCGGTTTGGATGTCTTCAATCCGTCATAAACTCACAAGCGATGTTCTCTGCAGGTACCCAAGAAGATCCATGATGAATTGCCTGAACAACAGCCGTCGAAGGGATTGAAGTCCTCGATCTTGGTGTCCAACAGTATATCATGCTAAGAGTTGTCAATCTCTTTCCTCAGGATCCTCTGGTGAAGAACCGGCTTCTAGACATAATTAGTTGTTACTATGAGTATGAACTCAATTTCCAGTGAATGTTTGGTTAATAAATGAAGTGAATGTAAGGTTGGAGCATTTCTATCTTTTATTACAGGCAAATCTATAAAAACTCATAGTAACTTCCCAACAATAAGAAGTTTGCTGAGCTGGATTTACTTTCTAGCTCGAAATTCATGGTTCTTTCGGTTAATGCCTAGGATCAAGACTTGCATGAGTTGGCGTGTTACTTTCACTCAAGGAATATAGATTAATGTAAATTTTGGGTTGGTTTCGACATACAATCCTCTTTATACACTAGACCACAAATGGATCATAAGCACTAGTAGAACTCTAGGAAAGTTGTTAATTAATGAATCTAGGTCATGACTCAGTGATTTTGGCTAACGATAACAATTAACAAAGCAAGTAATCGAGATTAATCTCTGTTGTGAACGGGTAAATGCCACATTTGGTCACTGAGATTACTAAATCATGTCATGTTTAGTCATTATAAAAAATTAATATCAGTTTTGATCACTCGAATTACTGAAACATGTCACGTAGTGTTATGAACAGCCTGCCGTAGAAAGAACCCGACACCCCGTTGAGAAGAGAGTTTGGTCGTTCTTCTTCATGTTATTCAGGTGTTTCCCCCTGGAAGCGCTGTACGGACCTGAAGATGGTGTTGAAGTCGTTTCCAGGGAGATCGTCGAGGAACACCTGGAATTCTGCAGATTTACGGCTTAGCTCCCCGCTGAGCTTTGCAACGGCTTTGATCAGCTCCGATACGGCCAGGAGAGCGTTGGGCCCTGACGAGCAGCCCAAATCTGCTATGGCTAGGCTCCTTGGGAGGGTTGAGGTGTAGTAGAGTTTTGTGATGGCTTCCTTTGTTATTGGCTTTGTCATCAGTATTCAAGGTTGTCAACCCGCGGGTTGACCCGGACCCGGTCGAACTAGTGGGTCAAGGGTTAATGGGTCACCGTTTTAGTCCGGTTTGGCCCGGAAATATGGAAAAAGTCATTATATTGTACTTATCCTCATAAATTATATCAAATCTTATCTAACATATGAGTTATAATATATAATATTACACCAAAATAACATATCGTATATAGATCCAACATATAGTGAAAATTCACACACACTGAAAAAAATGACACAATTTGACCTCCAACCCGGTACCTTGCAGCGGTCGACGTTTTTCTCACCGGGTCAGGGTCAAAGTGGGTCGACCCGCAGGTTGACAACCACTATCACCTTTTTCTCCAAGTTCATTATTTAAATTGTGATTAGGTAATAGATATAGTCATTTCATGCTACAGTATAGCTGTGCTGTTTTGGGCTTTCAGTGTTTGATCTGCTGGGCCTATTAGTCCAACACGAATATGAAAAAGCAAATCAAATTTCTTAATCTACTTCTCCTCCATTTCCCCTCAAAAGTCTGAACTGAGCGCGCCCAACAAAACCCTAACAAGATTTAAAATCGGTGATATGTTTTTGTACCCCTTCCTCCGACCAAGTTTCGATCGTTTTCCCGGCACCTTCAATTTTCGCCGTTCAGACATCTCGGCGCGGTAGAGGTGATCAATTGAACATTATCGTAACTCACGGGGAACGGCGGAGGGGTAGTCTCTCGCCACTGGAGCTATCATCGAAAACAGGTGCATTTCTGTTTTGCAGGTCCCGTTCTTGCTCGATTTTAGTTTCTGATCCCTTTCAGTTACTATTGTTATGTCGAATTGAATTGATCTGTAGTTGGTCCGGGTAGACAGTCATGAAAATTAACAGCAACAGCTGCAAGTTGGGAAGAGCGGTAAAAAGGCGCCGTGCAGAAGAAGATACTCTAACTGGTATCGACAGGTTAAGCCATCTTCCAGACTTCATTATCCATCACATCCTTTCATTTCTCGACACCAAATTCTCTGTTCAAACCTCTGTATTGTCCCGATCGTGGCGATGGGCTTGGAAAGAAGTCACTGTGCTCGATTTCAACAGCGATCAGTTCGGACGATGTTTAAGTTTCAGAAGGTTTGTGGGCAAGGTTTTATCCCTCCGCTATCCCGTAAGTGTTCGAAGGGTGACTTACATTGACAAGAATTCATTAGAAACTGTCAAGTGGAAACTGAAAGTTGGTCTGTTTGTCAAGGCCATCAAATACGCATTGTCCCATCATGCCCAACATCTGGTGATCGACCCGGGAAATGTTCTGTTCATGGATGAAAGATACAGATTCTCTGATTTGTTTGGCATAATCTTGAATTGCGACATCAAAACTCTAGAACTGAGGAGAGTCTGCATTGATTGCGGATTCGGATGTTCTGGTTTTACTATGCTGACAACTTTGATTCTGAGAGAATGCTTCCTGGTTCCCGATAATTAGGATGAGGACTTGGATCATTTTTCTCCCTTTCCCTGTCTGGAAAATTTGGTGCTGACCAGTTGCTACGAGAATGCCTCTAATCGTTACTGGGAGAGAGGTCTCAAAATACATGGAGCCCAATTGCTTAGCCTGAAACTGGAGAATCTTCATTTTCCCAAGATGGAAATATATGCACCAAAACTGGAGTTCTTCAGTCTTCGTGATTACCGGTTGTCATGGAACCAGGAGTTCTTAGAGTTAAGGCTTCCTTCCCTCCGTCATGCTGATATTCATACCTCTCTCATTCTCGGCAAATATAAGGAATTTGTGCCGCAATATTTGATCACCTTGTTCCACGGTTTGCACAATGCAGAAACACTCACACTGGATCGAGCAATCATCAAGGTATTAGCATATGTCGATTCCGTAAATTGTTTCTTCCGAGGAATACTTAATTTTTAAGTCTTGAGTTCTCTTCTGTGTAGGTACTGAGTAAGATTTCTGACTCTCTTGACCACCAACCCTCTCCCTTTACGAGATTGAAGCATTTGAATCTGCAGCCATACAGCATGCCTCCTTTGGCCATAAAAACAAACATCATACCTTACAAAGTGATTAATTACTTTCTTAAAGGTTCTTCTGATGAAAAATCAAGCATTAAGTTCTTAGCCGGTCAAACCTATAAAGGTCTTGAGTTCTTATGAATGGCCACTTTGTCATAGTTTATGGTTGTGGATATTAAGCTGAGGGAGGAGGAAGGTCCTATCAGTGTTGCCAGGCCAGCAGAAGCAAGTTGAACTGGGAGCAGGATTCTATTAGTTCAAAGTGGTTCATATTGGTGCATTTGCTTGTTTTTGGCGGTTGGGATGTCTTAAGGATTCATTCAGAAGGATGTCTAATATGGCAATTCGACAACCGGTCATCAGATTGATTTGTTTAACTAGCCAGCCGTAGCAAAAACTGTGAAGATAGTTTGCCATTTTCGCTCAGGTTCACTTTTGATTTAATGTTAATGCATACTGTAACTGGTTCCTTGTGGAAAAGTATTTCCATGTACTTTTCATGGCAGTACTACAGTGATGGTAATGACTACGGGAGTGTCATGGTTTTATCCTCTCTATGAAGATCTTGGACCTCTTCTTTGTTCCGTTGGTGCAATGGCGATTAAACTGCATTGCTGGTTGGTTTCAAGTGAGAAGATTTTTTTCTCCTTCTGATTGGTTCCATATCCTTAACCTTATATGAGCACATTACCCTGTAAAAGATTAGTTTCAATTTCAAGATGATTTGATGTTGTTGACATTTCTCGTACTATAGTCTTCTGATGAATGAAAGAACTATTATCGCATCGACAGGTTTTTTGTATAGCTAAAAAAACAACTCTGGAAGAGTTGGCGGGGACTTCATTACTCTTGTCATTTCTCTCATTTTTGTAGCACAAAGACCAGAACAGAGTGTCTCTGTCTGCCTTGGAATCAAAGTAACAAACATATAAACACTTCAAGGTTTCTCCTCTCCAACCCGTGAACAACACCAGCTGCAAGTCCGGGAATGGCAGAAGGAAATGCCGCGAAGACAAGAAGCTATTGCTATCAGCAGGTTAAGCTGTCTTCTGGAATCCATTATTCATCACATCCTTTTCGTTTTTTGACACCAAATATGTTGTTCAAACCTCCTTATTGTGTGGAGATGCGCTTGAAAACATGTCCCGGATTCTTTCGAAGCATATCAGAGTTTCCAAAGATACATAGAGAATGTTCTGTTCCTTCGTTGTCTCTGGCGAGGTAATGTACAACAAAAAGGAGCTTAAGCTAGAGCGACATACATATCTAAGAACAACAAAAGCAGTACAACCCTTCAAATTCAAGTCAAGCTAGCTAAACTTATTCCCCATAGATGTGAGGAATATCTTCCAATAAAACAGGATAATGTAGAAGAGTAAGCACACCAGCAACTGCAAGCAAGGCAGCAACAATAGCAAAAGCAAAGGGGGTGAATGCATATAGAAGAAGTTCGAGTAGGAATAGTTTACGCAGGCAGTGAAGAGGAAATGCTAGCATGGTGATACAAGTACTCGTTCAAGTAAACCGAGGACAAGCCAAATCAGAGTCCACCTTGCACCACGACGAGTGGGGCGGGGATCAAAAAAGCTTTTCTAGAACTTCAATCACCTAGACAAACTGAAGAAATGCTGCTGGATTTGTAGTGGAAGAACCCTTGAGGAAGTAATTGATCAGTTGAGGCGGTATAGTGCAGGACTCTTCACTGCACGGCACTTTCAAGCACTTCAATCGGGTAAAGGGACAAGGTTGATGCTCCAATCCATCACAAATCTTGCTCAGTGCCTACGCAGCACAATCATCAACTGAGAATTGAAAATAAGACACAAATAACACGCGTTAGTGCAACCCAAATTCCATACGAACATACCTGAATGATATGATAGTCCAACCGCAGAGAAGTTGCATTGTGCAGACCTTGGAACAGGTTGACAAAATTTGCAGTTACCATTGCTTTCTTCTCTTCAACAGAATGGAGAGCATACTTGCTGCCTATGTTGGCATGGTCAAGTAAAGGAAGGCTTAACTGGGAGAATTCCGGGACAACCGATATGAACACGTAGCTGAAGAATTTAAGCTTTGGAGCAACTATCTGAACTGGCGCCTTCTGTAAGTTCATACCTTGAATTTCCAGGTTCAGCAGTTGGGGTCCATATACCTTGAAGCACTTCTTGGCATGGACGAAATCGCAATCAGAAAGAACCAAATTCTTCAGACAGGGGAAGTTAGTGAAGAAACCAATATCTTTTTCGCTATAACAATGCAGCAAGCAGTCTTCCATAGCCAAATTCTCCAGAATTCGGAACCCCATCCAATCAAGTGGGGCAACAACACTGACTCGACCTAGCTCCAGAGTATCCAGATCACAGTTCAGAAAGGAGCCCACCAAATCCCAGAAATTTGACCTCATCGACGTACCGCTGTGAATGCGGAGGTGTCGAATATGATGGGACTTCGCATATTTCATGATCCCGTGAAACTTCCTCACATGGGTCCGTCGCCACAAATTCCTCTCCTTGTAGCTCACCTTCACGATACGGGAATCATCACCACCAAAGGCATCCAGAGCATCTTTCAAGAACCTACTGAAACAAGGATAACTCGTGAAGGAATCCCTGTTGAAATTGAGGTGAGTGACATTTTTCCAGAGAGATCTCCACCGATTGGATAGCACGGAGGTCTGAACGGAGTGTTTGGTGTCGAGGAAAGAAAGGATATGGTGAAGAATGTGGTCTGGGAGTTGGTCTAGTCTGTCTATTCCTTCTCCTCCGTTCTCCATAACCGCTGGCTAACTCTCTACGACCTAGGGTTTTCTTACTTTCCACAGTCAATTAGGCTGTTCATGAGTTCCACAAACTATGTACAGAAATGCCGCTAGGAGATGAGCAAGAAAGGCAAGGATCGGACAGCATATATCCTCAATCTTAACGAGCTTCTTCCGTTGCTGATTGGCTTCCGGATCAACGAAGTTACGGTTGGCGGCGCCGGCGTTCGAATAAATAGGAGCTCTCTGCCTCTCTCTCCCTAAACTAGGCTGCTCTGTTTTTTTAAAAGGGGATTTTATTGCACTTCAAACTGATCAGTTACAAAGAGGGAGAACGAACCAACAATCTGGTTCCAACAAGAGGAAGCCCAAAGGCATCCGGTTACAAACAAAGGTGTGTAAGACAAAATGCAGCAACAAAGAACACAACACAGTCTGCAAGCAACCACCCGAAAAGAGCAAAACCCTTGACTGAAAACAGATAATCAAGAAAATCTCTTGCAAACAACCAATCAAAGTGCAACAAAACCACAATCAGCTTGTCCGATCATATCGAAATCCATGGTAGTTGAACATCATCACTCCATGTGCCGCCTCCTGAGGAATACTCAAAGGCATCCATCATAGTGAATCTAGAAACTAGACTGCATGGCGGTGGAAGAGGATATAACCAGATTGCTCCAAGCTGAAAAGGCAGAGGAGGCCGAGGCAGAGAGATCAGGTTCGAAGAAGAGCAGAAGCTCCCAAAGTAGCCACAAACCTCCACGAAAACACCGAATCCCAACCGTAACCACCGGAGAAGACCCAACCCACCACCATCCGACAGCTCACCAAGCCACTCAGACACCTAGGGAGGTTGGAGAGGGAAAGAAGGGAATGGCTTCACCTTGAATATGAGGCCACCAACGGGGGACAAAACCACCATCCAGATCTGGAAGAGGCTCCCACGTTGCAAACGCCAGCTCCTACAACGAGCAAGCCCAAGAACATAGATCCTAGATCTGAAAGAAGAGCCATAGCTCGACTGGAAAGAAGAAAACTGAAAGCCAAAACGACTGGAAATTCGATTGAAAACTGCTCAGGACACAGGCAAGAGCACTAAAGCAAGATAAGGAAACAAAAGCAGGAATATAAAAAGTTTTGGGCTATCGCCGGTCACCTAAAAGGAGCCGGCGGCAGCCCCCAGATCAGAAAAAGGAAGGCTGAAAGAAGAGAGAAGGCAGAGCAAATTTCAAAAGAAAAAGATAGAGAGAGAGATTTAGGCTGCTCTGTTTGATGAATAAAACTTGTGATCTTCTAATTTAAGAAAATAAACTTCCAAATTGGTCCTCAAATGTTTTCTTTAGCTCCTTAAAGTTAATGTATCTAACAAAAGAACACTTCTACTATGCTATAAAGTATTGGTGTTTTAATGTACAACTTAAAGTTGTACCATAATGTTAAATGTATAAGTTAAGGTTGTACCATAAAAGAATTTGTACCATTATGTTATGATACAACTTTATAACTTAAAGTTGCACCATCACATGAAGGTACAAGTTTACGTTGTACCATAAAAGAACATGTACAAAAGAGTACTAGTTTTCTACCCGGCCAGTTGGCCGGAGAAGTTCATTTTTATTTATATTAGTTAACTTATCTATATATTTTGAACTTTTTGGATCTTGTACATTTTATGCTCTCACTTCATAAGTGAATATGTGGTATGTCTATATCGAATAATATTTAATAGTTAGCACACTCGCTTGTGATGTTTTTATTCTCTGATCATAAATCATGCCGTAAAGGTTTATCACGTCCCATTTAGGATCGTATATAAAAAATTTTCCACCAAGACGCTCAAATTTATTATCTTATACAACATATATCAATTCATGATTCTCGAGTTTGTACGAACTCTCACCCAATTAACCAGAGTTCAAATTATTGGAAAAATATACTTGATTACTGGATAAATTATGTTTATCCCAATTGAAATTTGACACACATCGTATCCCTTAAAATGATTGAATTCTCTAAACCTCACTCATTTTTATTGTTGATGTTCATGAAGTCTTTGTATAGCAACTTATTACAATTGATAATATTTTAAGTTTGTACTAACCCTCAACCAATGCATTTTGTCTAGATGTTCGTTTAGAATCTGAATCCAAGGATTCATATACACTGTCGAAGGTTCTCATCTTAACATGTTCCTTCAATATATAACTTTTCAACTATTTGAATGTCCATTCGCTAAAATGTATTTATATTTGGTGTTTGCTCTAGAACAAAATTTCATTACTTATATAAATAATTGGTAAAGTGTGTATACGACCGACCAATATTTTAGGTGCATTCAAAATTATATATTCCTTAAATAATTAACTTATAATTTTTAACAAAATATTTTGTAGCAAAATTTAAATATTCATACAAACATTGTGACTTTTCACGTGTATTTAAATTATTGGATGTATAGTAGACACATCTATTGTTAATATCTAAACATATATATTGTTAATATCTAACCATATGATATCTAAACATATATATGATATATGACATCTATTGTTAACGTCTTTACAATTATTTGTCTTATTCATAGGGGGAAAAAATCAATTGTAAGATTTGAACCATGATCAATTTAAATAAGAACATGAATAATTACCAATTACACCACAAAAACTTCATCTATCTTTTCAAACTAAAAACATACAAAAGCCTAAAATTTTGAAAACTCATGACTTTTCTACTACGGTTAACTAGCCAACTAACTCTTTTCTAAATATTTCTTTGGTATTTGATACATTAATGTTCATATTTTCATTATTTAATTCAATTTTCATAATTAATTTAGCTAGTGGGATAGAAATACACATTTCAAATATTTTGAAAACTTTAAAATGTATATCATAAATACGTCATATATATCAAATGACATTCCAATCAACGGATAGACACAATTAGTTAAAATAATAGATATAAAGGCAATCCAGAAGGGCAAAGTCCAAGTAAAGGAAATGATACTTCAATCCATTGTGCACACTCAGCTTAAACAAAACACCCTTCTAGTCCTAAATTCGTAATTTGTCGAAACTCTCCACCTTTCGCTTGTCCATCATAATTTGTCCAACTAATGTGAACCAAGAGTAGTTATAAAAGTGGTGCATATCCTTAGAATCATACCCCTAATCTATGACCAGGATTCCATTGTCAAAATATAGTTGATCCCAAGGTTGTCAACCCGCGGGTCGACCCGAATTAGCCCGAATCCGGCCAAAAAAACGGGCCATATCAACCCATTTTTATGTCAGCCCGGAAATAGTCAAACCCGGAGAAACCCGGTCAAACCCGAGTTGACCCGGCCGGTTAGCCCGTTGGAGCGGGTCAGCGGGTTGCTCTCCTAAGCCCCGTTTTGGCCGCTGCGTCGTCGTTTCTGCGCACTATGCGGAGATAGAGAGCAAACGAGGAGGGGAAGCGGCGCCGTTCTGCTTTGTGTTGGCGTGCTGGACAAAGCGAGAAGGAGGGGGTCTGGTCGTCTGTAAACCAAAACCCTACAACATATATCGCCATCGATATCGCCACACCGTCTCCCTCTCCCGCAGCCGATCGATATCGCCACGCCAGGGTTCTTCGGCGGCACGCTCCGGGTCGCCGGCGGAGAGAAGCATCTTTGCAGGTCGGCCGCCACCTTTCCGTCTCCTCTCCCTTTAGCTCGCCGCCTCTGCTCGGCCTCCGCCTCGGCCGCCTCTGCCTCCACCCTTCTCATTGTCGGTCACCAATTCCTTCGTCGGCGGAGACCATCTTCTTCACAAACTCAGTCATTTGGTATGGGTTTGGGACTTGGTTCCAATAAATGGAACAAAAGATATATCATATATGTGATGTTTTGTTTTAGAATGTAGATGTTTTAAGTGTGTTAGAGTTGAAATAGTGTTGCATTTTTTATGTTGGATTCAAGGATAAGTATAATATGAATACATTTTCCATATTTCCGGGTTAAATCGGGCTAAACCGGGTTAAAACGGGTGACCCATTGACCCATGACCCACTAGCTCGTCCGGGTCCGGGTCAACCCGCGGTTTGACAACCTTGGTTGATCCCCTTTCGAAAGAACACAAAAAATGACTTTTATTTGGAAAAAAATGACTTCTTAACCAAGCTACGATTGATTTTCTGCATAACGACAAATTAATTTCATCTAGTTGCGAGATATATGATTATCTTTATTTTAATTAGGGTTTGAGATTCCTCTGGAAAGAACACAAAAAACGACTCCCTATTAATTTTTATTTGAAAAATAAAAGACTTCTTAAGCAAGTTGCGATTGATTTTCTGCATAACGACAAATTAAATTAGTATCACCTAGTTGCCAAATGTATAATGATGATTTTTTTTATTTTAGGTATATTAGCTCAAGATAGGGTGCATAACCATGGGTTATGCACCCATCAATAACCAAATCTGAATCCTTCATTTAGAAAATCCAGATCTAAGGATGGAGAATTAAAGACTATTTTTATTTTCACTAGCTTTTTTAATTGACTCATATCTTTTTCGTTTTAACTCGGATTTTAATTTTTTTTTGCACAGATGGAACGAGTTCACCGTGCTCTACAAAATGAGATCAATTTTCAATATTTTTTTAGGAAAAAAAATTCTGGCCTCTCGGTACCAACTGCATACCATATAGGGGTGGGCAACGGGAAACGGGTATTTGGGTATACCCGTACCCGTCCCGTTTTTTAAGGGTTACGGGTACCCATATTACTCGTAATATTATAAACAGATGGGACTTGGGATTGTACATTCATAATATGGGTACCCGCGGGTTACCCGCGAATACCCGTTTGGGTAATATGGGTACCCGTTGTACCCATTCAAATTACAAAGATAGAAATTTAATTCAGCCCAGGCGCCCAGCCCAATTCAAAACCCATTGGCCCTTACCCTTTTCAATTTCAATTCTACTTGGGCCCTTACCCTTTCACTCTTTCACTAAGACCGTGAGACGCAGTCACGCAGACGTGCAGCTTCTCTGGACTAGAATCTCAAGTCTGTCTGGTCCCTAGACGAGTCGTCTTCGAGACGAAAGAGTAGAGACAAAACCTAGCTCGCCTCCTTCATTCACCGCCACCGCCTCTGAGCTCTCCCTCTCAGTCCCTCTCCTCTGCCTACTCCAAATTTTTGCTCCCAGCGTCATTTCTCTGCTAATACATGTTTATGTAGTGGGTTTGGGATGTAATTGTCTTTAGCTAAAACGTCATCTGGTTTTAGGGACATGTTTTGAAATGAATGCTTGTGTATATAGAGATTGAATTTATGTTTTTATCATATCGTGTTCTTATTATTCCTCGCAAGAGCATGTTATTATAAAGTTATGTAATGTGATGTCATTTAAACTTTGGGTATTTATGGGTAGTATGGGTACCCGTTATCCGTCCCGTACGGGTAATGGGTACCCGTTTCCCATATGAATTTGGGATATGGGATGGACTTTGGTCTCCAAATGGGACTGGGTACCCGTTTAAAACGGGACGGGTATCCCGTCCCGTCCCGTTGCCCACCCCTAATACCATATGGTATCTTCTTCGTTTTTAATTCGTTTTTGAAAACGTTTGCACAGCAGGGATGAGTTCATCATGATCTACTGGATCTACAAATTTCTGGGTGAACAAATTACAGGACCAAAAAATACCACACAATACCATACAATACCACCCTGGTACGGGGTGGTATTGTATGGTATCTTCTTCGTTTTTAATTCGTTTTTGAAAACGTTTGCACAGAAGGGACGAGTTCATCATGATCTATTGGATCTACAAATTTCTGGGTGAACAAATTACAGGACCAAAAAATACCACACAATACCATACAATACCACCCTGGTACGGGGTGGTATTGTGTGGTATACAATGTTAAAAGTCGTAAATTACAATTAATATACTTCTACTATCATGTATTCAACCATCCTATAGTATTGGTTTGTTCATACCACCATGGTACGTTTTTCAAAACATAGGTATGCTTTTATTTCAATACCAGTCAATACCATATGGTATAGGCTGGTAAAAAATGGCCCAATTTTTTTTGTTCGAAAAATATATTAAAGTGGATATCATTTTGAAGAGCACAATTAATCTGATCTAACTGTGCAAAAAAAAATTAAATTTCGACTTAAAATGAGCGAGAAATCGTCCGTTAAAGATTAAAGAGGGAAAAATTAAAGACTTTCCATGAGAGAGAGGATGCTGATGTCATGCTGATGTGGAAGGGTTACTCATGGTTACTCACCATAAAGTTACTCACCTGATCCATTCCTATATGCATAGATCAGATTAGGATAGAAGCAACTAATGACACTGATAGCGCAGCTCTGTATAGTTTGTGGTGGTTGAGGTAACTTTTTTTTTTTATCGAAAGGTAACTTTTTGATAATAACGAACAAAGCTAACTACAGGAGACAACCAATAAAAAAACACACATGGTAGCGACATCGTAGAGAGCTTCTTCAACATGGCAGCGAGTAGCGACATCGTACAGAGCTTCTTGAAGCAGCAGTAAAGAGAACAATCATTCAAGTTACATATATACAACTTATTAATCCAACATCATTTTACCAACAAATGTGGAGTTTGTCTATAATTCTATGAATGTGGGATTTTGAGCCAAAATCTTTGACTAAAATTGCAAGACCAAATGACCTTTTAGTTTCCACCATTGCAATTGTGTTTGAATTGCATTGATGTAGAAGGTATGAAAGTGGTGTGTGAGATAATTGCAAAAGTGGTTGAAGTCAGGGGCGGAGCCAGGATTTCGAGACCGGGTGGGCCGAAAATAGATAAATATAAATAAAAATAAAATAATTATTTTTAAATTCTACAACGTTCTTTGAGATCATTGAAATATCTCAAAATAGCATTTGAACTAAAAAAATTAGCCTTCCAATATAAATAACTAAATCATTAACAAGAAACTCATCATTTATTTTGTTTCACAATCTCTTCTTCACTATCTTTATACCTAAAAACATGCACGATCACATGTAACTTTAGAAATTTGGAAGAGTTAGAAGAAGACAAATCAACCTATCAACAAATAAAATTTCTTTGACACCAATCTTTATGTTCATTCACATAGATAAAAAAAAAAGTAGATCATATAGTTTGTATAAAGATCTAAAAATCCCAAGTGAACTAAACAGAGGTTGATTTTTTCATTTGTAGTTGGATTAAAGTATAAAAAAGAATGAAAAGGAGTGCGTACCCGTTTGCTTTGGTCCAGGACATTGTGGAGGAGAATTAAGATAATAAAGTCCAAAAAAAAGTTAAAGCAAAAATGAGGTTCTTGTGGATTGAACCTGTTTGCTTTAGGCTAAAAGTTTAACTTAGCTACCATTAGACCATATGATTGCTATATGATACAATGTATAGGTCGAGCACTACTTATCCAAATTTTATCTAAATATTCTTACGGTCCTAGGGGCCGAGACTATTCCCTACTCTCTGAGTAGCTCCGCCCCTGGTTGAAGTGGCAGCAGAGGCCACACTTGAAATTGCAGAATAATGTCATTGTTGGAGATGCTCTAAGTAGCATGCATGTTACGTCAATAGTAATAATTAGTACCCATGTAACATTCATGTTAGGTGGATAGTAAGAAATGTGACATCACTTCCTTAATAACATACTGTGGCAGCAAAAAGATCCCCATCCAGAACTGTAACACACTTGTAAGAACTGAGGCAATCAACTGCAAACGACAAGCAAAATTAAGAGTTTTAGACCTCCACCTACTGATTTTATCAGTGATAATCTCAATCAAAACCTTGCATTCAGTCCTAGTGAGCTTCCCAATAATTAACGGGACACCCAGGTATCAAACAAGCAACTGACTATTAGGGGATTTTAAGTATTTAGAAATCCTCATCTTAACCTCCTCTGGGATCTTGAGTATTAAGGAAGTGGAATCTATTTGTAGTCGATTTCTATGGGATATTGATGATAATTCGATGCAGAAGAGAGCTGTTGCTGCCTGGCAATTTGTTGCTCGGCCAAGAAAGGAAGGAGGCTTGGGAATTAAGAACTTTTCAGTGTGGAATAAAGCGTGCGTATTCAGGCATCTATGGGCGATTCTGGCAACAGAGGGGTCTTTGTGGGTTGCCTGGATTGCACGTTACCACATTAAGCAGGCCTCTGTGTGGGATCTAAATGTGACAGCAGCGAGGACTTGGGTTTGGAAGCGTCTGCTCAAATGCAGGGACTTGGTGAGGCCTTTTGTCTCCATTGTTGGCTCTGATGTGCAGTGGAATGGTATGACCTGAACCCTTACTCTGTCACAAGGGTCTGGGAGTCGTTGAGGCAGAGAGACAGTGAGGTTCCCTGGTTTAAACTGGTTTGGGACAAGAACATTATCCTTCGGCATGGGTTTATATTATGGTTGGTGATCAATGATCGTCTTAAATTGCAAGATAAGCTCATTGCTTGGGGCACTTTCTGGAATGTGTCTGTTGTGTCCTGGGGGAGTTGAGAATCACTTGCATTTATTTGTTGAGTGCTCTTATTTCCAGCATTTGAGTAGTAAAGTTTTGGGGCAGGCATCGCCCCTCGTGCTTGTTTGACTGTTTTGCAGCTAGGGGGCTTGGGGTAGATAGTTAGTTATTTTTTCATTGAGTTCCTCTTTTGAGGGTTGATGTACAGGATTGTTCGTTCTTGAGGGCTCCATAACATTTTATGTTATTGGTGTTGGTGCTTAATGCTATTTGATTTAACCATAAAAAAAATGTGACATCAATAGTGATATTTTTTGCTGCTCCATTAAATTATATATCATTTTGTTTCTCAAATATATCAAAATAAATATCATTGATAATAATTCATGCATTTTAATGTGTAATATTTTTTTCAATTTAAAATTAAGATGAAGAAGATGAAAGATAATTAGAATAAACAGGAAACTAGAAAAGATATTTTAATCTCAACCAATGAATTGATGAAAAACTAAAATTTAGTTACAAAGTGATGAATATCCAAAGATTATACAACCCGACCAAACGTGGGTCGATTACACACTAACGGAGCTAGCTAGGTGGTCTATTTTGGGTCCATGAACCCCATTTAAAGTGAACATTCACTAAAAATCATGGTCCATGAAATCGTACCGTACCGGCGGTTCAATCACAAAATACCAGTATCGGAGGCTAAATCGATAGGCGGTATTTAACGACACTAACGATTGAACTACGGTTAAACCACGATTTTGCCATAAAATATCCTATCACCGACTTTTCCGGTACGGTTTCATGGACCATGTTAAAAATGTCTGAACAAAGTAACGTGACATCAATTTTGGACCACACTAAAATATATTTCTGGTTATGCCAATAAAATGACACCAAAACAAGGTAAGGTCACATCAATTTTGCCACATTCTAACACAAATGTTTTCTTTTATTCGACTGAGCGTGACATGACGACGAAAAGAAAGAAACTTCAAGCAATAATTTCGTAACAAAACAAATAATCTTTTATTCTTCAATTTGGACAACAGCCGGCCGGCTGGCCGACGTTGAACTTCGATGTGCTCAGCAAAGCAACTGTGCGTTCTTTAATATTTGGCGTCACAATTACTTAACAACGCCGGGACTTGGTGAGGGAGACAATGACGTTGACGAACTCGGTCTTCTCTTTGGCCATCCGCTCCGTCACGATGGCTCGATACCACCTGAAAACCTCGTCATCAATGACTTCCCCAGGACCGAACTGGCTCACCAGCAGCGGCTCCGCCACCGCCCTCATGCAGTTCGCTACGTTGTAGCCGCCGTCTCTCCGGACTTCACGGGAGCGGCCGTTGAGCTCGCCGCCGTCGGCGTAAGAATCCCAGCTCACTTTCGATACTGCCAGGCGGATCCCTCTTTGAGGACCTCCGCTTCCACTTCCAACGGCGACGGCGTGTACTGTGGGATGTTGAAGCTGTCCAGCTTCTTTTGGTCTATCAATCCCTGCATGGTAATTGGTACGTCAAACTTCAGTGAGCTAACTTTGCGACATGAAACAAATTGCACGACATTCACACCGTATAATAATTACACATATTGTTGTTATTATTTGACCTAATGACTCCTACGTGGTTTCTTCTTTAAGTAATGACGCGTATGCTGATTAATTTGTTATATAAAAGTATATCGTAGTGGACTAGTGGTATGGTCGGATATATTACAGTGGTATGGTGGTAAACATGACCCCGAAATTTTGTTTTTGAAATTAATCAAAAGTGAATATAATATTTGGATCGTGAATATTGATTGTGATCTGTAAAATTATATGTACAACCAAGGTTGTCAAATCTTTATTCTGCCTACCAGTTCGACCTTGTCTGATAATCTATACGGTTGGAATACACTCTAATTGAATGATTCAGAAAAAGTCAAAATTGAGTTGAACCAGCTAAAATCGGAGGGTCTGACGAGTCAAAATCAAGTTTGAAGATGAGAATTGATAATTTTGTAATATATATTCCTTTTGAAGTAATAATTTGGTAACATATGAATGTAGATTGGTGAGAATGTTTTGAAATATGGCAAATATATGCATGATCTATTTAGTATTAGAGGTTTTCTCACACATTATGTGAAAACCGATTTGAGCTTGTTGAACCTATTCCAACCATTAGACCTCAAACCACTTGTCAAATCTTATTGATGACTTACTCCGTGTTTGACAACTTTGTTCACAACTCTTCTGAAAGCTTATTTCTCGAAATTCTCGAATATGTCAGTAACTCAAATAAACTTTAATATCAGCTAGAGAACAACAAAATTAAGGTCACTACTTGACACGCTAAAACACAACACCTAACAATGGCCAAGTGTAACCAATGAAAGGGACTGCAGTATAGGCAAGTTTAATTATCAACCCGGGGTCTAGATCTACTGCTTACTCCGTGATTCTCTATTATCTAGCAAACTAAGTCGAGTGATTGTTGTAAAAAGTAAAAGCAACAAGAAAGCAGTAAATTGTTCGGGTTTCTAAAGCAGGCAAGAGTCACTCGGGATTGAGTCCCCCTAGCTGCTTAGTTAGGTTCAATTGCAATTCCCTGGGTTGATTTACTGTTGATTAGACTGTGGAAGATCCGACAGTAGCTTGGAATCTCTTAAGCTGACCAAGCCCTCTCAGTCTAACTATCCGGCAGACGACTAGTCTTCACCGGGATAGAAAGCTGAGGCTATGAACACAGAACTCCACTACTGGCGTCAAGAACACCAATACAAAGCAGTCAACTGGCTAACTCTCGTATAGCCAATCTCCTACTATCGAATGAAGAGGCTCTAACAACCTAATCAGCTTCTATCTATCTCAGGTTGAAGCAGAAATTGAGACAAGCTGATCAGACTCAAATCAATTCATGAAACATGCGTCATTCGATTAAAATCAAGCAGTAATATCATCCCAAGTCATTACAATCAAATCCCTAACACAAGGAACTAGGGTTCTTCATACCCAAGTGAGAGAAGGGTTCTACTCCATAGAGAGAGAAGAGAAAACAAGAATCGGATTAGTCATACTCATAACGATGAGGATAATCTGCTCCGGGACGATGATTTTCACTCCTATGACGATCTCCAAGCTCGATTCGATGAAATCCAGCTCTTAGACGGCTTCTAGGATGAGTTCTTCGCACTTTCTCTCTCTAGGGCTCTGTTTTTGCTCTGAAAACACGATTCTCCCACTTTTGGCTCGAATTAGGCTTTAAAACCGACTTTCCCGAGTTGCACGGCCAGGTGCACGGCCGTGCACAACACAATTCTGGCCGTGCACCCTCAAAACGCGCCGTTTCACTAAGTTATGTCTTCGTCCATCTTGCACGGCCAGGCGCACGGTCGTGCAAGCTTCAAGCCTGCCCGTGCATGGTCTCGACATGAGGTGCACGGCCAAATGGCTCAAGTGCACGGCCGTGCAGCCTCCTGGTCTGCCCGTGCACTCCCCAAACAGCTCGCCCTTCGTCCGTTCTGCGTCCAATCGACCCCAGACTCGCTCCTAAGCCTTCATTCACGTACTAGGACCTGAAATAACACAAACAAGCACAACCTAGCGTGAAATCGGCCTAAAACACAAGAATCAACACCTCAAATGGTGTAAGTATGAGGGTAAAAACATGTGTAAATGACGGTCTATCACTACTCATGAAAATAAAACGAATTTAATGCCATCTGGTTGAGGGCCATGGACATGAGCTTCCAAATTTTAGGTACTAAATATTAATACCTATTAAGTTAAGGTACCAAAACTATAATTTATAAATTGAACATGGAAAAGTAACTTAAGGAGTCGTTTTTTTCGTGGATTTGAAAAATGAAGGTTTTGGTATAACTTGGATTTTGATAAATCTTGGATATATGAGGGTTTTGAGTTCATTATGGATTTGAAAAAGATCATTGTTTGTTTCATGGATTTCATTATGGATTTTGCTAATTAAATTTGTACGTGTGAAGTGAACTTTACCTATATTGCCCTCAATGATATAAGAAGAGAAAGAAAATATGAGGGGTAGATTGGTAAAAAATGATGGACTTAAGAGTTCATGATCAAATTTGGGGCCCGCAGGGCCCACAAATTTTGACCCCCAGAGTCCATGGGTCCCATGGATTTGGTATATCTAACTACTTGAAGCAAACAATGGATTTTGGACAAAGTCCATCATGAACGCAAATCCATCACCAAATCTTTCATCAAATCCATCAAGTAAACAAGCCATGAACGAAAGGGAAGGGGAACGGGAAGTGGAAGGGTGAGGGCATAAATAATTAAATACTATAATGCCTTTAATGAAAGTATTAGTATGGTGCTAACACTTAAGTGTGTTAGCATCCTATCCACTCCCTTTTTCATAACAGTGACATGAATTTGTATTTTTTATTATTAATATATTTGAATATATTAATATATTTGTTTAATATATTTGAATATGTTATTTTCATATTGAAATTAAAGTCGGTGATAATATCTCAGACCAAATTTAATTAGTGTATGTTAAAAGAATTTTATTCGATAAAAAACTTTCAACCTAAAGACAGGAAATAATTAAAAGACTTTAATCATCATATTTGAGAACTTTTACCTAAGATCCGGACAGAACAGAAGACATCTTATCAGACATCAGTGGCAGAAGGAAGGCAAGGTCATGAATACCCAAAGATTATACTAAACCCGACCAAACCTGGGTCGATTACACACTAACGGAGCTAGGTGGTACGTGTATTATGGGGCCATGCATGAACCCCATTCAGAAAGTGAACAAACATTCACTACAAATGTCTGAACAAAGTAATTGTGACACCAATTTTGGACCACACTCAAATATATTTTCTGGTGATGCAATCAAATGACACCAGAACAAGGTAAGGTCACATCAATTTTGCCACATTATAACACAAATGCTTTCTTTTGTCGTCTGAGAGAGACATGTCGAAGAAAAGAAAAAACTTTAACCAACATTTTTTTTTTAAGAAAAACAAATAATCTTTTATTTCTTCAGCCGGCCGGCCGACGTTGAACTTCGATGCGATGAGCAATATGCAACTGTGCATTCTTAATTATTTGGCGTTTACGATTACTTAACAAAGCCGGGACTTGGTGAGAGAGACAATGACGTTGACGAACTCGGTCTTCTCTTCGGCCATCCGCTCCGTGACGATGGCTCTGTATCTCCTGAAAACCTCGTCGATGACTTCCCCGGAGCCGAACTGGCTCACCAGCAGCGGCTCCGCCACCGCCCTCATGCAGTTCGCCACGTTGTACCCGCCGTCTCTCCGGACTTCACGGGAGCGGCCGTTGATCAGCTCGGCGCCGCCGCCGTCGGCGTAGGAATCCCAGCTGACTTTCGAAACCGCCAGGCGGTCGACGGCGAAGGATCCCTCCTTAAGGACCTCCGCTTCCACTTCCAACGGCGACGGCGTGTACTGTGGGATGTTGAAGCCGTCCAGCTTCTTTTGGTCTATCAATCCCTGCATGGTACGTCAATACTTCAGTGGGCTAACTTTGCGACAATATTAATGACAACTTGCACCACATTCACACCATATAGTAATTACACGTGTCATAATAATATTGTTATTATTATTTGACCTAATGACTAGGGGTGGGCAATGGGATGGGACGGGATACCCGCCCCGTTTTAAACGGGTACCCAGTCCCATTTGGAGACCAAAGTACATCCCATATTCCAAACCCATATGGGAAATGGGTACCCATTACCCGTACGAGACGGATAACGGGTACCCATACTACCCATAAATACCCAAAGTTTAAACCACTAAAATTTTAACAAAAGTTAAAACTTAACTTGTATTTGCTTAACAATCACAAGACACAAAATACATCCCAATCACAAATACTTGGTTTGCAAATTACACATTCATGAACAATCACAACACATAGAAATAAATCATTCCAAGTACCAAATTATAAAAAAAAAGTTTCATTCGACACATCCCAACTCTCTCTACTAATTCACCAAACATGTCAGTGAAAGAGTGAAAGGGTAAGGGCCCAAATGGAATTGAAATTGAAAAGGTAAGGGCCGAATTGGCCAATGGGTTTTGAATTGGGTTGGACTGAATTAAATTTCTGCATTTGTATTGAATGGGTATAACGGGTATCCATATTACCCAAACGGGTATTCGCGGGTAACCCGCGGGTACCCATATTAGGAATGTTCAATCCCAAGTCCCATCCGTTTATAATATTACGGGTAATATGGGTACCCGCAACCCTTAAAAAACGGGACAGGTACGGGTATACCCAAATACCCGTTTCCCGTTGCCCACCCCTACTAATGACTCCTACGTGGTTTCTTCTTGACGCGTATGCTGATTAATTTATATCATATAAAAGTATGAGAAATTTTACCATGTTTTAAAACATGGTATAAATTAAAATGGTAACTTTAACGTATGGTACAATTTCGGGTTATTTCTATACTATTTGGTACAAATTTATTTATGATAAAAACTGAATTTTTAAATTTATTTGTTGAAGTTGTACCATAACATAAATATACAAATTCCCTTATGGTACAACTTGAACTTGTGCCTTTAACGTTATGGTACAACTTCAAATTGTAGGTCGAAGTACTAATACTTTAAAGAAAAGTGGAAGTGCTCATAAAAGTATATCATAACAGTATGAATATATACTAGTACATATTAGTATATATGGTGGTAAACACGATCCGAAAATTTCTGTCTTCTCAAAATTAACCGAAAGGTACTGTTTTTCGGATCGTAAATATTTATTGTGATCTGCAAAAATCATATCGCTGGATCTTCTGAAAACTTATTTCTCGAAATTTTTATCGTCGTAAATTTTAATATCAGCCAGGAAAAAGAAAATTAAGGTCTCCACTCATGGAAGAAAAAAAAAAAAACTACGAATTTTAGGTACGTACCTCGGATGCCATCTGGTTGAGGGCCATGGACATGAGCTCCCAAATATAACAACACTCCTTACTGGAAGCCTCCTCACTCCTCCTTCCCAGGAAAGTCAGCACCATCCTTCCTCCCGCCACAACCTCCGCAGCCCTGCACCTCAAGAACAGCGAAAAATCCCTCTGAAACTGGGCATAATACGCCTCCAGGACCCTCGGAGGACTATTACCAGCCATGTAAATATTCCCCTTGTTCTCCTCCACTATCCCATCGGGAACCTGAGACAGCCACTGGAGGCTGTACGAGGAGTGGACGAAGTGGAGGCTGTCGACGGCGAACAGCCTGCCGTAGAAAGAACCCGGCACCCCGTTGACGAAGAGAGTCTGGTCGTTCTTCATCAGGTTATTCAGGTGCTTGTCCTGGAAGCGCTGTACGGACCTGAAGATGGTGTTGAAGTCGTTTCCAGGGAGGTCGTTGAGGAACACCTGGAATTCGGGAGCTTTACGGCCGAGCTCCCCGCTGAGTTCGGTCACGGCCGTGATAAGCTCCGACACGGCCAGGAGAGCGTTGGGCCCTGAAGAGCAGCCCAGATCTGCTATGGCTAGGCTCCTAATTGGGAGGGTTGAGGTGTAGAGTTTTGCGATGGCTTCCTCTGTTATGGGCTTTGTCATCAGTATCACCTTTTTCTGCAAAATAATTACCCCGAAGCGCGTTAAAAGAGATAAAAACTCATACAAAGTTCGACTTATCGAGACAAGGTGATTTGTTTGTTAACATGATATAACAGAGTCTTCGACCGAGAGAAATCATGGTTTCGAATTCTTATGATGATCTCCAATCGAAGCAATGCATGGTTTAGCACTGGGGATGATATTTCAACCGTTGCAAACTGATAACCCACAGGCAGACTTTCGTTTGAGGGGGACGAGTGTAAAGATAAAAAAATTTATGTAAATCATTTTCTAACAATTCAAGTTATTGAGACTTAGCGGCTTTGACCGATGAAGTACTGTCAAGAACCAGTTGCTCCCAATAACTCGAGTTGTTGGGAGAGGTTCAATCGTGGATCATATACCACAACACTAACACGCCCCCTCAAACGAAAGCCACTCACAAGGCTTGAAGTTTGCACAGGTCTGAAGATAAGAATACCATGTGCTTAACAAATGGGGGTCACCGGGAATCGAACACAAGACCTCTCGGTCACAGAAGGCTCTGATACCATGTCAAGAACCAGTTGCTCCCAATAACTCGAGTTGTTGGGAGAGGTTCAATCGTGGATCATATACCACAACACTAACAAGTACATATGTAACCAAAGCTACTAGTTAACGAGTATATATGTTGATTACCTGAACCAAGGAGTTCATAGCGTAGCTGGTTTCTCCCATCCCGCCGTTCATGTGAAGCACCTCTGAAACCTCCTCTATCGTCATATCTCTAAATTAGAGTACGAGTGGTACGAGTACGCTAATTCCCTCTTTTGTGTTGAACTTAATTACAACTCCCGGTGATATAGCTCTCTCGAGTAGAGTTTTTTGCAGGAGTAGCTAGCTAGTGTGAGAAACTGAGAACAATCGCGGCTCTATTTATACAAGGCGCGAAGGATCAGTTACCACTTACCAGGCACAATTACGTGGTGGGGATTACACTCGCATGAAAGAAAGGAGATGACGTGGAGCATGACATGATACGTTAAAAAAAACATATATACAGGTGGGTTGTTTTATAAGACTGGGGTTGAAGTTTTGGTTGCTGCTGTCGTAATATGCTAACCAATAATGTAACGGGAGGAATACGCAAAAACTCCAAAGCTAAGGTTGTTAGACGACCTATATTATATGCAATACTAGAAGACCATGAGCTTGGATGCATATGGTTTGTGTTGTGTTGTACGTGTTAGTTTTTAATCATTGGAGGATCCTCGTATTTGACAGAGTGCTGCCGCCATTAATTACTGGTCAAGTGGTCATAGTGGTATATATAGTACTCTGTTTCACAAACCAAGTGGGGGGCTTCATTTTTATTTGCCACTTCAATAAAAGTTCAATTCTGACCAGTCACCAGAGTCATCTTTTTTATTGAAATATTAGTGTCCAATTATATTCCACAGCTTTCACTAGTTTCAGGAAATCATTAAAAAGTGCATTCTTAAAAAGTCGGGAAATAATTGAAATGAATTTAAATTATTTTTTCAGAGCAGTGATATGAATTTGTATTATAATTATTATATGCTATTTAAAATATTTGAATATATATTTTATACTGAAAATCAGTGATAATATTATTAGATCGAATTTTATTTACGATAAAAGAATTTTATTTGCTATAAAATTTCACCTAAATTCAAGAAATAATTGACAGACTTTAGTCATTATATATTCGGGAACTTTTATTTAAGATCCATCCAGAACAGAAGACCTCTTATCCACAAAAAAAAAAAAAAAAAGCACAAGTAGAAGGCAATTATTTTTTATTCTTTCCAAAAGCATAATTTCAATTATGTTATCGAACATCGCCTTGGTTGAATGCTTTCGTTAGGATTTTATGGTGAAGACAATCATCGTCAATCTGTTATGGTACATTAAATTTTGTAGCCACATAATTCGAAAAAGCAAATTTCGCGTCATTAAAAACATAAATCCAAAGAAAAACAAATATGATAACGACAACACTACCAAATTTCACGTGATATATCAGAAAATATCCCCCTTCAAAATCAAAAGGTACTCTCATCAGGTGAATGACTTGAAATAATAACGGCCAATATAGTAGTCTGTTTCACATCCAAGCTGCTTCAGTTCTTATCTCCTTTGGTTGGCCCTTGTAGAAAACCCAAGGGTGTGGTTGTTCAGATTTGACGCAAGAAAAGTGTGCTTAATGAGATTTAACTGATGTGCTACTCACACAGTCACATGCACTGTCAGTTGAACCGCCCAACTACCAACCCAAACCAGTGACATTTTTTCATATGTTCTCTTAGGGGTGGCGATCGGTCGGTTTCGATTTAACAAAAAATCAAAAACTCGATTATCGGTTAAACCGAGACACACTAAACGGATGCTGACCACCGACCGTGCAAGAGTCACGGCTAACCGACTACCGACCGGTCGGTTATCGGTTTTTGGTTCGGTTAGCTGTGGTAACCGACTTATGGCTGTCAACGACAATAAATGCATATATAAAATGCATTTTTCCGGCCAAAATTAACTACGATGGTGGGATTTGGAAAGTAATGGGGTCGGATACTATGCTAACCCCTAAAGGGGTAGTGGTTTTTGACACCCTCCTCTTGATTGGTTACTTTTCCATTTAAGCTTTTTACTTTATTTATTGTAATCTTGTAAATTGGGAAAGCCTTAATTGTGATAATAATTATGAATGGGGAAGGAGAAAAACGTTGGTAATTATGAATGGGGAAGGATCTGGGGAAAAACGAAATCACCCCCATTAATTACATAATTAATTTCTCTCACTGGTACATTAATTACATGTACCACTCCACTGGTACACGTACCACTCCACTGGTACCAGTGGAGTGGTACGTGTACCAGTGGAGTGGTACGTGTAACCATATGTCCTGTTTAGGCTTAAAAAATTGTGAAGACTTTATGTTTATTCACATTCGAAGGATAATTTATTGCTTTTGGCATTGTTGTTGGCATTTCCCTAATTTTGCAACCCATTTTGGAACACAGTTTTTGGCTACTAATGGAAAGTTCCTATTTTTTCCCTATTATTGTTTATCATTGTTATGAAAAATATCATTGCACTGGTATTGTTCTCACTCTAACCTACCTTGTGGATTGCTCGCACCAGTGGAGTGGTACGTGTACCAGTGGAGTGGTACGTGTACCATTGGAGTGGTACGTGTACCAGTGGAGTGGTACGTGTACCAGTGGAGTGGTACGTGTAATTAATGTACCAGTGAGAGAAATTAATTATGTAATTAATAGGGGTGATTTCGTTTTTCCCCAGATTCTTTCTCTTTTCCAATGTGGTGAGAGACCCCAAATTACAAGATTAAAAAAAATAAAAAATCAGTTTAATTAATACTTGCCAATGATTGGAAATAAAATTGGCAAATCATAAAGGGGGTGTCAAAAATCACTACCCCTAAAGGGGTAGTCACGCTAACTGATCCCGAAAGTAATTTATTAATGGTGGTTACAATATACCAAAGGGGAAGACGTGAATTGAAAAGGGGAAGGAAAAATCTTAGATCCCCTTTTCTCGCTCTCTCCCCAATCAATTTTCCAAAACTAATCCATTCCCATTATCTCTCTCTCCCCCAATCAATTCCCCTCCTCTATCTCTCACGTTCTTTTTTTCCCGATGAAACTCTCTCTCTTTCTCTCTCTCGTTCTTCTCTCTCTAGAATCAACAAGCAAATGCCAAAAAATCTTCATAACTTTTCTTCTTCCCCTCCTACTCTCACTCGATCTCCATCTCCCTATCTCCTTCTCTCATGGCCTCGTTTGGTTCGTTGGGGCGGGGGCGGTGGCCGGCGCGATCGAGCAGCGGGGGCGGGGAGCGGACGACAACTCAGGGAAGGAGAGACGGGGAGCGGAGGCGGAGGTTTCTGGGTTTCTATCTGGTGGGGTGGTGGATTAGGCGGCAGAAGGGTTGGGGTTGGGGTTGGCGAGAGGGCTCAATTGAGACCGGTTAATTTTGACTAGCCGGTTAACTGTGGTTAATCATTATCGGTTAGTCGGCTAGCCGAAAACTCCCTCGGACTCACCGACCACCGACCGACCTTAATAACCGTCATTTTTTGGTTAGCTACTAATGACTATTTTCAGTTGAAACCGGTGGTTAGCCGCTAATCGGAAACCGATCTGCCACCCTCTTAACTTTCTATAAATACTTTCAGTCCCTCTGTTTTAGACTTTAGTACACGTTTTTATAGATCAATAAAACACAAAAATTTATATTTTTGGATCCTTTATGCTCTCTTCCAAAAAGTCAGAAACAGGATTAAGTTGTGGTTCTCTCCATTTGTAAGCTCGATAGATTTTTGGGGTTCAAGTATCAGTATGACATAAAAAAAGTATGTCAATTCTATCATGGAATGAATATTTCTATAATCTTTACTGAGAGGGAACTAAAAAAAAGTGCATTATATTGGCTTGGATGTAGTGTATAACTGTATATTATGCATGTGTTGCATGATATCTTATCTTATCTTACTATATATTATGGTTGTTCAAAAACAACTTCTTGCCACATAAGCACTTGGAGAATTCACAAGTTGTCAAGGTGGACAATTTTTTACAAACAAAAAAGTTAGTTAATGATCTATTTATGGTGTTATCTCTTTCTTCTTTTAATGAATTTTTCTTCTTTTCTAAAATTATTCAAGTTTGTTTTTGTATTTGTACTATATCATGTTTGTACCAATAGACTAATGTTTGCAGAGTGATACATATTGCATTTGTTTAAATAAAAACATCGTATTAAACTTTATCAAGTATTTTCTACTCATTTTTACTAAAATTAATAATAAGTTACATTTTATTGAATATTTTAAACAAACACATACATAAATATAAATATAATTTTATCGATTAAACAAAATATAAGGATGGAAAGAGCGAAAACAATTGTTAGACAATCGAATTTCAAAATTGAACTATATTATTTTATATTTTGCTATTAAACACTTTCTTATAATTTATAAATCTATAAAATAAAACAAGTATTGTATAGCAAAAGGTTTGGATAGAAACTTGATGATGTACAACTATTATATGTCATGTGTTAATAATAGAGAAATTTTTATTGACGATGTGCCATAAATATTATTTTTCATCATCCACTGACCTAGCATTGATCAAATTGTCAAAACAAATATGTTTTAGTTTGTAATAGTAAGCAATATGTATTTAGATCGAGTTATCGTAGTCACAAAATTTTGTTTTCATATTCCACTGAACGAGTGAGTTCAGCTCTTAATTACTACTCAGTGTTAAAGGTAAAGTAAACTCTTTATATATGCTTAGATATTAACAGTAGATGTGTCTACAACACATCCAATAATTCACATGTATGTGAAATGTCACAATATTTGTATGAGTTTTAAAATTTAATAAAAGATACATTTTTCAAAAAATAATAATTTAGTTGTTCAAATAATACGCCATTTTTAATGTTTGTTTGAGTTTTAAAATTTAATAAAAGATACATTTTTCAAAAAATAATAATTTAGGTGTTCAAATAATACGCCATTTTTAATGCACATAAATCTATGGGCATTGTAGACGTGCTTTATCAATTATTAAGATATATAATGAATTTTTTTGTTACAAAACTAACACTAAAAATAAGGAAAATTTTGCAAATGCACATTAAAAAGTTGAAAATTATACACTAAAAGTCCATGTTAAGAAGAGAACCCTTGATAGTGTGTGAGAATTTCTTGGTTTGAGATTCTAATCAAACATATAGACAACAACAATTGGTTGAGGGTTAATCCGAACTTCAACAATTAGCAAGGGATACATATTAAGTAAATAACTTTAATAGCTAAACCTTTCGATT